CGTTACCTGCAGTAGGCCCACAGAGCTGTTTCTACAGCCTCGCCTGCTGTAAGGGGAGGAGCGAGACACCCTCCGCTTCAAAACTTGATTGGCTTAAACGCAGGCTCGCTTCCACTTGCAAAAGCTGAATTTCCAACAACTGTGCTGACAGCAGTCGGCAGCAATACTGACCATTTTATGCGGGGGGCGGGGGGCAAATGTCACTAGGCCACTAGGGCACCAAACCGAGGCCCACCGCGCAAAAGCGGTCAATGTGCCAAATTGTAAGCCATGTTACCAGTGCGCGGCGGCAGTTCCTGCCTACCCCCGACCAACTTGTTTCTAATGCACAGCGGCCCCGCCACCTTTGCGCGTGGTCAGTTCATCTGCAAAAGGACTGGCTAGCGTAATCCGTCGTCATCTTGACAAAAAGCTCATTTGGTTCGGGGGTGCAGGTTTGATTTTTCATATTCAATGTGAACAGCGTACGATATGCAGCTGTGTTGGAATGTTCCGAATCACTTTGTTGCTTTTCTTAGGCGACACTCAAGCGTTCGGCGAGCCTTGCATGCACATGGAAACACAACATTGACATACAACAGGGCGTCAACCCTTCAAACTGAGAGCATTGAGAAACATGATGGAACATTTGCAAGCAAAGCCACGCGCACACAGAGGCAAACTGAGAAAAATGTAAGCCTTCCAATGCGCCGCAACATAATACCTTATGCTCACACCACCATGTGACCATGACCTTTGATGAGACACACACACACACAGCGAAATCGTCGTACGAAACAACAGGACCTGTTTTGCGTTTTCCCCAGTTGCTAGCTACCTAGCCCCAAAACACATCAGCAGCAAGTTTTAGGGTGTCTGAGCCCCTGCCACTGCCAAATGACTACGCAAAACCACCAAAACAATCCAAACCGCTTACGCGACAAACTTTCCTCGAAACAAGTACTTTCCTCGAAACAAGTTTGCGCGGCCTTACGCCGCCACGTGCTTTCCTTACGCGTGGGACCCTTATGACCACCCCCTTTCAATCGCAATACAACTAGATTTTGAACCCTGCTCAGGTGATCAAACGACTTGCTTAAAAGCACCCCAGTAAAATTGAACTCCCTTTTCCCATCGGAGGCATTGCGTGTGGTAAGTTGGAGCACGTGCCATTTGTGCATCTCCCATGTCTCAACGAGCGCTGTGAAAGCCAGAGCAACGCCACCAAAAGGACACTCTCTCCCAACTGGCCCCCAGGTGATGTTTCAATCATCAAAGGGTCAAATACTTGTGTGTGTGTGTGTGTTTGTTTTTAGGGTACCCTTTTCAGATTGCTTCAAAGGACAACTGAACGGAAACCCACCATTTTCAGGAACCCCATTTTTTGAGCACATAAAACTGCCCTCTTCTGGCGAAGCCAAGCAAAAACGCGCGAAAACGGCGAGATCGCGACGGACGCAAGCCGGGCAGAGGCGCAAGATCGTTCTTGCAGATCAGGCCGTCGCCTCGCGAGACGAAACGCCACTGTCAAGTCCCCAAGTAGATCTTCGGAACGAATAAACCTAGCAAATGGCAACGTCGACACTACAAACATCCAGGAACAGCCCCTCCCGTGTTGGCTTGTTCTGTGAGGCTATCTCGCAAGAGCTCGGGGCCAAAACTTGACTAACAAATTGAGTCGAGCCCTTTGGTGGGCCACGGTCATGGCTCCCCTAGGAATCCCTACAAAGCCCAAATGCCCCGTTAAGGGGGTCATGACCATTCCTGCCACCCCAAATAAGAAAAGTTGTGACCCCCCATGTAGTCTGACGGGCATGGTTGATAAGTGGCTGCGAAACTCATGGCCAACGTCTTCAGCGTCATCCCGACTCTGAAAAGAGGCACTTCCCCGAGATCAGTGGCAAACTGACCGTTGCTTAGGTACATCAAGGTGGATCTCAAATCAAAATGAACCAAGTCAAACAAGTCTACGAGTCTATTGCGTCCACCGTCTCAACTTCCCAAAGATGTCCGGGGCAGGCGCCGTTCACGTCGAAGATGTGGAAAGCGGCTTTGCCTGAGATGTTGGGCTTGACTGTCCCAGTGCTTTTAGATACCCCTACGGCAAGCATCCGTGACATTTTTACCTGTAGGTGCGGACATGATGGAGCCCTGGCTACTTACTACGATACGAGATGGACGCACTGGGTGTGCTTGACTGCATTCTCCTTCTGTGCATTTGGATCCCACGTGGAAGATGTGATGGGCACGTGGAAGATGTGATGGGTGTTGGTTGTTTACCTCAGATTCCTGGGCCAGACATAGACACCGTGCAAAAGGTTGACATATTACTTCCCGCGTCTGGATGATCCGTAACATAGGCAGCTACGAAAGCGAACTATGAGCGGAGGATGTGAGGAGATGGCAAATCTGCCCTAAGCGCTCTACCTTCGATCGGCAGGATGAAAAAGGGTACTAAAGACAGTACACAGGCTTAGTCAGATCTGGCAATGAGCAATCCCCCAGATTCATCAGAGATGATTTTCGCTGTGGAGACGCTCCACGTTCCTGGGATTCCGCTTGCGGTCATTCGGATTCGTGCAAAGGTCAAAAGTTAAGGAAAGGATCTGATGGGAAGCTGTTGACGCCAACCTCGACGAAATCTGACACTCAGCCCTCACCCGTTCAAACAACATATCGGGATATATCGGGGGTCGACATCTCGCAGTGGATTTCTACCCAAACTCAGTGACCTGTTGCCCAAAACCAACATGCCCGGGCTTTAATGGAGTTCGTCAGCCCAAATAGGCCGTTTCGCGACCCCGAGAGCATTTCGGGGTGTGGCAATATGGGGCGCCCAGGATTCTTCATGTTCAGCCCCTGGGGGTGGACCATAGTGTGGACCCTCAGCTTGATGTCTGGGCCGCCGACACACCTCCTGCTGCATGTATTGCTTCTTGGAGATGTTCGCTGCTATAAACCTCGCGGCGCGCGTGCCACAGCCCTTCGCAAGCCTCCAAGGTCGCCCCTACGAATTCCAAACCCAGAGAAAAGGAAGGAAGCGCCGGCAAAAATCGCAAAGGGCCCGGAGTGCGCCGGTGAGAATGCCCTGTTCACTGTGTAAAAGGAAACCGGAAGGCGGGAAAGGTTCACAAGGAGTGTTCTCCCATGCCAGGATCCATGAGGGCAAGCGGAAGCCTCCATGCCAAGCACTTGCGAGTGTCTTTTGGGGGGGTGTCCCACAGGGACTGTTTCCCTTTGAATACCAACACATAAGGGGGTCCACCTTGAGAAACTCCCATGACAAGAGTTTCATGGCCATGATGGATCAGTGGTCGGCAAATCACGACCCTGCTGTACCACTTCCAGTCATAGCGATGATGTCACTTGGCTGGGTCTCTTAAAGTGAACCCCTCAAGATTAGCGATGGGTTCTTCAAACTATTTACAAGCCCCAGACCCCAGATTTGGGTCATTTCAAACATGTCGCTTTGGACCCAGCTGGGCGGCTCTCAGATTCCAAGAGCACGACTCAGTGTAGTTCACAGCCCCGCTGCCATCTACATCGATCTCGTGCATCAGCCGCCTCCCACAGAGGAATGCTGGGTAGCCTGCAAACAGAAGTGCTACAAAGACCGCTAACAACTGAACTCGAGGCCACTGTTGAGAATGCTCGACGCCTTGATTAGACTTGTGCATAGTTTCGGCCACTCCTGACAAGCTCATGCTGAGCAAAGACAAGAAAGATCTTCCGTGTTTGCAGAGGGCCCAGGACAGAGCCGATCAGCGAATCCCTAAAATCCCAATTTGCTTCTACAGGGTGACTCTGTGAGAGATGAAAGAGTTTAGGGGAGAGAGGCATTCCACAACATATCACTCTCATGTCCACCCACCCTTCCCAATGAATTGAACGGATGAGAGAATAAGCGATGGGAAAGAACAAGGCAAGAAATGCTAATATGAGAGGGAAGAGGACAAACACAACTAATTAACACTAAGATCTCAGATTTGGATATTCCGAGAAAACGGATGGTGGGGAAGATTTCTTGAACAGACTTCTTTGCAGGGTACAGAGACGGGAGCGCCTTTCAACAACACGATTTCCTTGTGTAATCAGAAATCTTGGAACTCATATGACCCGCCGCTGGCGTCATGTAGAGAGCGCGCCCATACTCCTGATGTGGGCCGAAAGAGAACGACAGGGAAATCACAGCGGAAGACCTAGAGAGCAAACCAAGACAAAGCCAAAGCAAAGATCACAGCGGAAGACCTGAAGACCAAAGCATATCAACAGAACCAAAGGGAAATCACCCAAAGCAGGGAAGCCCAGAGAAGCCAACTGGCTTCTCTGTGCTGACAGAAACCAAACCGAACCGTCGAACCGCTGAGCGCCTCATCTCCACGCGGATGGGCTCCTCCACTTCGAGCCGCTCCAACGCCTCGTCGATCTCTTCCACCTCGGCGTCCCGTTCCGCTCCCGGCGCCCGGCTCCCGCTCGCTCGCTCGTGGGCTCGGCGTTTGGTGCCCCAAAAGCTGTAAACAAAACAAAGGCTTGGGTTGACGCTCTTTTTTTGGGTGGGAAGCCGGAGCTGGGGTTTAGCGCACAGGGAAGAACAGAAGCCTCTTTTGGATGTGATTGTGCAAAGAACATGCTCTGTCAAAAACACACACACACATACACACGAGTCAAAACAGTTTGATGCACCAAAGAATAAGCTGTGCGAGAAAGGATCACCATGCCAAAGCATTGCGGCTGGTCACCTAAACTTGGGTCATGGTATCCTAAATGGCTGTTGTGCCCTTTCTGTGATCGTTCCAAGTTTAAAGTGACACTGAAAGGAAACCACTGGGTTTGAAGGTTCCCCTTGAAGACAAACCCAGATAGAATTCCTTGGTAGTCTTCTCACCTTCTTGCTGCTGGCCGTCTCTCACAAGTGGGCGTTTGTTGACCACAGGACAAAAAAGCGGGTATCCTCAAACTGGCGACTTTCCGGATGGGAAACCACCCCATCCCCATTTCTTGCCGGAGACTTTCCCCTTGGGTCAACGACATCGACTTTGGCAATGGCCTTCCCTCCAATTGGTTTGGAATAGTTTGGAGGTTAAGCGAAATGGCTTCCCATACCAAACAGGGGTGCAAATCCCCAAGCTAGCAATCCAAACCCCCAACTGCGGGTTACCCGGCTTAAGAATCGGATCCCCCAGAAAAGGAACCCCATGAAGGCCTCGTGGACCTCCAGGCGAGCTCGCCGTAAGATAGGCAGTCACCCTTTCAAACCGCCCATTTAGGGGGGTAGGGCCCAGTTCCAAATTGGGCCAAGGGCACGTCTTAGGTGATGCTCGCTGCAAGCAACATGAACCCAAGTGTGGATCTCTATAGATTCCACTCGCCACCCAAAATCCGTACAGGCGCCAGCTTATTCTGCAAGCCCCTCCTAGTTCCATCCATCCATTACGGCTCTCTTTCCCGAACTCTTGGGCATTTCCCAGTTGGCCACCTTGGATGGTTCTAACAGGATCCAAAAGGAAAGCCCAAAACGAAGCCTGTATCCATTTCCGGAAGCCTGCTGCCACAGGGGCTGACAAGGTCCCAGAGTTGTCCTCGTCCAAAGACAGGAAGATGCCTCGGAGCTTCTCGATGGTGTCGTCAGAGATCTGGCGATTCCGGAATGGATGCCAAGAGACCATAGAATCTGACAAGTTGGTGTATGATACAAAACATGTGCACATATGCACACTATAAGCATGTGTCTGAAAACACGGCAAAATACATTGTTGCTGTTGGTGCTTAGCAAATTCTTTTGAGGATTGAAAGGCAAGCCGAAAACAGAATATGGGGCTTTGTTTCAAAACATGTTTTTCTACGATGGTTTTGAGTCCGCGCGGCAACACACATTGGAAAACAATAGAAGCTCCAGACCAAATCCCGTGAGTCTGGGGATATTGGCTCAAAGTGTTGTCTTGTTGGGCATGTGCATGTGTTAGAGCTCTCAACTCTAGTTGTGTTCCTTTGGGCCTGTGCCGGTGCTTTTATGGTCTGTTTCCTGCCAGTTCACTCTCTCTCTCTCTCTCTCTTTTCATGCCCGTGTTCTCATGAAATGTAGCTGAAAGAAAATGAATGAAATTACATGATCCAAAAGGAACTGATAAAGCTTTACAAGTAGGCATAACTAAGAGTATGAGATGCTGAGCCAAGAGATGATGAAAAGGACATGAAAACGATTCAGAGATACTCAGAAACTCCTAGATCTTCATCATGTGGCATGTTTGATGCGTATCGTTTCATATGACTGCTGCATTGCTTCATAGAACAAAGGATGCAGCAACATAAAAGAATGTGACAGGCAAAGAAAATCCCAAAGGCATGATAAGGAAATATAATGAGAGTGAAGAGAGATGGGAGAAAGAATGGTAAACATAGAGTGATATTGCAATCATGTCCACCCGCCGCTCAGTCACTAGTTGACATGTAGCATAAAGGCTCAGGAATCTATGTTTATTATCTGGATTCACAAATGGAATCTCCGGGATATTATAATCCGCCCTGCAAACACAAAGGGAAAATAGTAAATCTTCAGACAACCCAAACTCGAGCATAAGCATTACATTGCAGTGCATCTTGTAATCTTATTTAGTCATGTCTGGCTTGTTTGGAGGATTTGGACACTGTATTGCACCAGCCTCCTCCCTCTCTCGCGGTTTTTAGAGGGTGGAGCAGTTGAAGCCCCATGATCATGGCATGATCCTTGGGAGAAAATTGAAGTTTCGCTGGGTAGAGGGTTAACCCTCTCCAGAATGTCTCCACCGCCAATTCGGCCCATTCGCCCCCGCCTGACGTGCGATCACCTGCAAGGCCACCTTCTTGAGCCGACTTTGGGCCACCTGAGCCAATGGCCGCCCAAAATGGGCTGCTTCCTGGTGCTTTCGGCACACTTCCCCTATCTTGGGCCAAACCCAAATTGGGTAATTATGCCATGTGCCCAAATAGGGAACCGCTGTTCTTTTGGCTTTCCTCAAGAACCACCCCACAAAGCGTACCCTGACAGCCACCAAACACACGCCCGAAGGATGAGAACTTGGGGGGTCTCCGCATGGCCGTGGGTTGACCAGGCTCGCTGCAAAGGTGCGCATCTGGGCCAGGTTGCCTTCCTTAGGCGCTTTGACCCTCGGATGGGCCAAGGCCCTAGGTGACCCATTGGCCACAAGTGCACCTACAAGGCTGGGCTGGGCATCCCAAACCACTGCTTGAACATCCTGATTTGGGTTTCCCCTCAAAGAGTTCCATGGCCTGGCTGTTCAAGCATGCTTTTCGCCCTCTACTGGACTCCCCCTGAAAGGCTCGGGTGAGAAGTGCCCAACCATGCCTCCATGTTGCCAAAAGGCTGCCATGCTTCCATTTCTCTTTGTTCACCTGCACCCTGGGCCGCCCTTTCGCTCATGGCAATCCAAACGATGGAGGCTGAGTCAGGATCCTACGCGACTGGGGCTACCAAAAGAGAGCGGCGGTTCGGGGCCGTCCTCGTTATGTGACTATTGCCCTGGAATCCCCAAAGCAGGGTCTAGGCAATCCATAGGCCCTTTGCGGGGAAGCGCAAACACCTGGAGCTGAATACTTTCGAATGAGGCAGCTGCATCCACCTTGCTGTCCGTTGGCAAGACCTGGCAAGACCGACCGTGGTCTACTTTCGGCCATAAAGTCACCAGGTTCACGTATTGTTTGATCTATTCATGTAGTTGAATGTGGAACACAAATGATATTTGATCCACGGAGTTATCAGGGAATCAGGACATTCAGAATGGCAGGAAGGGCCCTTTGGGCTGGGGCCATGATAGGATGTGGGTGGATGTTTGTGGACTGAGCATGTTGCAATGACTATTGCACCAAGACCCAAGCCGAATACGGGGGGGTTTTAATATGCATTTGATGCACAAAGGTGTTCCGTTTTTGGCAAACAAAGGGTAAAATGTTGGTTCCTCCTGAAGGGAAACTGGTGCAACAAAAAGCTCTACCCTTCTGGCCGCTCATCTGTTAAAGGCTCGGAGCAACCCTGATTCATGTTCCAAGCGACTAATCCCTTCCTAATAGGTACAATTGCTCAGGCCAAATGCAAAAACAGACTCCCCCCCTTTTAGTTTCAAGTGACCCAATACTAAACTTCTGACAGCCATGATTAAGGAAGATGTTCAGCACTTCCCTTCTTGTACATTGTAACTTTTCAATTGGAAATGGATAACTTCCCTATTTGGCACATTTCAAAAAGTAGGATCAGGGCAGGGGATCTCGGGATTCAATGATAGGGTAAACGAATACGACCAGCCTGCAACTAACCACTTAAAACCATTAGCCGAAAGACTAAGCGGCGATGGCACTGGCGCTTGAACCTCCTAACATCTCTAGCTCGGGAAGGGATAAAGCACAAACTAGCAAACAAATACGAACTGGATATAAGGAGCCCTCAAGAAAGCATCTTCCTCATGGGTCCTAGCTCGTTTTCTTTTCAAGGTGGGCTCAACTGTACGTCGTGCAGAAGGGATGCTGCAATTCGTGTCAATTGCAATACCCCTGGCCCCAAAATGCCTAACACATGAATGTTACACACATGATCAATCAGGGATGCAAGCTAGAAGCTGCTTGTTTGAACTGAGAACCTGCTTGGGGATTTTTACGGGGTGAATCCGGAACCAACCCCCATCCGCCTCCTGCCGAAACCATTGAGATGCCAGGACCTGCCGCTCGGACGCATCTGTGCAAGTCACGAGGCAGATCGAAGAACGCCATAGACTTTGAGCCAAGCTTTCTAATTAGCACTGATCAGGATTGGAAGCTGGCTGCAAGATGCGAGGCACCAAGCAGTCCAAAGGTTGGCGGGCTGATCAGCTTGTTCTGAAAACCTTTCTTGGGGGGGGAGGGCCCTCATGTCTCTCCATACGTGCTGCTAAAGCAAACCTAATTGGGGGGGGGGGGTATAAAGTCTGCCCCGGCCGGGAGCCTCCGCCGAATGCGGCCTCGCATCCACCTCCTTGGTCAGCATCTGGCTCACCAGCCTCGGCTGATCGCCGGGAGCTGGGACATCCATGACCCGTTTTTTCCGCTGAATCCCTGCCCTTTGTTTCTGTTTTCCACCAAAAAATCCCTTCCGGGCCTCGACTTTACCAAAACTCCACCCAGATCAACCCTCCCGGGTTTCTGGTTCAAGGCAGTGAAAAAGCCGGGCGCCGCATGCCTCGGTTTTCGGAACTCCACGCCGTGTTCGGAGCTGGGCTTCCGGGCTCCTTCCCCAGAACGGAGACCCGGGCCCAGGCCTTCTCCGGCTTGAAGGACCACTTCCTGGGCCATGGGATCCAGATGTGACCTGTTCCACGTGATGGGGTAGGGAAGGCTACTTTCAAGGGAGCCCAGCAAGTTCAAACTGTGACTTTGCCGGATTTTGCAGCAGGGCCAAAGCCATCCATTTTTAGGAGCAGAATCCCAGTTTTTCTCACAACAAGCTGTTGAACGGATCTGACCTAGGGTTTGCGCCTGGTCCTTTGCTGATTCCCCTAACATTTTCCAGGGTTTAGAGGGACACTCCTTTGCCGATTTCCCAAAGAAGAAGCAAACTTTCAAGGGACACCAGGTCGAAGATGCTCTTTTTGTAGCCCAAGATGCCCTCGGTGCCTTTCGTTGGTCAGTGGTGCAACGCCCGAGGGCTCGGCGCTTTCTTCACCTTCTTCATAAGCTCCACGTCGTCATCATCGTGGAAGGGAGGCGTGCCCGCCAGCATCACGAAGAGCACAACCTGAGATGGCTGGGTCCAAAGCCGTTGCATTTAACACCATGAAAGTGGATGGCACAGTTCCATTTCAATAAGCAAAGTTTGACACCAATAAACTTAGGGGGGATCGGCACCATCTTTCACCCAACTGTAAGGCTTATTTGAGGGGTTCTCAAAGTTAGTTCTTATATTTTCCCGGTAATCTATGCTTGCTGGCTCTCAGCACATCACGAGAAAGATTGAACCTGGGAATGCCCTTCAAGGAAACGACGAATGAGGAATGGTTCGAAGGGGGTCATTCCCTCGTTCACAGAGTTAACCCCACTTAAGGACTAAGCGGGTTCCGGCCCACTAACAACCTACAAACTTGTCCAAACGGCAAACAAAGCAGTGCGGGAGGGAACCTTTTCTACTGTTTGCCGTTCCAATTTTGTATCCTTCCAGTTTCACAAGGCAGTTCCCTGCAATGCCTGAGGGAGCGCAAGCCCTTTTCCCTTCACAAACTTTGGGATGGGTGTCCCTTCCAAAATCCTCGAATCCAACCCCAAAAAAACTCAGCACATCCCCAGTGCCCAAATCCGCACTCCGCCAAACCGAGAGTAGACGCAAAAGTGACTCGTGAGCCGAAGATGTGATACCCGCAGTGCCGTCATGTTTCACGGCCTCAAGGCCTGCGCCAATGCACTGACAAATCAGGGGCCTTGTTGACCTCCTCTGGGAAAAAGATGGTCCAACAATATGGACTTCATTATTGTTCACCCCCAAGCCCAAAACTCTATCACCATCATTTGAATAGACCAGAAAGATATGCGACCAAATTGGGCTTGTCTCAAAGTTAGGGTGACCCGCAAAAGATGGGTTTCCTGGCGGGTCCATCTTCCCAACATCCAAACCCGGTTCGTATGGTGAAAACATGAACCGCTTTTCCTTTAAAAAGTACCCATAACAAATCCTTATCCTAAACCGACCAACGACAAACACGTACACTTTGAAAAGCACAACCAAAGGGGCACCCTCAAATATGCACTAATTGCCAACTAGTGGTTTCTCACTCACCTAGTTAAATACCCAAGTAGTCAAAGAGTACCCTCCAAATCCTCCCCACATTACCCCGTGGCACCGTGCCCCGGCGGACCACACATCCACCTTCTCGGTGTAAGGGTCCATGCCTGAGCGTTGCAATTCTTGGCATAGCTTGGCCTTGCGTTGCCACCGTGATTTCAGGGGAATACAAATATATCAAATATACACATACATGTATGTACTGTATGTACATATACACGTGCAAAATTTACGTTGCATCATGTGTGTAATGTATACATGCGTACTTCAAGACTAGGCCAGCGCGAGCGTGACAGTGTGATTCCTGCATTAAAACAGCATGAGGCAGCTTGTTTTGAGGCTTCCCTCATGGCACGAGGAGATGAGACAACAAAAGGTTGTCTAAGACAAGAAAGCCCAATGGTACCATCTGTTGAAGGATTGCATGGGGCAGTCAAGAGCGGTTGCGCAAGATTCCCAGCAGGGGTCGTGTATTTGAAGGGGCACGAAGCGGCTCAGCTCTCAGGCAAGGTACACAGATGTTCAAAGGGATGTAAGTAGCACCCACGTGACCAACGAACAATATGCTTTGTTTCCCGAGAGGACATGGGCAAGTTGGGTCTTTTTCGTGCCTCATGTCCTAAGCCAGTACTCCCCCCCGCTCCGGCAGGAGGTCTCGCTGCCTCCACCCCAGAGGCGCCCTGCTTTTCTTGAGGACCTCTGGTGCCACGTAGTGCACTGTGCAGACCTGCCAAGTCACGGGCCAAACACGTGGACCCCCCAAACGTTACCCCTTGTATCTAGATGGTTTGTACCACCCACATGCAGCTACCCAGGGGAGTAGTAGGATGTACCACTTTGTAGCCACGATAGAAAGGGTATATACCTCCCCAATTTCCCGCTGAGGGTAGTGGTTTGGGGGTAGTGAACACCAACTTAGATTGTACCCAGAACCAAAGAAGGCTCACCCCCCACCAAACGGCTCAAGACTCGTGCAGGTCCTCAATGGTCGAGTCGTCTAAACTCCCTTCGTGATCTTCAGAATTGCAACCAATGATCATCCGGGAATCAGCCTTCTCAACAGCTAGTGCTCATGCTCTAGACAGTTGAAATGAAGCAAAATCACAAATCAAAGTCAACAATGTCCAAATAGAAGAACAACAGGCCAAAGGCTATAATAAGCATGCCAAGCATGATTGGGAGATCTATAGCCAGTACCTGTTTGTTGTGTTTTCAAGGGGAGGGGGGGAAACGCTTTGGGGGGGGGGAAATGGCTTAGGGAACCCCCAAAGGAAGCCAAATCTGAGGCCTTGGTGGTCAAAGGCCCCAAGTCGAAGCGCTTCGCCGTGCCGAAGTCGATCAGCTTCACCTTGCCGTCCTCGGCATCGATTGATCCGACGCGCGCGCACGGATCTGCGGAAGGGCGCGGAAGAGAAGCCGGGCCAACCCAAAGCTGGTGACATGGCTGTGGGTCAAAACCCTGTAGCCCTTGTGAACATCATAGGTGGTACATGGGTGTTCATCCACCCCAAAATGGAGGCATAGGTTATGACCCATGGCCACATGTTTTGGTGGTTCCCGTGCAAACAACCTGGGAGCAAAGGGCAATTCTGTCACTTCCCTCATTGTCGCCGGCTTTAAGCCCTCTTTGCACGTCCTTGAAAAGCTACCTCAAACATTTTGTGTGGGCCCTAAAAAGCGGAAATGGGATGCCGGCTTTATGTTGGCTCGTCTTAGGTTTGCGTTATCCAAGAAAGAGGGTCCCAATTTGAAGAAACACTCAAATGCGTCCAAGAGAAGCTTGCTTTTCGCGATTCGTGGGTACGTGAGTACGTGTTAACACAAATTGGACCCCTTTTCGTGTTCTGCTTTGAAAAGGCATGAGTGTCAAAAACAGTGCGCACACACACACACAACACGCAACACACAACAAAGGACAGCACAGCATAACACAACTTGATTCAAAACAACACACCCCAAAAGTTGCCCTCAAAAAATGGACTAACCCCATGTCAGTAGGTGGGCAGTTGCCCTGCAAAGCTGGGACCCACCCTCAGGGGGAAAAACGGATTCTACCTGTGAGGCGAGTTCCGGCTTCCAAGTTCCGAGAAAAAAATAAAAACAAAAAAAAGCATCGGATCCCAACCCGGAGACAAACACCGGCGCTCCTTGTCAGAAAACAAACGACTTCTGAAACCCCCCATCTTGCCCCCTTCGATAAAAAGAGAACAAAAAATGAAAACAAAAAAAAGAGGGACGCCCGCGACGCCCTCGCGCGATCCCTCTCTCCCAAAAAAGGTGGTCCTTGATGGCGCACTTCTTGGAGATAAGGAAGTTCTCGGGTTTCAGGTCCCGGTGGCAAATCATATTCATGTGGATGTAGGACACCGCGCTCCTCGAAATTTGGCTCCGAAAAGGAGCCAAAACGCGATGTACAATGGACTGCATGGATTTGTGATTGGGGAAGCCTGGTGGAAACGGACCTCGTGCAAGCTATCTTAAAAGGACAATTGGACGCCGCTTCAAGTATTCAATGAACAGCGACGCCGGCTAGCAATTTGTTTCACTGGGACAAAGGTCACCCTTGTCACGTTGGTTTAAAGGGCCACTTGAAGGAACCTAACGATTTTAGGGATTTACTATTTTTGACACATACCCACAAGAGCCATGGAGCAAAGGAAACAGAAGACTCGGGCGCTGGCATGATCTGCTTGAAGAGATGTGCCGCCGAATGCTCGGTCAGCGCACCAGCCTGCGAACAGCGCGAGGATGGAACTTTCCTCAAGCAGAATCCCCCTCATCTGCAATCCGTGGTGGGAAGCCACTACAAGGGACACCATTGCCATTGGGCTGTAGGTCAAAATAGGTGCACCACCCAGTTTAGTCTATTTTAGCGGGGATTGGGATGTTCGCTGGGGGTACAGCATTTTGACCCATGGCCATTTGGAGAAGGATAACTTCAGAGCATCGGGTGGGCCGCACCAAATCTGCCGATAGTTTTACTCTTTGATCGCAGGCTCATTCCGGGCACCGTGCAAATGACTGGGCGTGCAAGGCATGCCAATCCTGCAGGTCTGCTGGCGCAGGCAGTAGCTGTTTCCTATGGTCGGCTTGGACACCATCCAAAAGCGGCCCCCAAGTCTTCCCCCAAAGCAACCACCCCCTCCCCCCCCCGTGGAAACTGAACCTCGCGAAGCCAACAATCCCCGGCGCCTCGATCATGGCGTTGAACAGTTCCCCTCCGTCGCACAGCTCCGAGGCAATAAAGATACACCTCAGTGAACTCTGTTGCGGGGTTGGGCCAACCTTGCTTCAAGTTAAACATGCTTAAATACCCTCCTTCTGGTTCTGACTTCATGGCGGCCAGGGTTGTTCAACCAGTTCTGCTCAACCTTGGAGCCTTTTGTAATTTACCGTGGGGCCAAATCCGCGTGGTTAGGTCTGCCAATTCTGACCAACTGGACTCAAGCAGCTTCGGCAAAGTGCGCCCGGCGAAGCTAAGCTGGTAACAAGTCATCCTCGAAGGTGTAGTAGAGGCGCATGATGTGGGGCTTGGCCGGCATACAGCTGAAGACTCTGGCACACACACACACACCAAACAAAAACTATGAAGCTCTGTAACCTCTGGGCAGCTGGCATGATCTAACTGCTTCATGATGTCGATCTCTGCCTGCGAGGAGAGCCCTACGCATGGACAAGGCTCATCGCATTGGCATGGCTCTGAAGCCCACAGCTGGTACAGATCCCTTCTACAATTTCTCCAAGGCTCTGAAATAGTGGTCGAAGGAACCCAAGGACCTGGTCGCGATGAACCAAGAGATTGGATGATCGGAAATACGGACTCTCAACATTTCACTGAGAATACGGGGTCTCTTTCTCTGGTAAGCGCCTCCCGGACTCCCCAACCCGGTGCCCAGCACGCGCACCCAGAGCTCGTCGCTGGGGATGAGCTTCTTGGGGCAGCTCTTGATCTGGCCGAAGGGCCGGTTAGAGACACAAACGGGTGTGTCCTAAAATCGAAGATCTCCAAAACTGGCGGCTTTCCTTCTAAGCTCCTTTAGAACCACCGCACAAAGGTACCCTATGGTACCCTCAAAAAGGACAAACCCCAATGGGGGCCAGCCTCGAAAGTGGGGGTGGGGTGGGGTTCTCTTTGGTTTGCCTTCGGTAGAATGTTTGTCAGTGGCAAAGTCCATTCCTTGTTGGTAAGGAAAGGATATGCTAGTTTGCTCCAAAAACAAACACTGACAACAAATGACAAGCCAATGAGAATCAGCAGCGCGATGTAACAATGCATCACTATGGATTCCATAGCACGTTTAAGGGTGGCCTTGGACCAGGGCACGATTCGACCCAAAGCACCAAAAGAAGCACGAGACAATCGGACGTCTGGGTACTGGGGGCCGGGCGGCATGGTTCTGCCCCGTCCTTGGTTCATCGCAGCTCCATGGGTTTGCCGAAGGGGGGAGCTTCCTTCAAACCAACCCCAAACGGGGCACCTTCAAAGGACGCCCAGAGAAGCCGCTCATGGTACGTCTGATGCCTCATGCGCCTAGGCTCCAAGTCAAAACATCCGTGCCACTTGGCTTTTCACATCAACACGCAGAGCCATGCTGCAATGTGGTGGATGGACGACATCCTTAAACCCACATCCCACATGGTCCAGGATTTTGTCCAGCCACAGCATGGGCCCGGATGTAGTATTATTGAATTTCTGCCGATAATTCGAGGAACTTCCCCACAGCCATGCGGATCCGTCAAACCCTCCCAGCGCAGCTCCTGCGTCACAATTGTGCGAACTCTGACAAACCTCTTTCTACATGTACGAGCAGGTTGCAAAACCCAAAAAAAAGAAACCAAAAACAAAGTGGACGGGTCCCTTTAGTTTCCCTGTAAGCAAGTTCACCGAATGACCGAATAAAGAATTATCGCACTTGGCATAGCCACATCCCTCTGAAAAATGTCCCCAATATCCTCAGGCAAGCGTCGGGGGGAAGCAAATGCTCGGGCAAGGTCCAATACCTGGACCCTCCTCGTGGTCACTTTTTTGGGGCTCTAAGCAGCTGTTTTGCTCATTTCGGATTTTTGAGCGGAAGATGCCGAAATGAGCGAACAAAATGCGTTGTCCGCTCTGGTGATGGAAAATCGGAAGAAACCGGCGGAAGATCAGCGGACACCGGTGGAACATGTGCAGAAATTGGCAGACACACAGCAACACTCAGAACCAGTTTGTGCCTGTTATAGTCTGATCTGGGAATCTGGGCTTGCGATCCGGCAAAGTTGCCGACAACAAGTGCCCGAGGAAGGTCTTCGTCCCCGGGCCACGTTGCCCTCTGCCAAATCCAGCTGAGGGCCTGGCTGTTTGTGGCGAGCCTTCCACACGGTGCCAAACGTGCCGGAGCCGATTTGGTCGTTCATCTCGTACATCTGGCGCTCGATAAAAGCGGCTTTTTATGCTGCATGACAGCATCGGTAACGGATGCGTTGGATGGTGTTAAACAAGCGGTGTCCCTTCCTTCCCTTCGGATTGCAAATGAAACCAACACGGCGAGCTCAAGCTTCTCCAAACCAGGCACAGATCCTACGCGCCTGGCTAGGGTGCCCGTCCAGATGCTTGCAAAAGATGATGGGCCGCACCATCTCGGAGCCATGCGAGTGCATGCAAACAGAGACAGCCGATTGATTCCCTGAAGGTCTGCTGGAACCTCGCTGGTTTCTCGGGGATTGTTCCCAAGGGCAGCGCGTACCTTAAATTTCACAAACCAACCAGCAAAGCCGCGGTGAATCACAAGGCTTGGACAAGAGTCACCGTGCGGGTGAACCACGCTGACTGGGTGAAAAATGGAGGGTCTGCAAAAAGCACACACACACACGTCCTTTTGTACCATCCCTCCAATCAGGAAAGCTCACAGGTGTTGGAAGACTGTGGAAGACTGCTTGCAGTCTTGGGAATCCCCCTGTCCACTGTCGTCATTGCTGGAACAAATGTAAATGTGGCTTCCTCCAGGGGAAATCGAGAAAAAAAAAAAAAAAAACGAAAAAAAAAAAAAAAAAAAAAAAAAAAAAAAAAAAAAAAAAAAAAAAAAAAAAAAAAAAACACGAGTTATGTGGCGCTAGCTTGCTGAAACTCTAGTTAAAGGTACCGCGACCCTTGCAACGTGTCTGGGCAACGCGGCCATCTAGCCTGTTGCCTCACCGGGTAACAGCCCCCTCCTACCCCAGGCGACGACGACAACCCCCTGCCAGCATTCCCCTGCTTTGCAAACCACCAGGTTGATCCATCCGTGTCAACCTCTGACCTCGAACACCCCTCCAACCCGAGGCCACCACACTGGGTCGACGCCCCTGGGCGCAAAGCTGAACCAGAAGCGCTTGACCCGTGGCTACACTCCGCAGGTCCGTGCAGATTAGCATGGAACCTGCAAACCAATGACCAGAGGATCTACTTTTGGGTGTCCCATCAATTAATTTCCACTGGTGTCCCCATTCGGAGGCACAGACACGTTGACCTCTGACTCAATTTTCCCCAGTCGTCCATGACCATCCATGAGCATCTCTTGCTTCGCGGCAATACGCAAGTCCTGTAGGGACCTCCTGAATCAACAGCCACAAGGGAAGTATCCATTGAGGTTCAGTTGGCAAGAGAGATGAAGAACCGCAGTCCCCATCCAAGTTGTGCCCCAGCTCAACTCCACGCAAAAACCAGATGCTACGGGTCTGCCAACCGCCACACCCCAGAACTTCTCACCATCAGGTTTCGAGGGACAAGCCTGGTCAGACCTTGTCACAGGTGTCACGCAACGGACCACTGGCCTTTTAAACGTCAAATCCCAAATCGCATACCTCCAGGGAAGCTGGTGGTTGAGTTGATTTAGGAGGTTATCCTCATGTGAACAGGTTGGGGTTGAGGACCCCCGACCTTGGGAAGCGCTAAACATGGTCTAATAGACGCGGTCTGGGATTATGCGAAATTCGGCAAGATTCGGCGAGATGCGTCGGTGCTGCATCAATTGTAGCGAGTACTGCGCGGCGTGATGCGGCGTGATGCGTCCCACGTCGCGAGTCGCCGATGCGGGCAAAATGCAACGCGGTAGACCGCGTTAGTTAGACCATGTTTGGTGTTTTCTGAGACCTGTAAGCATCGGATATGTCGTGGCTTTGGAATGGTTCCGCAGATTTGTAAGCCCACAAGTCGTTCATCCAGGTTCTCCTTATGCAAACGCGAATCTCCACACAAGGAACTTCCTTCACATTCCTTGGGGAATGTACCAGTCAGTGGGAAACCTTAATCGCGTGGAGAGCCAGCATGGGTGTTCCGAGGGATCCCATGCTTCGCTTTTGTTTTCAGAGGGGAACCACAATCCGCAGAACGCCCTAGGACGATGTGGAGCGAGCAAGATGAGAAACCTGAAATGGAGCCACGCCTTTCTCCTGGTTCCTTTGGGTTCTTCCTCTGCCCTTTTCGGGGTTACCAAGGGCCACCCGCGACGGCTCTACCAGAACCAGCGCGCAAACCGAGCGCGCGGCCAGGCCATGCCTCGACGCGAGTCTTGTGCTTTTTGCTTTTTCCCCCGCGGGTCCAGTCCGTGGGGTTGTCGTCAAATGGAAATTCGCAGGAAATAAGCTCAAGTGATATCCCCAGCACCACCCGCCCACAAGACAGGGGAGTGATGGACATGAAAGCCTGAAGAAAGTGGTCTTCCACGCAGAAATCTGTGCACTTCCACGTGGGAGGATAAAAGGTTCTACCGGACCAAGGCGAACTAACACAATCTGACAAGAAGCAAGAAAATGGATGAAGCACCCAAAGAGAGGATTGATCAGGCAACGGGTGTTGATCCGAGTGGAATGCATTGAATGAACAAAAGCCGGTGCCAGTGCAACCAGAACACGACAACTCGTAAAATGTTCCATGCAACCGACCAACTATCAAGCTTCAGGTTGGGAAATTGACCAGCGGGGAATTTGAAAGTCAAATCCCCAAGCACTGGATGTAAACCAACCACAAACCCTCAAAGGTTACAGAGAACATTGCCTTGTAAATGGTGGTTTCCCCTTACTGACAAAATTGCCCTGTATATATAGTACCTCCAGGCCAGACCCTTGCTTTGTTTCGGGAGATTCCGCGGTCCCAGCCTGCCGACGCCGTGGCTGTGCCTTGAGAAAACGAGCAGAGTCCGTCTGGCCGCCATACGATTAAAACTAAAACCACATTGCCAACCTGGCTTGACCTTCTTCGAAGGCGTTAAAAACGGAAAAGGGGGCGGGAGCAACTCACATGAAACCTCAAAACCTGTCATGATTGCTGACATGTGCACCTGAACCCCCGCCCGAAGAAGAACCAACGCATCCCTCCATTTGATGAAGTCCCCTGGAAAAATATGTCCAATAGTGATAAATTCCCTGGGAAAATAAACAGTGGGAAAAAAAAAAAAACACTCTTAACCAAACGGAAGCATCCCAAGTTTTGAAACCAAACGACACAAGCAGCTCACCTCGGGCTGCGGCCGTCTCCCGAGGCCTGGGCGCTTGAAGGTGGCGGCGTCCTGAAAGAAGAACCGGCAGCTCGGGGTTGCTGGACAGGGGCTATGGGGAAACGTGACTTGGTTTAAGTTGCCTTCACTTGAGTTGGTTTGCCTTCAGTTGGGTTCGTTTGCCTTCAGTTGGGTTCGTTTGCCTTCAGTTGGGTTCGTTTGCCTTCAGTTGGGTTGGTGTGGGTTGGTTGGTTGCTTTGGTGGTTTGGCTTGGCTTGTTGATATGGCTTGGTTTGTTGATTTGGCCTGGTTTGGGTTGGATTGGCTTGGTTCGGGTTGACCATGTGCGTTGATTTGGCTTGGTTTGGGTTGACTATGGTTGGTTTGGCTTCAGTAGGGTTGGCTTAGCTTGGTTTGGTGTTTTTGGGTCGGTTTGGCTTGGTTTGACTCATTGAGGATTAGAAAGGCCCATGGCCGTACCGTCGCGGTTCTGGCTATGGCTCTGAATCAGTAGAGTCCAGAAAGAGCATAGCCCACAAGAACCACTTGCATCTCAAGAAGAGAACCATCCGAAGCCAGCCTCAGAATTCTGGCAGTACCTGAGTTGTAATTTCTCGCCTCCTACCAAACTGACAGCATGTGAGACTACGGGCAGCTGTTGGCAAAAGATAGTCGAATCAAGCAAACATGTACCTATACCCACCCCCTGACCCCCCCCTCCCCCCCACCCCCAAATTTGGGTCCCCCCCAAAATTTTGTTGGGGTGATCGGTCCCCAAAGTGCCCCTTCAAGCCGGGCGCCCGACCACGGACTGCTGAATCGTAGCCCTCGCCGCGAGCGGCTGGTCCAGAGGTTTGGGTTTCCCTACCACAAGGCCACCCATCCAACATGCTTCAGTCTGACTGGGAGACAATTTTTTTCTGTGCAGAGTTAGCTGCCTGTTTGTGTGCCAGATTTTAAGGTAGGGATGCCTTGTTCTTTCCCTCAAACGGACCCTTGGTGAAATCCAGTTTAGGGCGGTCACTGAGCTGCGGAAGCGAGCGACTGGAGCAAACGAGCTCATGTATCGCCAAGCAGCGAAATTCCCGTTTTGCTCGCGTCTAGGGCCCAATCAGGAAACTGTGCAACCTTGGAACTTCCCCGGAATCAACCGGAACTCTTCCGCAGCCCCCAAACTCGGCGCTCAAAAGTAGGGACCTCTCATCCCCGTCGGGCCGAAAAAATGGGCTGGGCTGCGGGCGCGCATTCCTCCGACACGGAGCCCAAGGGCATGGAGCTCTGAACTTGGACCAGTTCCGTGCAGGACACCTCGCAAGCAGAACGCTAGAGCCGACCCAAAACCCGCAAATGCCGCCAATCAAGACATCACCCATATGGCAAAGACATTCAACTGCCCAGTTCCAGTTACCAGCAGAGGTAACGTGGGGGAAACCACCACTGAGATTCCTGCCATGGCAACAGGGCTAGATGGCTCAACCCGGTGCAAGCGAACAACTGTTGATTGCTTGGGAAAGACACCCTCACTTCCCCAAGTTGAAGCTTTCAAAAAGCGACCAAGACACCTGGGAAAGGGGGTTCCAAAGCCCATGGAAAATACAAGCAAAGAATCCCGGCTGTTGCCACACCAACAAAATTACGACCGCCCAAGTTTCACTTACCCGCGGTTTAATTGTGGCTGGGTTCAGTTTCGGTTTCGGGCAACGTGGACCCGTTTTCTTTGCACCCTCAAAATACTGGAAAACAGTTTCCGTCTCGTGTAGTGCATTCTGTCCCATGTTAAGGGTACCCCACACAATTTGGTGGCTCTCAAAACCCGAAGCGCTTGTGGGGACCCGCCCAACATGGTGGGGGGTTGCAAACGCCCATTTCTCTTCGCTTTACCAATTCTCTTCCCGCTTTGCCTTCTGCCAGTTGCCCAAAGAAGGTTGGGAGGTTCGCTTTGCCTTTTGCCCACATTTGGGGTTCCAGCTTCTTTAGCTCCACTAACATGTCGCCTTTGGGAGGGTACCTGGAAGATCAAATTCCTCTTGGAGGGACCCCCGAACGTCAGGTGCCATGGCAAAAAAAGGCGCCAAATCCATTTGCACCATACTTGATCGTTACACCAAAAGAGGTTACCCTTTATTAGGTGGCTGTGGCTCAAAAAACCGGTACCAAAATAACCCCTCCTGTTGCATTTCGAGCCACACCCAGGTTGTTGTTTTTTCTTTCTTGTGCACCCCCCCCCCCAAAAAAAAAAAAACAAGACATGGGTGATCAACGGCCAAACAAAAAAACAGTTGGTGTTCTCGTCCGTTGCAACGCAAAACAAAAAATCGCCCGGCCCATGGGATTCAACCGGACGCACAAAAAGGCTCCCGGGCGGGAAGCTGCAGCTGGCCGCTGAAGCTCATGGCCCTTGGCCGGCTGCCGTCGGTCCTTACCACCGAAACGGAGCGAAGGCCCGAAGGCCCCCCCTCCCCCCTCCCCCGGGGGTTCTGGGGGACACCTGACACAGGCGCGCAGGCATGTCTGCAGATGCCTAGTGCCCAAGGAAACAAAGGGCATCCTGTTTGGGCTGGTTGAGTTTGAAGGAGAACCCGTCCCCGCAAAAAAGAAAGGAGAAAAAAGGCGCCACTGGGGCAAGTGGGTTTTGGTGGTTGGCCCAAAAATGCGTGGCTCCCTAGTTCCAAACCAACTAAACAAGTGTACCCTCCCACCAACGCACGTGGTTTGCTAGGTTCCATGTTGATTCTTGTCATAGTATGTTTGTACACCTTCGAATTTAGGATTACTTTTTTCAGCCCGCAAAGGTCTCAACAACCTGCGGTCGGGGGTGCATGAGTGACCATACCTGAACAGCGCTGGCTTGATTGCGGGATGCCGGAACGTCTTCGAGCGCATTCGAAGAAGCTCACCGAATCCAATCTTCAGCAATGTCTGTCGTTTCTTCGTGCCAATCTGCGGGGAGCCAGTTGCGTACGATAGCCAACTTTTTTCGGACCCGCGCAGTCAGGTTCAGGGGAGTGATCCCTCATCGTTCCGAGCAATCTGTCAGCCTGACTACAAACCCGTCCCGCATCCGCACAGTCCAAGGCCCCGGCAGTCTGTGCTGCCTGGAAGGCAGGCCGCCCCAAATCGCCCAGTCCGGGACTCCTTTCCATAAACCTTGTTTATTGAAAATGACCGACGGTTGACAAGACTGAGGGAACCAACGCTCAGAAGAATGCCCTTCTGGATAAGGGCCCCGCCAGAAGGGCAATCTGGGCAATCGATATCGGAGCCACCCACTAGCTTTTGTTCGCTTCTATGACTTGGTTCAACAAGGGTTGTCTCCAAGTCGGGGTTCACCTCAAAACGGCTGGTTTCAATTTGGCCCCCCTTGAAAAAACAAGCATCCAAAATGGATGGTTTAAAGTTAGTTTCCCTTGACCCTTCACGAGCAAATACACAAAACCATCAGTCAACCTTCACCTAGATCCAGATTTCGCTGGCTAAGCCGGCGGCATCGGCAGCTCGCTCTCGAACCTATCCAGCTTGTCCTGGCCGAACGATGTGTGCTTCGGCATGTTTTTGGACTTGTGGGTTTGCTTCAAGGAAAAAGCCAAAACGAAACATCTTAAGACACATGTGAAGTTCACATATGCCATATGCTTCTCCTTGTAAGCTGAACTACGATTGGGACCGTGACACTCTAGCCACACGGAGGGAGTGGGGGGGGGGGGGGTACCCATTGGGGGGTGGAAGGTGGTATGGGTTTGTCGCAAAACAACGGGAATCCCAAAATGGGGAATCCCTTAATTGTCCCCACAAGTCTTATGATCATGACTTAGGTTGATTACCCTATCTACCCAACATTATGTGGGCACTGTTAGTACATGGGCGTTTCTCAAATAAAGGAACACTAAATGAGCGGTTTGGCTTTAGCGTCCCTTCAATTCCCTCAAAACAAGACACACCCACAGTAGCCACGGTGAAAATACGCACCTACCCTAAATAGCGTTTGTGGGAAGTTTAGCGAATACTCCATATCGCTCCCATATCGACTTCGCCGAACCGATAGGAAGCCCCCGCCCCTTTTGGGTGGCTTTGACAGGGAACACATGTAAACTCCATCTCAAAGATTCTGCCTTCGGACCCAGGTAGGCCCGCTGGGCATCCACGGTCCCCGTTTGCCTTGACCACAGGTCCCCCCCAAAAGCAAAACAACTGTAATGGGAAAACCCAGCCAGAATTTGGAGGCATATCGGCCCCCCACTTTTGCACCAACCCTGGTTTGTGATACTTCCACATGAGCCACCCCCTTCTTGGACATATTCGCCTGTTCCGCCCGTGGCCTCCGACTGACGCAGGATGTCGCCCAGGGCCTGCATGCGGATGTCCTGGCCGCAGGTGTCTGTGACATGTCTGCCAAACGGGAGCATCCCCCCCATAAACTACTCAGGTGATTCCTATTGACATCAACATGAGATACCCAGGACAAAGCGCAATGCCTCAAAACCCAATCTTGCACATGGAGGCCGCCGGCTCCGTAAGGGAACCACTGACTCCAGCCCCCAAATGCGTACCGTGCCAAGCAACCTGCGCTTTGCTGCTCTTGCTGCTTCTGGGTGCAGTTTTCAACCGACGGTGCAGGCGGTTTCCATGCGCTCCAACCAAAGACCAACACGCCGGCTTCACCCCGCGGCTCTGGTTGTTCATGACCTGAGCCAAGTTGCCCAGAAGCCCCCAGTTTCCGGCACTCCGCGAGGAAACAATACATGGCTTGTCTCAAAATGGTGCGACCCTCGAAAAGTGGCGGGGGGGGGGGGTTCCTTGGTTTCGCTTGGGAAAAACGCAAAACAAAAACAGACAAAAAACTCTTCAAACGCACATGCTGGAAACTGACGCGGCAGGGCCCAATCCCGGAAGTGCTTGGATGTCGAGAGCCTGATTTCAAAGAACAAAATCCAGGAGCAAGTTGCCACACCCCCTGGTGTATGCCATCTGGATGAAACAATCGCAGCACTTGGTCTTGGTAGGTGATTTATCCCAGTACGAGGGTCTCATCCATCCCAACTTCCCATCTGGTGGAATTTGTCCACGCACAGCACGACTTCCCCACGTGCCCATGACGATGCAGGCGAATTCCAAGCATGACCTGCAATCTTGGCCATTTCCGGCAAATATCGAGGAATCTCCAAGAAAGGCACTTTGGGTGAGCTCGCCATTAGATGCATCGCCTGTAGGGACACAGACTCAACCAAAAGGTCAAGGATCTTTGAAATCTCTCCAAAGGCCAAAGCCGCCTTTGGCATGGCTTCCCTTCCTTTCGCAGCATGGTCGCCCTATTCCCGTGAGGCCACCGCCCCCCCCCCCCCCCCGCAGGGCTTGGTGGGTCACATTCGCCGAATCTCCGAGGCCCTGGCCGCCTGCAGCGGTGTGTAGCCCTTCTCGAAGATCCTCAAACAAGCCAACTCTCCAAAGGGTTCCCCTTCACAGACACGCCCAGTGACGTTCGGAGAAACGAACTCTGAACAGCGCTCCCTTAAACACACGAAACCCCACCTCGGCTCTAACACCCCTTCATGAATGATAGGCAGCAAAAAATCGAAGGTATGGTAAAGGCCAGGAAGTTTAGCTGCATACCTCTACTAGGGGGGATTTCAAAGATTGGCCAAGCTGCAAAAAAGTGGGGCCCATGCCAGTTTCATATGGGGATGGGTCAAGATTAAACCACCAGGGGACTGCAGGTTTTAGTCCATGTTTCCATTTACCAGAGATCTATATGGGGTACCTATTTTTGACCCACACCCATATCAACCCGCCTTTGAACCCAAACAAGGCCCCAAAGTTCTGGCCACCGCCCGCTTAGCAGAAAGGCCCGGCAATCACCTGCCAGACAAAACTCGACACCATCTTGCTTGAAGAGCATTACAGCAACTGAACCACCAAAAAGCCGAAACCGCAAAGTTCGCCCAAGGGTTGGCCCTTTGGTCTAGGAAACGGTTGGATGCGCTTTTTGTGGATATTCAGCTGTTCTTCTGGTGTAATCGCTTGCGCTACTCTGTTCGTTGAGTGATCGTTGAGTACTCGTTTCATATCAGCTACACACATCCAAACCGCTTGGAGGGGACGGGTCCGAGGAACTCGACCTCCATCGAAGCCGATGGGACTCGGGCTCCCAGGGCTTGCTCTGGAGGAAGCGCGCCGATGGGTTCGCCTTGCTCTGGAGCAACAGCCTCGGATCGGACACCCCCCGAAACGCGCCAGCAGCCCTGCTAAGCGAGCGGACTTGTGCACATTGAAAAGGGAACATGAAGGACCTCCCAAGGCAAGAAACAAAACACATGTTTAGCAAAAGGCCTGGTCAATGGAAAATACCAAGCACACGCAAGTGGAGGTTGATGATGTTGATGTCCCCTAAAAGGTGGTGGTATCACCACTTGGGCTTGTCGCCCAACAAGACCAGCGGGCTGTAGGGTTCTCCTTTCGTTGAGACTCTCAAATAGGATAACCCCCAAAATTGACGGCTTCCTATCGGCCCCAGAAGGAACCCTCAAGCACAACCTCCCAGTCACTGGATTCGTTCAAATGGGGGAGGGGGGTAGATGATCAGAGTAACAATTTGCAAAAATAGGGGAGCCTTTCAGCCTTTCCCTCAGATTCGGAAGCTTGCCAGAGTTCAACCATCCCATTCTCATATCACCGAAGCTCAATCTCAATTACTAGATTGTACAAGGTTTCCCTGGAAAGGATCCATTGCCTGGTGGTTTCCAGTTCTGAAGATGGTGTCTCCAATTTTGCCCAGCCCTCGCTCGAAGGAACGGAGTGCTGGGCCTGGGGCTCGGGAAAAAGAGGGACAACTTGGGGACGCACACGCCGAGCAATCCGTGCCTTTGGTGTCCCTTTACGTTGGGGCGCCCAGGACCTCCGACTTGCGAATTCTCCAGAAAAAAACACTGGTGTTGCGGTTGTCTGGCTATTTCCCGGCCCTTGGCCGGACATTTGGAGCAGCCACCATCGACCACGTTGTTTCCTCACAACCGCACTTGTAAACATGCAAAAGCCTTCGAACCGGGAGGTCTCATCCTTTTCGTCGCCTGGCTCGCCTGGCCACCCCAAATCCTCCTGGATTTTGCTTTGCTGCATCCCCCAGCTCAAGTCCCCGCGCTTCACCACCCCCGGGCTCTTCAGCTTGCCCACGGCCTGGATCAAAACATGTCGCTGGGATTCGCTGGGATTCGGCCCGGCGGGCCGGGGGCATGTGACTCGGTCAGGGCAAAGCTGTCAAAAGTTGCGGTGATGAAAGTGGCTCACCTCTTGAGTGGATGCATCTGGGTCAGCCCTGCGAGTGTATACAACTCTGGCATCACGGCTACGTGGTTGAAACTGGCAAACACCTCCTCTTTCTTTCTTCCGCGGTTTCGGATTTGCCTCTGCGGGCTTTCCTCGGAAAGCTGAGTCGCATGTGAACAACGTCCGTTGCAAATCGAGTTGGATCCGCGACCGAGGTGCTCTTGCTTTTGAGTCCTTGCCCCATTTGTTTCGCTCGTTTTGGCAAACTGAGGTGCCCGGCAGTCGGACTGCATGACCACAAGTGCCAGTCAGGAGTGCCCACATGCAAAGCTTGGCGCTGGCGCGGGTGGCCCTTACACCTTCGCAGATCTGAGCCTCTGGCATAGAAGAGTGGAGCAGGGAGGCCGTTCGCCTCATCCAGAGGCACCTCAAATGTCGGATGCGATCTGCACTTGGACTCAGACCATCTGTTGTCGACACTGGTCCCTGTAGAAATGCGAAAGAAGACCTTCCTGAAACAGATGGCAGGAGGCGCGGGAAGAGCTTTGAGCAGCACTGTTGGTTCTGCAAAAGACGCGTGCAACACAGGCTCTAATACATGTCGTGTACATGGGCCTCGCTGTCACCCTTGAGAAACCCAAGCTAGAACGCTTGCCTGAAATGGCCTACGAGGGTGTTGGGAGTCATCGAGCCGGCGCTTGATCCTGCTGATGTCTTGCAATACTCTGCAGAAGAGAAGCAGTGTTGTCACCCTTGACTTATCCTAATCCTAATCAGGCATGGGTGTGTTCGTGCATACGTGGACCGATGAAGTGCACCCACAAAGTAAATAATTTTCGCCGGCTTGGCTTGACTCAACGTGTTCTATCACTGCACCGTAACATACCATAACCATTTGTCTCTTGCCACTCAACGACATACAGCAACGCCAGCTCGCTTGAGAACTCCTCCCTGATCCTCAGCTTTCCCGATAGAATGAATTGTGTTGAACCAAACATACGCCAAACCCTCGTGTGGAAGCTGGTATCAAAACCGCATCAGTCGCCATCCCGCAGTTTGCTTTAAATTACTCTCATGTACCTTGGAGGAAGAATTTGGCCCAAATGGGCACGCGTTTGGTGGACTTGAGGTAGAGTGAACATCACTTCGGTAGGGGGAGCAAGACGGGACAGGCGCCATCCAAAAAATTATGTCCGCACATGAGAGCCTTTCTTCGTCCCGCGGCGAAAGCTTTGGGGGGTGGGCTGAAGGGTCAAATCACCTACCGCGATTCCTGCGCTGGGCTCCGCGGTTCAGAGCCGACGGAAGAGTCCTTCCCAACCCCGATCGCACTGGAAAAAAAGTGATGGTTGGCAGCCTCTAATCAAACGCGAGAGGGCCTCTTTCATCCTGCACCTGTGGATGTGTCTGCCAGCTGGGTTGCCAGTTGAGCAAAAAAAAACAAACCAAAGATTAAAAAAAAGAAGAGGCCACACCAAACCAAAAACCAAAAAACACAAAGCAAACAAAAAAAGCTGACCCACCCAACTCCAACTCGTTAAACCGCCGGCGCCTGCAGGGCCGCCTCGTCGGTTTCCTGAAGCGCCTGGCGTTCGAAGCTCGGTTGCGGGTTTCGAAGCACACGGGGTTCAACAATTCGGGGGGGGGGGGTCCCTCTTGGTTCCCAGAAAAACGACCACCAAAAGGGCACCCTCACCAACAAACAAACACACACACACACACACAAATGGGTGTGGCAGAAGGCAGAAGGCTCCGAAACAGTTGTTTGGAAATGTCATGCTCGTTGTTGCGAGTGTCATTTCTCTGGACCTGTGAACATCAGCCAGAAATCATGGTCGACATTTTGTCCAGTTCTCCACGCTGCCTTGCGAATCTTGAGGAATCACCCGCGCTCCCGACCAAACAGGGAATGCCCTGACACCCTCAAGACACCCTCAAGAGGCTTGAGACATGCTTGCGAAGCCCAGCACCTAGACTTCCCTTGGTTTGCAGCCCGGAAAAAACCGCCGGAAGGGTTGCAGGGAATGGCGGGGCCATGGCAATTCGAAACATTGGGGCAGCAAAAGGAGCCCCAACCGGGGTGCCCAAACTCTAGGATTTCTAATCCACGCGAATCATTTCTGCGAAACAGTCAATGCAAAATATGTCGCCTCGAATTCCAGGTGGTGAATCGCGCAAGGCCTTTTATCGAACCCTTGTGCCTTCCTCAAATGCACCTCAGACTTCAAAGCCTGCTGACTCACTTGTCCAGTGACCATCCCAAAAACAGTGTACACTTTTTGGGCCACCACCAAAATAGAGGGAGAGCCACCAAGGACAAAAGTGTAAAGTGTGTCCACTGGCTGGGTGAGCTGAGCAAAACCTCCTTTGCCCTTCCATAAGGCCTCCTCGACGCACGTGACCTCGCCCTGCATCTCCACCATGGCCTGCCAAAGCTGCTAGGTTGGTTGCCAGATCTGAGATCAAAGCGGCACCACCAAACCCAACAAACGCTATGTCACTCCGTCCAAGAGCTCGGTGCCCCACAGAAATGGGCCGGTAACCGGACCATGGCCAGCCATTGGCCATTGCTTGCGACAAATTTGGGAATCGAAAGGAGGTAGATTGATCGGTTGAAACATGTTGAAACAAAGGCTTGGCGCAACCCTGGTGTCTAGAGTTTGCCTTGAATTCATGGGTTCTCGTGTCATTTGTGTAGGTCAGGGGGGAAAACAACTGGAGGTTGCGGTCATGCAGTACAGTCACGGATTATGTAGATGTTGGTCATGTTTCATGGGAACAAGAAACACGGGGCATGTCATGGATGGCCATGTATCATTTCTGGACACAGGCTCTTATCCTGGAAGCTGCTAATTCAGGGGGGAGGTCGAAGAACAGGGGGCGTGCGCAAAAAGGACGTCCCAGCGTTCAATCAAGGAACTGCAAGTCACCATTCAGCGCGTTTGTCTGAAAACGGGTGGCTTCCTTGTGGTGTCCTTTTGATCCCGAAAAGACTGCCCACCAAAAGAGACGCACCCCAGTCACAGGGCGGACGCCTCGTAAAGCGGATGGGGCCTCATCTCCCCAGTGCCGGACCTCGGAATGCATCTGGTGGTCTTTCACTGATCCTACCTACGATTCTTGTCCCGTATGAGGCTTCTTTCTCCCTAAGCATCAACTGATTTCCAGGAATTCCAAGAGTTTGCCATCCCTATGGACTTGTCGAATAGGAATCCTCCCCCCCACCCCCCACGACAAAACGGAACTAGGTTTCCCATTTATTTTATTTTATTTTTTTAAAGGGGAATCAACACACTCACAGATCCGTCGTCAAAGCCATGTCGGCGCCCCGCTTCTCCAGCTTGCCGCGGTCGGCGCCCTGATACGAGGGAGCCGCGAGGGAGCCGTTCCGCTTCGGCTCGGCCTCCCTCGAATTGGAGGGATGGATGGGGTTTGGAGGGGTGTCCCATTTGGCTGGGTCAAAACCCTGTACCCCTGCTGAACATCAAAATAGGTGGCAAATGGATGTTCATCCACCCCAGAATGGAGCCATAGGTGATGCCCTTTGGCCATGTCTCCTCCACAAGAAGGGGTTCAAGCCCCCTTCCCACCAATCCCAGCCACCAAACAAGGGCAAGGTGAGTCGCCCGCTAGATGCTCAGGAGGACAAAAACAACGCAAGCTGAATTTGTGATGTTGTACGTGGGAGGTGGTACCCTAAATGGTCCAGAATCGCTCCTAGTACCTGATCATTGTTGGACTGCATTTGCTCCCCTTGCTAAGGCTCTGAATCACGGCATTCAGAAACATGTTGTCGATGACTCATTGCCACAGTCTTGTTAACAACTGATATGAAAGGAGCTGCAACTCATGCCTTCCAAAAACCTTGAGCAAGATGCGCAATCAGATCCGCGTCTCCCGCAACCAAACCTAGTGACTTGCGCGCAAACGACGGAAGAGGTCCCGCCATCTTGTAGGAGTACTTTGTGGTCATGATTGGCCCCTGGCACGGAGTCTCGCTCTCGAACCTGCACCTCCCGGATCATTGTTCCACGTGGGTGTCTTTTTTGAGGGAACCCGTTTTTGGTAGGTGTTTAAGGGAAACCGAAAGAAAACACACCATTTTCAGGCTCCCCCCCAAAAAAAACACTTGTCCAAGTACACCACCCCTAGCTGGGCTTCAGACATTCGCTGCATTCCATTTTTCTCAAGGCGAGTCATAGAAATCGAATTGTGTCTTGCACGGGATTGAAAGGAACCCTTCACCATCTTAAACAGCCCCTGCCAATTCAAGGGTAGAAGCCTAAAGCCCAGCGAAACTTTCGGACCCTGTAGGTCAAACCAAACGCAACCAGCGGTGCTGTTTGACGGTTTCGTCTCGGACTGGTGACTGGTGGTCTGTAAGGAGCTGCGTTGAAGGAACCTTCTAATCATTCTCCATGACAACCCAGTTGTCGCTGTTTGGTCATTGGTTGGCACGGATCAGTCAACCATGCGGGTCTTGCCCAAAATTGGAAAAGGAGGTCCAATAGCTGGCACTGAGCCATGCAACATTGCTGCCCGCCCCCCGTTTGTCTTAAATAATTCCCCACAACAACCACAAATTGTGGGTGGCACTGGGTCATGGAAACTGGCTCGCACCCAGGACCCAGGGGTACCAAAAAGGTCAACCACCGGACTTCCCCAGAAAACCTGCACCAAAAGAAAAGCGGCTCCTCGTCTTCTCCCTCATCCTCCAGGTCCTCGAGGTCTGCCGCACAGACCACGCTCCTATCGGCCCAGCCCGAACTCCGCATGTGAGCCGCGGTCAAGGGAAAATCGGGGAGTCCCCGGTGGTTTGTGGGACATTTCGTGCCCCACATGGCCCTCTCATGCATTGATGACCATTAACAACCCCCAACCAAAAATACAAATGTGCTTCGACCATGGCAAATGGCAATCGTCCGTTTGCTTCAGGTGCTACATGGTGCCGCTCAAATCAAGACAGTTGCCAGTCATGACCATTTCCCTTACAACCAAGGGGAGGCACCTTGAACACAAATCGCCATTTCAGTGAGTGGAAGCAATCACCGAGTGGAAGCAATCAGCCACTGGTGGTTGAAGCTTCCTGAAGTTCCCCTTGAAGGTTCGCTGGTGTGGTTGAAACCAATTTTGCTCAACTGGAGCAACCCTTTTTGATGCCAAGGAGCTCCAGAGCAAAACTCAAGAAGCCGACGGCACGGGGTTGAGTCCAAACTCCGGCCGCTTCTTCTGGGGATTTCGGCGGGGTTTTCCAAGGACTGGAAAAAATGAACAAGTTACCCATCGAGAAGTGGTTGATTCCCGGTTCGTTTCTTTCCGGGCTGGCCTCTTTTTGCGCCCTCACGGCGCCAGGGCCCCCTGAGGCTCTGGTTCAAACCAGCGCCAACCAAATGTTGTCTGGTGTGCGCCATTTGATTCAAAGCCATCCCAATTAAAACTGATATGTTCCAGATTCCAGCCCATATTTAGATACGCTTCAAAGATATAAAGATCAAAGGAGACCCCAGCGTTGACTGGATGTTCAGCGGTATGTCAAAACTGGGGTCCCCTTAATAGATTGGTGTCTTGTTGGTGTCCCTTTGAATGCCAAAAGGCTATCGACATTTGCTTTTCCGGCCATGTGACTCGCGCCGCGATCGGGTCGAAGGTTGTGGAATTCGCTCCTCTGGGAGTTGAGAAGAGGCCGGCCACCCTTCTTCCTGGCAGGTGCCAGGGGAAGAACCCAAGCACACGAGCGACACGGGAGACTTCTTGCCTTGGAAGATTTACCCACATCCCGGCTTTCCAGCAGGCCACTGTCAACCTTTTCAACCCGCCCAAACCCATGGACTCTTGGGAACCCCCAAAGTGTGCTTTAAGTTTGGGAAAATTTCGGTGTCTGCGGTTCCCTTCACATCAAGATGGGGATTCCCCTCAGCAAGAAGAGAAAAAGAGAGACATCCAAGCGAGGCCTGTTAGGGAGAAAATCGGGTTGATTTGGGGCCCCATGTCCCAAAAACTCAAGAAACAGAACCCCGTGGTTTTGACTTTCTTTGCGGGGTGAACCCAAGAGGACGCCCTTTTGGGTGACCAGCGCTCTTCCCAGCCTGAGGCTCTCCTCGGCGAGTTGAAGGACCATGGTGCCCTTCCGCATGCTGGCGCTGTCCTCGAGAAAACCGCTCACATACGGCTGGAAGTGCTCGTTCTTCTCACGTTTTGCCGGGGGTGGGGGGGTGAGGGTGGGGGGGTGAGGGTGGGGGGAGGGATTTACAGGGACTCTCTGAAGGGAAACAAACACATGTTGTGCTTTTGTTTGGAGGGTGCAGGGAGGCCAATGATTTTGGGTAGTAGGTAGAACAGTGCGGGCTGGTGTTCAGAGATTCGGGGGTGTTCCGAAAGAAATAAGATCCATGGACGCAGCAGAAGCCCAGGATCGAGCTTCCCATCCCAAACGTCTACACTGGTTTTCAGAGAACGTTGTTCTGCAATCGCAGAGTCCAATCCAAGAATGGCCCCCATCCTTGCTTGGACACCCTCCTGTTCAACAGGTGGACAGAGAGTGATGCCATTGACCCAAGACCTAACCCAGATGAGTGTGGCACATGTCAGCTTGCCTGCGGCTGACAGCAAACACTGCCATTGGCCACCCCGCCCTTTCGCCTTCAGCGATGGCGAATCATCCTGGCCGAAAGGCATGCGCGAGATCGCGCTCCGCCACGCAAATCGGCTCGGCCGAAGTTCATTTCATCAAGCCTAGGACAGTAGCTTATTTGGGTTGCAACGGCTTGGGCCTAAGGATTGTTGCCAATTGATGCTTCAGCCTCAGGTAACCCTGAATCAGAGGGCAGCAAACTTGCTTGCCTGTTGGCCCGCGAGAGGCAAAACGACGCGGGCCCTATTGGAACCAAATGGCCGCCGTCTTCCTCTGACCCCTTGCCATCCTCAAAAGAAACGGGGCCGAAAAACAACCCCCCCCACCCCGCCACCCTAAACTCCCTCCCCCTCTGTCAACCCCAGTTTTTCCCAGCTGAGCACCCTGGAACCACAGTTTTCACCAAGCTTCTTGCTGCACCAAAACATGTTGGGCAATTGAAACCATTCCTCCTACGAAGCCCCAGACTCACCGGCGCCTTCTCGAAGAGCTTGTCCACCAGGGCCTTCTGCAGCTCCTCCACCTCCACCCCCGCCTTCAGAGCCACCGAGCACAGCTCCTTCACCTGTCGCCCGGTCCAACCAAATCAATCGACTCGTTGCGATTTTCAACGAGGCAGGGGCTGGAAGGGGCGAATCCTGCTTAGGATGGAAGTTCAGGATGGATTTTGTTTGCCGAAGCTCAGAGGACTGAGGGCTTTTTGGTATACGTGGATAGACTTTGGGAGTCTCTGTTTTGGCTCTCATATATTTCATTGGCGACCAGGTAGATGGAGTCCCGCTGCATCGCGCGAGTCCACCCGAGGCCGCGTGGACCCTCCGCCACCCCTCCCCCCCCTCCCCCTCACCCTTCCAAGAGAATGTGTTCTGCAGTGGGGCAATTTCAAGGGCCCAACCACACCCCGCACCGCCTGCGGAGCCAGCTTCTGCGCCAGCTTGGCACACCTAAGTCGGGCCCAGTTCTTTCTTCAAATTGGGGGGGGGGGAAATCTCGGCCAAAGGTAGGGGGGGTCCCCATACCCCTTTTCATATGTGGGACACCACTGAAACCAGGGAAACCACAACCTGGCACAAAGGATGAAGGACTGATTTTGAATCTTGAACTACCCAGGGCCACTGGCTGGCTATGACCGAGACTTTCTGTGGGATAGTTGCAGTGCCCTTTCAAACTCCTCGCAAGCGGCCCGAGATCACCCCGTTCATCAAGGCCACAGGCCCACGCAGCCATTTGCGTACTGACCCTGGCCCCAATCAAAGAGAGGGGGGACCTGAGTCACAATCAAAACCGCTCTCTATCCAAAGCCCACAACAGAGCAGCCGCTTCTGATTCTGGTTGGGAAGTCACCACGGCAGAGGTTGACTAGAGTTGACTAGACCCCTAGCACAGGATGGTTTTCACCTCGAATTAAAGCGCAGGGCGCACTATCACCCATGTTTTGGGGGGTAGATTCTGTTACGGGGAGTTTTCAACAGACCGCCTACGCAAAGCATGACGCCATTGAATCTGAAGGGACCTCAGTGACCCAGAGAAGCCCAAGCTGCGAGCAATCCGGAGCCCCATTGCGCTCGAGCTCATGCCAGGTTGCTCTGTGAGGACGTCCTCGTTCACCTCCGCCTTGCCTGTGAGCACGCGAGCCGGCCAAAGGCATCCTTTTGCAGGATGGAAGATCAGGGTACACTCCCCCCAAATTCTCAATTCTTCACCGGGATCATGAAAATCTGGAGAATGTTGCCAAAGAAACCTGAGAATTTGTGTGGTTTCTCCAGGCAACGATGAGTAAAACACACGAGCATCAACCAATAGAAATACGTCCAAACAAGGCATGACCCCGGAACAGGCCGAGCCATGGTTCAAACATGCTGATTCCGCTGATTCAGGAGACATTTAGACCTTCAAGGCCCACCAGCCGCGGAGTTCCAAATGTATGCCAGTTTATTGACGGGAGGGTCCTTGCGGTGGAAGCCTGTTGGAGTTGTGCCCAACAAACATGGAAGGGCACAAACCCGCGTGAGAGTCTACGGGGAAAGGGAGGGGCCCTGCATTTCCCTGTTTGGGGGGCGCAATCAGCCCCTTACCCACAAGAAAATGGTGCCATCTACTTTCGCCCAGCAAAAGCACTTCCGCCCAAAGTCTGTGCAGTTCCGAGGTAAAGAAGCCTTCCGGTCTCCAATCCACCCAAGCTCACATCCAATCACCAACCCAAACCCTCCAACCCCATCCAATAAACAAAGGAAGCCGGAAACAAACAACCAAACCCAGTCCAATTTAATCTACAGGAACCTTCCCCATTCTTTCCAGGGATCCTTCTTTTCAGCAAACCATCAACTTTCCAAGCAAAAACAGATCCGGTTTTTGAGAAGAATGATGGTTGAAATGTTGAAGGGACTCGGACAAGGAATCAACCCCTAGAACAAATCTCCAAACCCTTTTTGGTCCGTAGGCTGCTCAACCCCTAGATTTAAAACCCTAAAGACCACGAAGCGCAGCGATCAAATCGGAGTTTCCCCGAGGCCCCGGCAGGCAGTGGCGGCCTCCCGAATGGCCGAGGTCCACTTCTCGTCCGGCTTCACCTCCTGCGGGTGGATTTTGACCCGAGAGCTAGGGAACGAGAAATGGAATGAACCGGTGTTGGTGGGATTCCCAAAAGGAAACCACCAGCAAGGATGGTTTTTCCTGGGGTTATTCTAATTCTTAGTCCCTGCCAAGCACCAGCAAGTTACTTGGGGGACCTTGTGGACATCGTTTAGGAATTTTATGTCCAGCCACGCCACTTTGAGGGGGGGGAGGCGGGTCCCTGTTTAAAATTCATGTCTCTCCCCCAAAAGCGAAGGGTCGTTTCTAAACATTCAAAATCTCTGTGTCGACCTTACCCCCGAAGCAAACCAAACCCCATGCCAAACCGACCCCCCCCCCCGGGTGCAACACCCCCAATCCCTACAACCAGTACCTGACAAGAAGTATCCATCACACTGCAAATTCCCCTAATCCTCCTAACCTTCTTGAAACTCCGCTAACCCACCTCAACACCCATACCCTAAACCTAAGCCCCCCCAATCCCGATTCCCGGCACCTCCGAGATCCGGGTCTTCTTCTTCATACAGCTCTTAGTGGTCATGGACGCCGTGGGCGACACCACCGAGCTCCTCAGCCGAGCGAGTTGCCCGGGCTCGGCCTGCCAACCAAGCGGCGCGTCTTGCTGGGATTGACAACTCACTTCCGTGGATTGCTCCAGAAGCTGCCCAGACTGTTCGCCGTGCTTTTGGTACTGGGATAGCATCCTGGAAACATGAGCTGCCCAAAACAACCATATGGCCATGAGTGAACCCACCAGGGCACCGCGGGTTTTCGTCCTTGGTTCCATTGAAGAGTTCCATCTTGGGGGCAACCCCGATGTTTGACCAGCCATTTGACCCACTCGGATGGTTCCATTTATGGCCATAGGTGACCTTTGCCAAAATAGATGGCCCTGGTAGATGGAATCAAGCCCATCTAAACCAGCGCCATCTAAATTCTAATAAAGGTGAGCCAAAAGTATGTTTATGGCCTGACCCCATCTTTTGACCCAATCCCAATGTGGCGAGGTCCGGCTGAGGCGCCGGCTCTTTGGAGGCGGCCTTCCCTGGCGCCGGAGTGAAGGACATGTGCGGGAGCCGTGTGCATGCGTGTATAGAGGCATGTATAGTGTTTGTGTATATGTAAATATATATATATATATGTCATATATATTTATGTCATATATATGTATACGTACTATATATATATATATGTATATTTATGTCATATATACATGTATACGTACTATATATATTATATAACTCTTAATGGTACACCTCCAACACCCAGGTGGTTGACACATTCGGGGTTGGGCGGCGGCTCGCATGAGCGGAACACGACGTTCGTCCAATAAACGGCACCTGGGAATATCTCAAAATTGAGGTATGGCTCATGTGAGCATTGGTTAGGCCCTGCGCAACTAAACAATTGATGCTCTCAGCAAAGAGATAGCATTTGCATGCATATTACTTTCTGCATGTCTGCAATAAAGTTGGAAAACCCGGGGATGTTTTCAGCGAGGGCTTGAAAAAAAGAAAAAGCCCTTTGCCATATTGACAATTCCACAGGGCTCCGATTGCAGTTTGACATTCTACGCAGTTTGACATGCACAATAGTCGGGGAGAAAGAAGCTGTTTGAAAATCATAACCATAACATCCAGTAAAAGAAACATCTTGCTTTCATGGTATGTGCTGTATCAATTTGAATCAAATATATTGATATTGGTCATGGACCATCTTCCTTGATCCACGGTCACATGGGAAGACTTGGGTGCCCCGAAGTAGGTTGTGCAGAATCGGGTGGTTCCCTTGCTTAGTTGCCCAACTCTACTTGGAACAGGCTTGGAAACCTTTATGTCGCCGTTGGAAAGGCAGCCTAAGGCACATTGACCGCCAACCAAACAGGTACTCCCCGATTTTGAGAGAGCAGGCCGCCAACATAGCCACTTGGCAGGGCGCTGAAGAAGCAAGACCCATGTCAGTTTGTTTTTTTGGAGCTAAGAATCATGTAAGGGGCTCCCAATTTTAAGACAAACCCTTCTGCTTCAGAGGGCGCCAAAGTTTTCTCTATCTCAGATTTTTCACCCAGCTGGCTCTGCTGGATCTCTCACCCTGAGCATATCGCTGCGTATGTCTCACATCCAAAAAACTCTTCCATGTCTTGAAGTCGGACGCACATGAGCTTCCCCCGTACTCCCCTAGCAAACCCCCAACTGGGGTTGCTAGCTGCCTGCAGCCCTTACATCTGGCCGACGTATTGGGTCATCTAGGGCAGACTCCAAGGTTGGTCCCCCTGGCGGCACCGCCAGAATGCGACTGGAGTCAGCGCCTTCGGCCACGTGCAGGTAATGGGCCGCAGCCTCAGTGAGGCTTGCGGTCAATGCTCAAGTTGGGTCGCGTCTTGAAATGGGGGAATACCAAAATGGGTCATTTCCCTTTGAACTCCCTTGGAAGCCACCCCCAGAAAGGGTATTTAAAAAAAAGACACCCAGGTTGGGCCATAATTACAAAACACAGCCAAGTGGTCTAACTGCCAAGATGCTCGCAGACAAGCGAAGCTGAAATTTCGCGCCAAATTGGCAGTCGAGTGAGGTGCTAACAGGATGATAATCAAGGTTGTTCCAGCTAGGTGCTTACAATCGATTCCAAGATCGCCGTGTTGGACCGCTCTGCCGTGTTGTTCAGGATGTCGTGTCTTTGACAAGGGGCATGGGAGTTGCTTGAGGTGCTTCAGGGAGTGTCGAGGCAGCCAAAATCCAAAGGGAGTTCCAATCGCTTCTATTTTCTTGTCACAATTGCTGCATCACTGTCCTCAGTGGTCGCGGATCACCAATCCAGATCACCCAATAATCATACGCAGCTGCCAAATAGCTTGCGCCCCATGGCTTCGCATCTGAGTCACCCGTTGCTATCATGCTCAACCTATGAAAACACTTGGGTGTGTGTCATTTGTTGGGACCCCCTTTGGTTGGTGTTAACAGAAAACCAAGAGGAGCCTAACCTTTTTGTGGCTTCCCTATTTTGAGAAACCCCCTTCTACAGGCTCTGAAACAAGCACTAGTACTTGCAGCTGCTGCATAGTCCAGCGAGCGCACGTGACAAACATTGGAACGGAGCTCACCCTTGGGCAACAAGTGGTCTTCTCTCGATTCTTCAAGGTTGCTCCAAAGCCCTCACAAGGAAAGGCCATCAAGGGCAAGCCAACCAAGTCTACCCAAAACCATGTAAAGAATTAAGAAGGCGGCCGCAGCTATTTACGATTGGGATTGTCCCTTACTAACCTTCATCTACCCGGGTTTTGATTGTGGCTCAAGTTTCTACCAGGACCCCGAATGATATAGTCACCTCCTCGGATCCTCTCCCGAGAGCTAAGATCCCAACATGACCTCCGCCAGCAGGGGTGACTTTGTCCTGAGAAACACCTTTTGCCCGGGTTGAGTTGCGACACCAGCAGCACTTTTGGTGACTGTCAATAAGCCGAGAGTGCACGTGTTGCCAAGGAAAAAGGCAAGGCACTCGAATCAAATCTCTAGGCAAATCACCAGGAAGCCGGGGCAGCGGAGTCAAGGAAACCTTCACGAGCTTGTGTGCCCCATAGAATTCAACTGACGGGAAACCTTGAAACACCAAGCTCAAAATCAGGGAGGCAACCAAAGACACGTCAAGCTCTTGAGCTGCCCACGGACAAAAGTGCCGCTCCGTTGCCCTGATCCGATGTTCGAGGGTTCCCAACTCAAGAAAAGATCAAGAACCGATCGAGGGGCACGAGCGCCCCCAACTCCGACAACTCTCCAGGAAAGTCGCAAAATTGAAGGCTCCCAGGTCTTTGGTGGGTCTTTGGCCCCGTTTCCTTGGAGATGTTCGCAGAAATGGAGAAGCAGGTCGCCCACTCTTTTTGGCGGCGAAGCTCAAAACCGGCTCCTCCACTGCCATGGCTCTAGAGGGGTCTACTTCTGGCGCACATGCCGCCAGGGCAGCGAAGATTCTTTTTCTACGGGTAAAAGCAAGTGTCACAGCTGCCAGGATGTGCCTCGTTGCCTAGCAGGGGTGGTGGTCCGTTGATGTCCGTTGATGTCCTAAACCAACCTGGAAATTCAGTCTGCCTCCTCCCTTTTCTCTTGTCGCCGCCTTTGAGCCAAAGCTACCGCGAATGCCTCTGACTACAGCATCAGGCAGCCGGCATCCATCCCACCAGGTTCAAAAAGGCAACAAGTCTCCGCGAAGGGCCCATTGGGCTGAGAAGGAAAGACTTCCACGGAGGAGAACCCAAAACCTTCATGTTGCAAGCTAGACCCTGACCTTTTGGGGGGGCTGCAAGCCGCCTTCTAAACAAGAGGCTCCACAATGCTCATTGATGGCTGCCCGCACTTCGTGTCAAAAGCTTTGGACGGTCTTTTCTTCGAAATGCTGATCTTCAAGGCCCAATTTGACCCTTGCGTTGCCACGGCAGAGCCGGATAGGCAATAACCACTCTCATGTGTGCTGCGGTCACAACTCTTTTGGGTCATGGTCATGGTGCTCTTACGAGGAACCTTCACAACTGTCCAACTTCCCGACCAAAGGGTTGAGGTTCATCCCTAAATAATCCTAAGCAGTTGAATGTTGTTGACCATGGTACACTTGAAGCACTCGGGCTGCAAACGGTAGACGTGGCACAACTCGCATGTACTTTGATGACCACTGAGCAACCCTGCCCATCAAGCACCGAGGGCCCCTTGAGATGTGTAAATTGTATATTTGACAGCCTTGCACATTGTGAAGGCAACTTGGGACACCCATGCAGGAAACGGCGAATTCCGGTGCATTCCGGCTGGACAGCATGAAGCTTCCAGGATTCCCATCACTTCACATGCTCACCAAGTGCCCGAGCGCTTCTAACCTAGGCCCACAAGAAGGCCACTGGGTGCAGGGGAAGGCAAGCGAGCCAGCACCTGACCAGCCTGTGGGGGAAGTCAACCTGTAAGCACCGAGGTTAAGTGTTGGTTGATCGTGCCTCTCTTGACTTCGGCTGGTGGCGTACACCAATCCAAAATGGACGAGTCAACCACCAACAACTTCCTTCTTGCACCCCATGCCCGCTTCCCCGGCCGAGAAGCAGCGTGTCCGCACCCGGGCGCGCGCGAGGACTGCGCGAGCCGGATCCGGGCAACCCGAAACGATGCGGAGCGGTGAATAGTCAGCTGGTGCAAGCGACATGAGACCAGGTCAAAATATGCGATATTTGTTCAGGAAGCATCCAACTGCATAGTTTTGGCCAAACCTCAAAACCTGGACAGAGGTTCGCCTGGGCCTTGACCAAGAAATGAACCAAACACATGGAACCCAAATGAGTGGAAGAAAGCGCGTGAGGGAAACCGGGCAGAGCAACAGGGACGAATTGCTCCAAGTTAGTTTTCGGATGGCCAGATGACACTGCTCCTGCATCCCTAGCCTTTCACCTCGATGTGGCAGCTTGTCTCCATCGGGAGAAAACCGACATCAATCCTGAAGGTTCGGACCTCCCTTCAAAACAACCCCGAGAGGTGCCCTGAAAAAAACCACCACCCACAGAAACCGCCACATCCTCCCCTCGGCCTCATGCGCAGGCACTGGTCGATGAGGACCTGCGCACGGGGGTCCGCATCCTTCGGCACGGCCGGGGGCTTCTTCTTGACCACCAGCTCCTACCAAGGATCTGAAAGATGGCAACCCCCTGCCCGGCACACATTTTGGCGCATTTGGGGTGACTTCAAGGGCGAGGTTCCCTTGTATCACGGAAGCAAGGTGACCTACTGGGATGGATAAGGATCCAGGCCGCGGTTGTGGAAAATAAGATTTGCTGTGATACCAAAGTGAAATTCACGTCATGACTAGCGGATCACTTCAAATGGGAGTCCCTTGGTATCACATAAAGTGGCAAAGTCACATTTTCCACAACCATGATCCAGGCATACAATTTGGGGGATGCAGTTGGAACCCAGGATAAATATTTCCCCCAGGTTGAAGAACCAGGTTTCCAACGTAAATGCCTCCTTCCAAGCACGGGCCGCAAAACAAACTACGGTGATGATGTCTCTTGAACAATCATAGAACAAACTCCAAAACAAGACTTGGTGAATGAATCTTTTCGGGTTCCATGTTGATCTTCAGGAAAGGGCTGACACTGGAGAAACGACCTATCCTCCCTTTGAATGGGATACAATACCCATTGGATTGTCCCAGTTGCCATTTGATGCAAGCTGGAACCTGCTGACGAAAGGCCCTAAACATGGCAGAATCAAATTGGAATAAACATGACATGCACGGACATCAACACGTTCGAAAACCAGGGGAACTTTGCCCACATGGGGCTTACACGCTCAATTGGGCATGAATATTGGGTGGGAACTGTTGGCAACCAACCAACCAACCAACCAACCAACCAACCAACCAACCAACCAACCAACCAACCAACCAACCAACCAACCAACCAACCAACAAATGAACCAACCAACCAACCAACCAACCAACCAACCAACCAACCAACCAACCAACCAACCAACCAACCAACCAACCAACCAACCAACCAACAAATGAACCAACCAACCAACCAACCAACCAACCAACCAACCAACCAACCAACCAACCAACCAACCAACCAACCAACCAACCAACCAACCAACCAACCAACAAATGAACCAACCAACCAACCAACCAACCCGCCAGGTCAATGTTCCAGGGACGCTTCTTGCGGGCTGACGGCTTTTGGTTTGGAATCCGCCCGAACGTCGGCTCCGCGATGATGGCCATGACGGAGGACAGCTCCGAGAAGGCGATCTTGTGGCAGAAGAGCTCCAGAAAGAGGCAGCCCAACTGCCAGATGTCCACCTCAACCCAAAGCCCACTTTGTCATGGGAATGCAGTTCTGGGGACAAAATCGTAACGCACTGTCACGCAGAATGGCTACAGTCCCATGGCTACAGTGTCAAGGAATTTCTCAATGGCTCTGCCAAATGCTCTCCTTCTCTTTAAGCGGTTTTTTGGCCCACCTGTGTGTCTTGGGCTCAACAACTAAAAGACAAAATAGAGGTCGAATAAGCAGGTGCGGGGGATGGACCAAAAAAAAACAAGCCCCTTCAACTGGTTCCACCAGCCCAATCAAAAACCGCCGACCCCTTTGGGCATGTCTAAGCCACTTTGACGCAACCTCCTTTGCCTGAAAGGGGACCTTTTCGGGTCTGCCATGTTTAAGCTTTTCCATGTGCTTCAGGTGCAACTCAAATACAATATGTTCTAGTCATGAGCTTAAAGTTCCATGGAACATTCACATTGACCTCGCTGTTGAAAACACAAATCAAAGTGGAAGAAGAAAAACAAGCACCCTTGCAGGCAGTTATCAGCAGGCGGGAACGGGAAATCCACGGAAACCAGAAGCCCAAAAGGAACCCGCCCAAAAAGACATCCAAAGGAACACCCCCCCCGCCCTACCCTCCTAAAAAACAATCATGGAACCTAATAAAGATCAGAAAGCCGTGTCCCCAGCGTTAGGTTTTTGCGCATTCCTGTTGTATCTCATTGTTTCACAGTGGCATACTTTGTTGGGGACACTCTTCCCTGAAAGACTTTCGCTAGCAGGCACCATTGCTTGTGGGAGGAATTACTTCGGAGCCCACATCCAAGCCCCATTTTCGAACCCCACAATCCGCAGCCCGCCCCCCCCCCCCCCCCGGCGGCCCGCCAGCACCTCACGCCCTCCGCGCCTTCTCCGAGATCCGTGCGGTGCGGGCGCCCGAGGACACCTCGAGCTGCTCCGGGGCCATGTAGCGAGGGGAGCCCTGCAGGCCCTGCACCGTCACGTGGGTGTTCCTCGAGCCATCTTTGAAGGTCCCTTTGGCCTTCAGAAAGTCCTACCCAAGTGTCCGGACATTTATATATGTAATACGTTCGTGCGTGCGTGCGGGCGGGCGGGCGTCTCTCTCTCTCTCTGTCTCTGTGTCTGTGTCTGTGTCTGTCTGTCTCTGTCTGTCTGTCTGTCTGTCTGACTGACTGTCTGTCTGTCTGTCTGTCTGTCTGTCTGTCGGTGTGTGTCTGTGTGTGTGTCAGTGCCCTTTCAAGTGCACAAGAAATACAGGGTCCCGCTCGCATCACTGGGCAAGCAAACCAGAGCCCACAAAAGACAAAAGAGTGGTGATGGTGTGCTGCTTGGTTGGTCAGCTGGCTGGTTGGCTGGCTGGCTGGCTGGTTGGTTGGCTGGTTCAATAGCAGCTATTGAATAGCTGTCACATGGGCCGTTCCACTCACTTTCTGAGTAGGTTCCATCAGGGGTTGACCCTGGCCACCCTTTGAAGGAAAGCCAAAAGTGAGTTGTTTGAGCAAATGTGTTTCAACTCACTTACAAAGAAGGTCACCAGGGTACTAATAGCACTTATCCTGGTTGCAACCATGGTAGTACATGGTAGTGGGTATGTTCTGACTTACAACGTGCTGACTCCGAGTTGAACATCCGAGCACCCTGAGCAGCCGGACCAAAGTAGCGACACTCCCAATGGAAAGTCTGGGTTTTTGATGGGTTAACCCATCTAAAAGTTGGACACGTTGCTGGTTCGTGGGAACCACCCATGTTTCGGGCTGAAACCCAGGGTTGCACCCCTTGTTTGGACATACTCAAACACTGTTGCTTAAACAAAGGCCTCTGGTTTCGCTTAGGGGACCGATGTGGTTGCTCACAATTTGTGCAGCTTTGTCCAACCCTGCTGAAACTACTCAAAATGGTGGAAAAGGCTTGGCTCTGGTTAGTATTTCAAGGAATAGCAAAAGATGCCAAAAGGAGACCAAGCACTTGAGGGGGTCGATTAGGTCGATTCCTATGCCGAGAACGGGTGCATTCAAGGCGCTCCATGAAAAGCGTCAGCCCGAAGTCGCAGATCTTGCAGTTCAGGCACCCGTCCAAGATCACGTTCCTCGGAACCCCTCTCAAAAGAAGCCACCTGCTCAAAGGAAAACGCACCACTTGGAAAGGTGAAGACCTCAATGGTCGAAGCTAGCATTGACAACCGCCCGGTTCTGGAGTCTTCAAGGAAGCCACGCAAAAACGCATCACTCAGTCGTCAAACAGATGCAAGGCCTCAAGATCAATTTCCATCCACAAGGCCACCTCTTCGTGTGCGTCCAGTTCTTGCAAGAAACCTCTTTGAGGGGCCCTAGTGAAATGACACACAGCGTTGTGTAAAATGCGAAAGAAAAACGAGTTCGATACCAGAAACAACACTCGCTGACCCCTTCAGACAAGCAACCCGGAAAGTGCTACAGAAAAGCAAAGAAAGCTCTGCCGCAACGTGGGTCTTTTGTTGTGACCCGCCTGCTGTTGGCGGCGTTTTCACGTCCCAACACCTCGTTGCGACGGACAACTGTTTAAAAGCGAAAAGCCACAAGATGCCAAAAGGAAGCCAGCCAGGTTCGAAGTCAGGTTTGGATTTTGGAGTCCACATCCCAATTTGGGGACTGGGTGTCGGGATCCCAAAAAATCACGATTTGGATGTCCCTTCATTGGGGTTGTTGCTTGTTGGGGTGTCCTAACGGCAAGAAGCACACAATTGTGTCAGGTTTCCGACCCATTTTGATTTGAGCGTGCTAAACGGTGCTGGGAATCTGCAGAATCCCAACCTTGGCCAGTTTAAAAGCAACACTTCCAGAGCACCACCTTGATTTGATCCAAGGCTCATGGTTTTCAGGTCCCGGTGGACCACATTCTGCTCGTGCAGAAACAGGAGCCCTTCGACCACCTGCTGACCCATGAGGGCGCGCTGCTTGAAGGACAAAGTCGCCTCCGTGGCGCGTTGTTCTTCGATTTCACTGGTGGACACGTCCGGAGGCTCCTTGTTTTTCAGTGAGGTAAAAGGGGGATTTAAAGCACCCCGACTCCGTGGTGCAAGTCTATCTTGTGGTAAGCCCTGTTCTCCACAAAAATTGGGATCTTGCTTGCAGCAAGTTGAAAGTGGCTTCACAAAAGATAAGTCACTCCCAACTCCCAACTGCCTTCTTCGGGGAGGCGAAGAGTAGGTCCGACAGGCTGCCGCCGGTCATCAGCTCCATGACCAGAATCAGCTGATCCTAGTGCCAGCCCTCATAGCATTCGAAGCGTCCCGTGGCTTGGCACTTGATGCTATATCAATTTTCTTCCAGGAAAATTGGGTCAGAATAGAGTGCCCCCTCTATGTCCAACTGCTAACTAGCATTATCAGTTCCCACATCAGGCAACTGACCCCTGGTTCCCACTGGGGCAACAGGGGATACCCTGGAATTCACCAGGCGCTGAGACATCTTACTAGTGTGACTACCGTGTAGGTTGAACACCCAGTCTGGTGTGGACCCTGACTCAAGTCACCATGGAATCGACGGACTCTTGGGCTATCACCAGCTTGCGGAGTGGCTCCGCAGCTGCACGACTAATTGAGAATGCAGCAACCTGAAATGGTTTCTTTACTGATTGTTTCGACAGAAGGGGCACGGCCACGCAAAGCAAAGCAAGGACATTTGTCCCAACACTTGGCTGCTAATAGGGGCTCCCATTCTCCCAACTTCCCACGACTTCCCAGCCAATGGGTTTGTTGGTTGGCGCTTGGTGTCACTAAAGCCAATAACAGGTCAGGGAACACGCCTAATAACCAAAGAACAAATGGCTCACCCGCTTTTGGGGGGTCAATCGGGATCTGGGAAACCCCCGCTCCAACCTCCGGCCCGCCTTTCCCCAGGCGAAGCCTAGGAAGGAGACCAGCCGTTCGTGCCGCAGCTGCTGGAGGAAGCCCAGTTCCCGGTACATGACCCGCGCCTCGCACGACACGGCGCCCGCGAGAACCAGCCCTCGGAAAGCTTGGAGAGGCAAAAAGGCGGAGAATCTGGGCTCAAAGGTCGCGATTCTCCCATTTGCGCACAGCCACCGAAGGAAAATCCCCGTCTGAAGCCTTAAATGGAAACTGCTTTTGAATACCTATACGAATACTATCTAATACTGCCGTGGTATCTCAAACCATCCCCCCCCGTTTCGCCGATTTGCTCGTTTCGCGCCTGGCTGCGCTCGCTGACCTTCACCGCCACCTGGCGGTTCCGGCAGCTGGCGCGCCACACGGTGCCGAAGCTGCCCGAGCCAATCTGCGCCTTTTTGGGCCGCACTCAAAGCCACAGAGTCCCCAGCTCTGCGCATGGCCCACCCATCAACACAACGAGTGCAAATGAGTGCAAGACACATCTGCGCCTCCATGCGGATTTCCTTCAGCTGCACAAAGGGGTTGCCAAAGCCCACGTTGCCATCCGGGGAGGGTGCCCGAGTCTCGCTCCGCGGGCTGCGTGGGCTGCGCGGGCTGGGCGACCTGGACTTGGACGACCAGCTCGGTCGCGGGGAGGGTGTGGGTGTCGGCAGGCGTGGCGACGTTGAGACTGCGGCGGCCTCTGTTCGGGATGTGGGGGACTTGGATTGCTTGGGAGACTTGGATGACGGCTTGGGCAGTCTGGGCGACTTGGGCGACTGGCTTCTCTGTGAATTTGGAGACCTGGTCCTTGCAGTCAGGCTGGGAGTCGTAGCATCGCCAAGCACCGTAGGCGAGGTTGGACTTGCTGATCTAGACCATGTCCGAGGTGTGGATGTGCGCCTCAGGCTGGGTGGCCGCGTGGTTGGGGTGGGTGGGCGTGCAGTTGCAGTGGGCTTCGGAACTTGCGGCGCTTTGGGCTCAGCGGCACTTGGGGCACCCCTGGGCGTGGCCTTCGGTGTGGCCTTGGGCTTGGGCAGCACCCTGGGGCTCGGAGGAAGCCTCGGGGGGATGCGCTGCGCGGCGAGGTGGGCTCTCTGCGCGGGCTGTGGCGCAGCCCGCGCTGGAGGGTTGCCGGGCGGACGAAGCACTGGACCCTCAGGGCGTGTGGAGACCGCGACCGGGGCCGAGTTGGACCTCTTCAGCCGGGGCTCGCTGCACACCTCAATCCTTCCGCAGGACAGGGCACGATGCACTGACTGCGGCGGCCGGGGCGACGCTTGCCGTGCTGGGCACGGTGCCAGCTGCGAGGCTGGGCCCAGTGCCTGGGGCGACACCGGGCACGGCGTTTGAGGCGATGCTGGGCACAGTGTATGGGGTGCGGGGAACACACAGCCGTGGAGCCGCGGCGTGGCACAAAAGACTACGCCTGCGCCCGCCCCAGCTCTCAACCTTTGAGGGCTTGGGGAGGGCGACCCGTGCTCCAAGCGCTCCATAGGACGTGACACGCCCCTCGAAGGCCACAGGTACATCGGAGAGCTCGGAGTGCCCGGCGCGCTCGGCGTTCCCGGCGTGCGAGGCATGTGCGCAGGGCTCGGCGAGCTCGGACGAGCAGCTGTGTAGCGCACGTGGTGCGGGCAGCAAACTTCGCCGCGGGCCGCATGCAGGACTTGGCCCCAGAACCTCAGAGCGAGCGGCAACGACCGGCGTGCATCACCAACAGCTCGCCCGTGACATCAGAAGCCAAGGTGCATTCCACTCTGAACGGCGCTGGTGAGGCTCGGGGCGGGAGCTGGCGAGAGGCCTGGCATTGCTTGCTGGCCATCCCTTCCAACTCCGGCTGCAAGCTCTGAGCGCCCGGCTTGATGCCCGCACCTGCTTCCTCGGCACCACAGCTGATCCCCCGGTTCAAATATGTTATGGTGGTCTCTTTGCTTCCCTTGAAAGCCGTCAAAAAGGGAATCCCTGGTGTAGGTGTGCGAAACCCCTGGCCTCCAAACAGTGGGGTTTCCCCTCTTCAGAAATGGTTTTTCAAGGGTTTTCGTCGGACACACAGCTGGATATGATTCGATCTTGGGCTAAGCGACTGCCCCCCCCCCAGTCAGGCCGCGAGCATTGGATGGGGATTAATTCCTTTCGGGACAAGTTCTAAGGAAGCCCTCGCCCGCGCAGCTCCGACCCCCCTAGCAGGGTCCCTGTCGGAGCATGTTTGCTCCTTGCCAAGCGGCTGCACGTGCAGCACCGTGGGGCCACAGTGGCCAATTCCGGGCTGGTTCCGGCGCATGATGCGCAGCTTTTCTGGCTGGAATTCTATTTGGACCCGCCAAATGGCAGGGGAATATTTTGGGGGATGGATTTTCCCGAGAGCCTTGCACACAAGTTTGCCTTGTTCACCTAACGCCGTCGCGTCTTTCAACATTCTGAGGCTGGCTCACGGAAAGAAAAGGAGTAGAGTGAGAACTGTTCAGCAAGCTTTGAGCCAGTTTCTTTTGAAAACTGTCCTGTGACTGCAGCTCGCTTGGGTGTTTGCTTTATTCCAGCCTGCACTTGAGCCGAAACCTTCCGTCCCACAATCACTCTGCCTCACGAAAAGATGCGACAAATATCGGCATGGTGTTGCACGAGACTGCGGGCTGGTGCTTGGAAACCTCAAACTAGTTCATTTAATTTGCTCCTCGGTTTGTGGTGAAATGGACAAGCCCAATGGCGCGCAATTAACTAAAGAGCTTAGAGCTGGGACCAGTTGCCCAATGGCTCATCCTGCGAAACCCGCCGCTCCTTTCGGTTTTCGCGAATGCGAGGCGCCGCGACGCCGGGCGCTACAGGCCGATGCTCGATCGGACCTGCGAGAGAGAAAAGTTCTGATGAGAATGACATTGAATTGGTTGGATCCTTTGGTGGACATCTTTTGCATGCGCAGTTTGGCTCTCAAACCTGATTGAGAGTGATCTTCGGTCAAGGCAGGGGCTCTTAGGATTGGTCCGGCTTCAAACTGATCAAATAGGGTCTTCAAAAGCGGATGATTCCACCCTGATCTCGGGAACCAGAGGCGCATTCAGTGCAATTCATCAACTGTTCCCTCTGATAATACAGCGGGAATCATCATAAATATGAAGCAAGTCAGCATGCACGGCAATGCAACCGAGACAAGACGGCTCACTACTTTTGAACTGTAGAGGGTTGCCAGCAACCACTATATGAACACATATGGAGACCATATATATATATATAAAGGATTCATTATACACGCGGAGTGTGGATTGGGGGTAGTGGAAACCTTCCCGGAACATCCCCGAGCACTCACCTGCTTGAGCAGCGTGATGGGCAGTTCAAACCAGCCTGGTCAGCAATGACAATGGTTGGCGGAGGGGCAGATGCCCCCGTTCTTTGCTCTTGGAAATAGAAGGCAAACAATTCGTTTTTGCAGCTGGACATGTGTGCCATGGTTTGTCAATAACAAATAAGAATAGGCCAAGGTATGCTGACCCATGGCAAACATCTGCCTTGGCAAGTCCCTATCAACGCTTGATCAGCTCAGCCGCTCAGGCATCCACAACTACAACAGCAGCTGGGCCAAATGTTCAAAATGGACCAAGCCGCTCTTTTGCACCCACCACCACGGTCAGAGCATGGATGTATCTTACGTCCATTCGAGCCCTTAAATTATACGTTAGAGCTATTGTTTCCGCACCTTGGTGTTGAGCACATGGCTCGCCACGAGGACCCCTGGATTCCCGCCTTCCTCATCCGCTGCCGCGGGAAGTTGCAGATCCTCGTAGCGAAAGCCTGGCATCAGGCAAGACCCTCATCAAAAGGCCCTAACATGACCATTTCCCAGGCGAGCACCAGGAACCCTCCTCTTTAATACGCAAATTGGGGGAGGGCAGGTAGCCGAGGAATAAAGCTTGCTGTCTAATCCCTCTTGTGGGGAAGGCTGTGACTAGAGGGATTTGGAACCCAGTAGCCAAAAGGAACCCATAACAAAATTGAGCGCTTCCAGCTATGCTTCCCGCCTTCTTTGGGATTTGGTACGTGGATGCCAGTCCAGGTGTTGTCCTGCCCATCCTGCTCCGTGTCTTTGGACGCCTCAGCAAGCCAAGCCGTTTGGAAAATTTCAGGGAAGCCACCCATGTCTGGGGTTCCGTTTGGAGACATATTTCTTGGTGAAAGAGGTGAGGGACGGACTGAAAGTCATCCACAGCGCAAAGCGAAAAGTGATATCATGCCAAAAGGCACGTATTGCTGAGACTTTCATAGAACCCCAAGAAAAAATATCTTTGGGCAACACCGACAGTTCATCTAAAAGACCACTCCATAGGGTGTTATGAACATGCATACCTTCTGTTCCAGACACTCGACGGCATAGAAATATGTCTAACTTTTGATCCATAATTTAGTAACAAAAAAACTACATTTCTGTATGGATATACATATTTTTGTATAAGATTTCGTGTTCACAAGGGCTTGAATCGAACAGCCGAGCTTCGGTGAAGAGGACCACCCGCCGGGCCTCGGCTGGATGCACAGGCGGGGTCAAGTCGTACGTGAAGCAACGGGGCGGGGGACACCCATGAATCATCCTGGGTTGAAAGAATGGATTCCCATTACGCATGGTAAATGATCAGAACCAAACTGAAACCGAGCTGACCTACAATGATACCTACTGCACGCATCCGGAAAAAAAAAAAAAAAACTGGCAACAGAACTGACGTGGAAGATATGCTCAGAACGGGACAATATCGAAATAGTGGCAGGGCCCACCTTGAAGGGACAATCACCCGGAGTGGACCATAGACTGCCAACACTATCCTTGACTGCCGGCCGGATTCCGGGTTCCCCAACAGGCACGCGGTGCACGCTGGTTATCTCCTGGATGCAGTCCTCCACACCTCGGGCAAAGGCCCTGCGGATGGAGCCTAAGAGCTGCTTTCTGGGGCATCACCAAAGCCTGGCTCTTCGGAACAACTGCACCCTATTGGCAAACTCCCTAAGCTAAGGTGTGAGGGGAAGGGATTTGCGGATCACAATTCCACCCTGAATCATTGAATTATGATGCTGTTATAAGTTATAGTTATCATTTATGTACTTGCGGCAAACCGATGAATGACAGGGTGCAAGGCCATGGGGGAGCAGGGGTCGGTTGCAGGTTGCAGGTGGTCTCTATGATTCTATGCTGACTGCAAGCTGATCATTCTGGGAATGTATCAAAATGGGGCGACCCCAAAATGGAGGTTGTTTGTTTGGTTTCGCTTGAAATTAAGCAGAAGAGGGTACCCTCAAACCCACACGCGCACACACACACACAGACACCCTAATGGTTCTTCGCGGGCAAGGTCGCCTGAGCGCCAGGCTGCTCTCGGGAGCAGCGGTGCTAGTGATCACCTGGGGAAGAGGCCGTCAAATGCTGCCAGCTGCCTTGCAGCTTTGCAGTACTTGGCCCAAAAACACCAAGGGTCAATCGAAGGAAGGACGAAGCCCACGCCAGGGTGGAATAAAGCCATACCAAAGAACATCCCAAAGCCAGCCCCGGTGCTAACTTGCTTCCCAAAATGGGTGGCTTGCGCTTGGCTTCCTTTTTTCTATGTTCGGAGGCGCCTACTCGAGAGTCGTCCTTCCCCTTCCTCACACATGAAGTCCTCAGTGTGCTGAGTGCAAGGGCTTCGTCCAGGTTCATGTTGAGTAACCCCCGAATGTTGATCCCCAGCTACCAATTGGTAGGATGGTTGATCCCCGCTCGTACCACTCGGCAAGGGAGCCCCCATACCTGCATTCATTGGGCTAACAAGTTACGAACTGGTGGCCTGGAATTTACGATGCTTACCCTTTCTTGAAAGCAAGGCAGGCCTCCCGTGAACCAGAAGGAGAGCTCAACCTGAAAACATCCAAGCACGGAACCCAGAAAAGGGGTCCTCAAAAACGAGATTCTCTGAGACATGCGCTGCTGATTCCATGTGGTTTTCCCCCTCCCTTCCACGTGTGTGGTACCACCAGAAAGACCTTCAAAAAGACCATGGTCTTCACACCTCCAGTCAGGTTCATTCTTAGCAGGTGTGAGGCTAATTAGTCTGATTTCTTGTCTGATTCCACGATCTATTTCTCTTGCATTCGGTGTAACTTGGGTTTTTGGTGTATCTGCACACTATTCGGCATATGTCCTACAAAAAGGGGCTACCCTCAAGGGAAGGATGGGCTCCGACCGCCGTTCTGGAAGGTGGACCCAAAGCCTCACCCCAAACTTTCCTGGAATGCTAAGTTCCACCAACTACAGGCAGGACAACCCAAAAGCACCCCCCCCCCAACAACCCCTCTTGCCCCAAACCCTCCCCAAACCCCCCCCCCCCCCCCAAACCCCAACCGAGAGCCACGCAGTCCGCGCCTTGATGCTCCCCAGCGCCTCCGGGCACATCCGCGCCACCAGCTTCCGCGCCAGCTCCGGGCCTCAAACCGGCGAGTCCGTTGCCGGGGGGTTCCGGGGGAAACAAGCGGCGCCAAGTAAACGCAACTAAACGTAGGGGCGGGGTACTTAGCACGTTAGTAAGCCAGGGTATAACCCACATGGTTATAAGTCTCCTAAGTGGGCTATAACCTGGCTTACGAACCGCTTACCAAGTACTGCCCTTTTAAGTAGCTCACATCCGGAGTCAGACCCCAAGGTATAAATCAACCGACTGGGTGTAGCTGACCACCGCACTGGGCTGGGCTTTTGTTGAAGGCTTTGGACACGTGGAAGCATCCGCATCCATTTTGGGATCCGCCAAAGTCATCCAGCCCAAGCCCGCGGCCATCCACGAACTCCGGCTGCTTTTCCTGGCCGCCAATCCACCGCCAGCCTTTTTCTCGAAGCGAAAGGCGTTTTGATTGGGGGGAATGCACAAAATAAACCGCATAAATGGACTGAAGAACCCCGCCATGCAACGTCATTGCAGATTTGGGGTCCTGGCTTGGACACTGTGATGATCCAAACGCAGCTGAAGTGTTTAGACCCCACGCAGAGCCAAGCAACGCTTCTTCCACGTGAGCACAACAGTTGCAGCATGTGCCAGCACGATCATGGCGCACCAACTGAAAAAGCGGCAGTGAGGCAAATCGGGCTACTGGATCTGCCTTCCCCGCAAGCCCGCCTCCTTGCGCCACCAGCTTCGGGCGGGTGCAGCTGGCAAGCACATGGGAGGATACACCAGGGTCCACGCAGGGAGCTGAAATTGAAATTGGGATCCTGTGCCCTGCGTCGCAGTTGTGGCCAAGCAAACGTCGACCACCCACAGCGGCGCAAAACGAGTGGTCGGCTGTGTCAAGCAAAATCAGCAAGCCCCCAACGGCTGTCGCTGCTGTGACTTGGGCATGGCCCAGTGAGGCCATCTGCAAATATGCACCCCCCGATGGAGCTGGACCTCTTCGGGAAGGGTACCCTGACATTGCGCCACAACAGCATTGAGCCAACAACCTCTTTCAACAAGTGTCGACCACTTTGGCAACAAAACATCCTCGCTAAACCAATTTTGACCAACCCTGCGCCACGGCCCCGGTAGATGTTCACTAGCTGTGTAAGCAGGCAAAAACGTGTAGTTCTCTTTGGTGGATCGAAAAGAGGTGCAGGAGATCAACATGACGCAAACCGTTTCGAGCGTTCCTTAGAGACACCTCGGGCTGGCAACCATGGAACATGTACGCCATTCAGCTGCCCCTTCTGTGGACGGCTTTGACAAACAATTCCACCATTTGCAGAAGCCCATTCGACCAAAATATGGCCACTTGCAGTTCAAGGGCCGCACCCCAGGGTGCCTCTTGTCCCGAAAGAAACACGTCTTGAAAGAGGAATCTCGCTGTGACTTCCCCCTCCCCTTTTTTGGGGTTTGGGGGGGTGTTCCTGTTCCTTTTCAGGAGAAGCCAGTGACTGACCCTTCTAGGGGTTGTTTCCCCCTTCTTCTCAGCCATCGTTCTTTTCGAAAACCGGATCCGTTTATTTTGGGTTCACCTGGAGGTTTTCTAGAAAGATCCGGATCGGACAGACTGGAGGTGCCCCTAGAACCCAAGCTCAACTTGGGGGCCCCGGCCCGGAGGAGTGCAGCCGCGGACCACCTCAAGACTTCTGACTCCCCATGTTTGATGGAAAAATCTCCGTCCGCCGCCTCCCTATCCTATTTTAACCAGCTGGAAGCGGCTCTGATCTCAAAATTGAAAGATCGAAAAAGTTCGTCTTGTACCTAGGGGTGTCATCAATACGTAGCGGCCTTTCTTTCGGATCGAGGGAAACCAGAAGGAAATCATAGGGGGGGTTCTAAACATAGGGGACCCTGGGTTTATTTCTGATTTCCCGCCCCCATCCAGTTGTTGTCCCTCCACAAAAAAATCGACCAATTTCCATGTTCTTGCCCAGCTCGTCAGCGGATCCTTCTGATTCGACCTGAATCCGTTTCCGCCGGAGCCGGCCCCAGAGCACGGCGGGTCCCACCCCCGGCCATCCAGGGGCCCTGGGCCCCCCGGCCAGGGCCAGGAAGAAGCCCCGCCGCGCCAGCGCGGCGGCAGCCTCCGCGAAGTCCGGGCTGATGCCAGCGCAGTACTCCTCGGCGTGCGGTTTTGCAGGTACCCTTTTGAGAGGCGAAAAGGAACACCGCGAGGATTCTCCAGATTTGACAAGCAAGCAAGCAAGCAAGCAAGCAAGCAAGCAAGCAAGCAAGCAAGCAAGCAAGCAAGCAAGCAAGCAAGCAAGCAAGCAAGCAAGCAAGCAAGCAAGCAAGCAAGCAAGCAATGGCTACTTGCGTGCCTATTCTGGGCAGAACTTAGACCCTCTGCAGCAGTTAGCATTTTGCTGGTTCGGTTGGAGGTTAAGGAAAGCCAAAAGAGCAGAGGGGCAAAAGGGTTTGCTAAGTCTCGCAATGTATGCACCAACCAGCCAATCAACCAAGCAAACCAAACCAAACAGCCCGAATGAAGGACAATGACCCTGCTACAAAACGCCCACCATCATATCCCCCTTCATGCTTACTAGTGTTTGCACAAATCACCATACACCAACCATCAAGGAATCCCCCAGAAAGTCTCTCTGTGCAGAGCTCATTGGATCTGTTCGGTTTGAGGTGGGTTAAGGGAATCGGCCCGTGGGAACGGGATCGACGCATGCATCCGCGCTCAGTCGGTTTTTTTGTCGTCGGTTTCCGGCCATCGATCGCGCGCCATCTCTGCCCTGGAAATCCACGACTGTTTTTTAAACGTCCTTTGCACCTCGCCTGTTTTTTGCAGCTAAAGCCTGTTTTTTGCGCCTGCAATGAGCCATGGCGGGGTATTTGATGGATTATTCATGCTGTTGCCACGTTTAGATTGTACAAAGCCAGTTCCACCCCAACATGTCTTGACACAACAATTTTTGTGTGAACATAGCTCCGCAATGTACGCAAAAGTAGCGTGAAATCACCGTGAAAATACCGTGAAATTGGCGTGAAAGCCTGTTTTCCAGCGTGAAAGCACGTTTTCTGCCGTGAATTTGACACCGGTGAATCTATGTGTTTCAGCCTGTCCTTTGATAATCCCTCCGCTTGTTTTGTGGGAACGGAGGTCAAGTCTTTGCACACTTTGGTCCTGAGCACGTGCGGCGCCCGACTTGTTCAATGATATCAGCTGAGCTTGGACAAAACTACTCCTGGCAAAAAACCCCCTTTCACAGAAAACATGCAAAATAAACCGCCTTTGGAACCCCAGGGTCTGCTGTTGGGAGTGGAGTCTTGCGTTTGAGCCGGTCCTCTAGCTCGAAGAGCGAGATTCCTCTGTCTCCGCGTGGCCTGAGCCAGCAGGGGAAATTGCAACCGGGGTGCCTCCATTTCCCTTTTTGGAACCTCCAAAAGTGGCAGTTTCGATGGACACCACCAGCAAATTGCAACTTTTGATGGGTAAATCCAGTGAGCCCTGTACAAGGGTAAGTCAAATTCGAGGCCTTTGCTCACGGGTATGCGTTGAAACCAGTCGGCCCCTCCAGTGCTTGAAACCTGCTTCACTCCAATCTGAACAATCCGAAATGGTCACTGGTTTTGGCGCACAACATTCTCCTCATTTTCAATAGCGAACGACTCGCTCGCGGAGGTGCTTCACCGTGATCTGAAGCCGCTTAACATTTTCTTGACCGTGCAGGCCCCGATCTGCGAATCAAAACTGTTCGGATGGCAGACAAGCTTAGAAAATGGATGACAGCTTGTGTGAATCAAGTTATAGTGCTCAGGGCTTTGGGAATGAACTGAGGGATTCCCTGATTGGAAGCCATAGTGGATGGTTTGTAGCGGTCATTCCCGTATTCTGCTGAGAACCAGCAAGTTTCGTAAAGGTCACTGTTTTAACGGCCTTAGTCAATATTTCAGCAAGGACCGAGAAGTGTGTCTTGTTTCTTTTCTGGCCCGGTTAGCAAACTTGAAACTTTGAGGTTCACTTTTGCGTTCATGAACACCCAAATAGTGTGACAATTTCTGGCGAGTCAGGGCGTGTGAATCATTTGCTTTGGAGCCATCCATGGATAATGGAAGGCGGCGTGTCCGTATGAAGCTGCGGCCTCACTCAAGGGTCTGCGCGACCCATCCGGAAGTTTGGTCCCTTCGGTTCGGACAGGGACTCAGGCATATTTGGGATCACATGGGCAGAAGACTTGAAGGTTGACAGCCAGAAGCACGACAACGTGACTCGCAGACTTCGAGTTTTCACGAGACATGGCGGGGTTCGGTCAAGATGCCAGGAGTCTATACGTAGTCAATTTGGAAGGACCTCGGGCGACTCGCTGAAAGTCTCGCAAAAACCCTCGCGTTTCCCCAATGATGGCCCGAAAGATTGAGCGCTCTATTCACTCTTGTGAGCCGCTGCTCTTAATTCGTTCCCCCAACAATAAAAGTCCCCCCATAATCATTAAAGTTGGTTTGCCAAAACCAAGGTGGGACCACGCATACAGGCAAGGGCTTCTGACTCCGTTTTTTTGTTCGCTCCCCTCCTTTCGGCCGCCAGCCTGCAGCACATCACGTGGTCCAGCTCGAAAGCGACCTCAAAGCATGCAGCTTAGCTGCACGGATGGTCGCAACGACCAACCCTCAGAATTCCATCGGCTTGTCCAATCGTAGTGCCAACATCGGATCAATCAAAACTTGCCCGGCTGATGCTTGGAAGCCCTCAGTTGAGAAATCCAAAGCATGCCAGAGACCAACCCCAGGTTTGACGCCTCGCCGCTCTGTCGGTCTGTGAAAACAAAGGCCGACCAGCATATTATACCCTCAAACACGCGAGCCAGTGAGCGCCACAAGCAAACGAGCCCGCAGAACCGCGGGCCACGAATCACGGCGTCGAGTGTTACGTTCCAGGTTCTAGGCCTTTTTGAGCACCCCAAACGGCAAAAAGGGAACCTGCAGCGGGGCCAAGTAGCATTGAGGCTTCTGCAAATATCGGAGCTCTCCCTTGACGCATCCAAGAACATCCGCAGCGCCCACTCGCCCTTCCACATGACTGGCACTCAACCAAGTTGTATACCTGAACCAATTGCTAAGAGCTCAGTGCTTTGAACCAGAGTCGCATTGCGTTTTCTGACGAATCCGGATATATGGAAATCTCCCCAGGCCCCAAGCCACCTGTGAGGGCACTCTGACTTTCAGCGCTGTCCAGAAACCCAATGTCGTTCCCTTGGCCGATGGCCGATACTTGAAGTGAACATTCTCCCTGCCATGTCCAAACCGGACGGGTGAACTGGACCCCCAAATGGGTCAACCAATTTCCTCGCCATGTCAGTCCGAGCGTCCACTGCCACTTGCCGCGCACGGAGCCAAGCGGTGAACCGCTCCAAATGGGTGGTCTCCCGGGCAGAGAACCAGTCCTTGGGCGCATTCCCCTCCGTTCCCCTCCCTTCCAACCCTTCCAACCCTTCCAACCCTTCCAACCCTTCCAACCCTTCCAACCCTTCCAACCCTTCCAACCCTTCCAACCCTTCCAACCCTTCCAACCCTTCCAACCCTTCCAACCCTTCCAACCCTTCCAACCCTTCCAACCCTCCAACCCTTCCAACCCTTCCAACCCTTCCAACCCTTCCAACCACTGCGCTGATGACTTCCCCAAATGGAAACAGAGCCCAGGCCGCGAGAACACCCAAGCTTCGAAGTACCAACAGGCAATGCAGAGGCCGAAGACCACGGAGAAGCCAGTGTCCACCTCGGCATAAACTTTTCCGAAGGACCGCACACCACTGGGCCCAATAAAAACCACCTCCCCAGGTAACGGGGCTCGGAGACGTTGGCATTTGGACAAAAAAACAAACAACGCCCAAGCCCATGCAACAACCTTGCGCCGGTGGCTGTTTCGAGGTGCCCAGTTTGAGGAAGACCACCTCGATTTTCAGCCAAAGTCGGTTGCGGCTGATTGATTGGGTGCGCTCCTCCAGCCGCCCCCCCCCCTCCGCAGCCTGAGGCTGAGCATGACTCTGGATACGCAGTGTGACCAGGTCTCAAAAGAAGTGAGTCATAATCACCCGTTCAGCAGGAACATAGCCCCAGGCTCAGGCCACTTCATGTCATTCCCGGCAAACAAAGAATGTACACCCCACAGCTACCGCACCAGCCATATATGACCATACTTGCTCAAGGACCGACCCACCCACTTTGCTCATGCGGACATTTCCCCAGCCATCCTCATCAGGCTGTGGGTCAACAATATGTACCAAAAATGGAATCCTGGTACATGGAAACATGGACCAAAACCTGCGGTCCAATTCCTGGTGGTTTAATTTTGACCCACACCCATCAGTCCTCTCCCTGATTGCTCTCCACCACCCCAGCTGCTTGCCAGGCCACCACGTGGGAGCTCACCGATCGCGCGCCCCGCGCCTTTGCGGACTCGTGCACCAGCTTTTCTCTGCGCCGGGCCTCCTGAGAACCGGCCGAGTAGGTGGGTCGGTCTCAAAACCCCCGGCAAAGGTGCCCTTTGGTGCCCTTTGGAGCAGGGAACCTCTCTGTGAATCCGGGCGCCCTCAAAGTAGACATGAACCCCCCCTTGGATGGTGGATGGATTGTACTTATCCATCCTGTTTTACCTGTTGAACTTCGGTTTTGTAGATGTGCTGCGCTTCGCAAGGTGCAAGTCAGCTCATTTGCATTGCAGCATGCTTGCAGGCCATTTGGCACGCGACGAGAATTGGCTCGTGACACGTCCAATTCCCAGCTGCAATCCGAGACATCTTGAGGTCATGGGAGACACAATGCCACATGCTTTCAGCACACCTCAAGGCTGAGTTCAACAGGAGTGCATCTCAATCTAGAGTCTCTTGCGACCTTGCGGATGGCTAAGCGGCTAAGCATGGACCATGCCTTGTGACAAGCAATCGAGCTTTGAGGACGATTGATACTTTCGGTCCGTCCTCCACGCTCACAGCCAGGAAGCGGCCAGGGCGCTCGAGCGCCCTGCCCGACCCAAAGCCACTCGTGCGGATGCTTCCGACCACTCCAAACCTCTTGAGCCTTGCAAAACATGCATGATCTACCAGGGTGGTGTGATGTTCGTATAACTTAGGTGCAGCCTCCACATTCAGTGCAGTTGCATCCTGTCCAATGAATGAATGAGCGTTCACTATACGGCTGTTTGTTGCATGAAACCACTTGTCCAGGAGGGCAGTCTGCAAATGTCTTGTTGAAAGGGCGAGTGGGAGCTTTGGGGATGGCAAACAAGATGGCGATTCCTGGTGTGGAATGAGGCCACTCGGAAATTGGAATGTGCCAAAACGCATGTCAAGCCAAGACCAAAACTAGCGGGCAGCGTCAAGCCCAAGAAGGTGCCCCAAAGACAATCTGGTGAAACGCTTGAGCAGTTTAACCTTGGCAAAATCAAAGGCGTGCAACACAATTTCCGAACGTTTTGCTTGCCACCTTGTCATGCTTCAGCAGCCCAAGGTTTGTATAACCAAAAGTACGACCGCGTGGAGCTTTTCTTCTTGCCTCCGCAGCTGCAGCCCAGCCGGTGTCCAACGCCGCAGTGCACGCATTCCGTGCATGGCGTAATCAGCGGATGCCCGGCGTCGGGTTCTGAAGTGCTATGTCGGTGTGAATTTTATGTGCCCCCTTTTGGACATCCGGGGGACCGAAGTTTCGCTTTGGCGAAGAAACCGGCGAAACCGGGAAGCTCATTGGGAAATATAACCAACCAATGCTAAGGTGCTTCGGCAAGGTGCTGTGGAGAAAGCACACACACACATAGTTGGGTGGTTTTGTCTAACGAGTTCAAGGAGAAGTGGTTCCTCCTCTCATCCATCAGGCGCTTGGTGGCCAAAGAGAGCCCTTGGAACAGTCATTGCTCATTTAGTTGGGGGCTATGAGCTGCTCATGCTGGTTGCAATCTGCTGTGATACTGCGCTTTGCCGATTTGATGCAAATGACAAAGTGGGGAGGCCTTGTGGGTTGTCGGCCAATGTCGGACCCGCTGTTGTGATTGAGGGTGGCGTGCAAACAATGTGTGTTGCCTAATTGCGAATCCTGTGACTGCTTCGATGCTCGCTTTCATGAACAGCTGGTTGTCAGAAAAAACGAAGGACAAACATCGAGCAAACAAATAGGGCAAAACACAACGGCAATAAGTAAGAATCCCGGATTTTGAAGTGGTCAAGTGTTGCTGGACTTGGCGCTCTTCCAAGGGGGGGCTGTGAAAGCCAACCAAACATTCAGAACCGGAAGAAAAGCCCTGGTACCCTCCGTCTGAGACGGTCACGCGCTGTTTGGCGGCGGGGTGCGCAGTCACAGGGGCTCCGCGGGCTGCTCCGAGTTCGCATCCGTGCGCCCGATCCGCGCCTCCTTGTGCCGCACCATCAGTAAGGGCTGGATCTAAGTGACCGAGCTTCTCCTTTGTCAGCTGGGTCCTTTCCGCATCCTCCGCAACCGCCACAGCCGCAACTGCCGCAACCTCCACAGCAGCCGCAACCGCAGCCACAGCCTGGGCAGCCACAACCTCCACATCCGCCACAGCAGCTGCCGCAGCCACCACAACCACAACCACCACAACCACATCCGCCGCAACCGCAACCGCAGCCGCAACCTGGACATCCTCCACAGCCTCCACAGCCTCCACAACCACAACCCCCACAACCTCCGCACCCTGGACATCCTGCACACCCTCCGCAACCTCCACAGCCTCCACAGCCTCCACAACCACAGCTCCCACAACCTCCGCACCCTGGACATCCTGCACACCCTCCGCAACCTCCACAGCCTCCACATCCCCCACATCCTCCGCATCCGCAGCCCCCGCATCCACCACACCCGCAGCCTCCACATCCGCAACACCCGCATCCGGGACACCCTCCACAACCGCCACATCCACATCCTCCGCAGCCTCCGCATCCGCCACAGCTACAAGCGCTTCCGCTTCTCTCTTCAGCTGGCCTCCAGGGGGGCAGGGGTACATCATGCCGGGCCCTCTGCTCCCACCCACAAGCCTATCGTTTTTTTTTTTTTTTTTTCGGTGCGACACGCGTTAAACGAAAACATGACAAGTCCGCGCATATCATGGTCGAGAAGTGTACAATGGCGACATACTGATATTCTGTATGTGTCTTTAAATGTAATAGTACGCAAATGATCCATATTGTGGCGATAAAGGGAACTTTGATTTACTGCAGCAGACTGCTAAGGATCAAGCTCGGCAACCCCTCACAACCCTTTGAGCGCGGCGCCTCTCGCCCTCTTCGTTTTCACCTTCACGCATCATCTTCGCCTCCGAAGCTACCACAGGCAGCAACCCCCCTTCCAAAACCCGAAGGCTCAGAAGCCGGGAAATCGAAACTGACAAGTCTAGAATGACCTGTGGTTTCGAGCACCTCCCTTCCCCACAAGAAAACGTCAAGCTCCGCTTCCTGGATCCCGCCGGAGAAACCGAAGCCCGCCAAGCCCCGCGCCATCATGGGGTTGCCCATGGCCATGCGCATCATGTTCATCATGCCCATCATCATGGCGGGATTCGCATAGCCTGGCAGCTTTAAGCCAACTCCCAAGCCAAAGACGCGCAAGAGAAAACCGCGCCGGAGGAGCCCAGCTTGGCATCGCCTTTCTCCTCGTCCATCCTCAACTCGCCCACAAGGCAAACAAATCCAACGGTCCAGCCAACGCAATAATGGTCACAGGAGGGTGGTTTCCGATGTTTTTCATTTATCTGACCACCCAATCATTGAATTCACCAGAATCCCAATGGAACATTGGTTGTGCTTCCGGCCCTTGTGCGCAAAGGGCAAGGTTGAGTCAACCACCTGCTCCATGCAAGGAGAACCTCGTAAGCGCCCCGCCCACGAAGTCCAGAGCTCGCAGAGCATGGGCCCAGCTTTCCAATGGCATTCTTCATTGACTGCTCCAGCAGGTTCTGGGCGGCCTCCGACCCGGCCGACCGAGCGACGGACTGAAGGGGGTGTTCCCCAACAGACGTCATTGTGGAGGATTCCCGTTGTGGTTCTGAAAGGGAAGCCAATCATGAAACGGACCTCAATTCTGGCCCATCATTCTGGTATTCGACACCATCCCCACCGATCCGATTTTTGTGCACCACAAGATCACCACACCAGAGGCCTCACACATTCGACATGTCAAATGTCCGCCTGCCTTCCGGTCGTCCGAGGTATCCTCTGGCACCTGGCCAAGGGGGATGGCATTGATATCCACAAATTCCGCAGGTCGCGCCAGCCATCTGCAGCCTCGTGCTTCTTGGTCCGGCGGTCGTCGCGCAGCATCGAGGCCTTGGGGCAAGTCTCAAAGCAACTGGGAACCAGCATCCTCAGAGCATACTAGTTCTAGGGTTGATTCCCCATTCTTTTCAACCATCGTTCTTTTGACAAACCGGCTGTTTCCCTTAGGTGTTTGATGGTTTCCTGAAAAACAAGATCCCGGGAAAGAATGGGGAAGGTATCCCTAGACTAGTACCTACAAGAGGCCATGGCCCGCAAATTGCTCAAACAGGGCACCTTCCAGTTGTCTAAGACGCCGTCGGGAGGCTGGAAATACTCCGCATGAAATTGGCTTGACCGAATTACCCACATGGACCACATGGAGGGGTGTGCTTTTTGAGGGTAGCCTTTTTAGGGTTGGTTTGATTGGAACCAAATATTTGACACATGTCAGTGGCTGAGAGTCCATGGGACCAAGCGTTTGCGACGACAGCCCCAATGCTTGGTCCCTGGTGTCACTTACCGACTTTGAGCGGAGTCCCCAAGGACCACCGTGGGTATGGCCATTGACTGGGGCGCTGTGAACATCCCTCATGATGTATGCCCTCAACCGTTTTGGAGGGCGTTCCAACCACAAACCTCCCCTGTCCACTCGGGAATTCTGACCCGTGGGTTTGCTCCGTCCGCTCCCAGCCCGCTGAGGCCCGGCGCCGGGCCGGCCGCGTGGGCATCGCTGTCGTGCCGCTTCACGTCCACCCACTTGTTGTCGATCATGTGCTTGGCATGGGCCTTTCGCAACCAGTTGACAGCTCCAGCCTGCCCCCCTTTCCCCATTTGTCCCCAAATGGCGAGCTCTTCAAAGCAACAACCCAGTAAACCTCCAGCTTGCCAGGCCTACCCACCCTTCGTTCATCCCGTGCCTGCCATGCGGCTGTGGGTCAAAACTCATGGGATCCCATTTTGGGGTAGGTGAATTCACCACCCATCATAGAACCTATTCTAAGTGGTTGGATTGGTTCATGTTCACTGGGGGTGCGGGCTTTTGATTTTGACCCATGCGTCTTCGCCCACGTGTCTGCGCCTCGATGGCGCGCTCCACCGACTCCGTCTGCGCGAAGCGCACGAAGGCGAAGCCCCGCGAGCTGCCGTCGGGCCTCAAGGTCGACGCCGATGGACAGAAGCCGCACATCAAGGTCGACCGGTTGACCCCCAGAAATTCGGAACAGGGAACAGCCTCAAAGTCACAAAAAGGTGCACTACCACCGTCCCCCAGTCTCCAGAAAAGATGAGAAGACGATTTCAGGAGGAGGAGGAGGAGGAGGAGGAGGAGGAGGAGGAGGAGGCAGCTTCTTCCGTGGTTGTCAACAATGACCAACACGGATGCAGCGCGGCTTGCATTTACAAGCGATAGTGTTTGTGCCCATGTAGCCACACGGCAATATAGCGTAAACTCGAATTAAAGAAGCTTGAGCAATCAAAGCTGCGTTGCTGCATGTCCCAGTGTCGTCGTGATGCCCCTTGATGAATCCCATGATCCATGCTAGAATGAGGATGTCAACGGCGAAGCCAACCACGTTGAGAACTCCAAAACAAAAAAAAAGTTGCGCTTTTGTTGGTGGCTGCATAAATTCACGTCGCTCCACTTGGACCTGACCTGTCTCCACTCGCTTCATTCCAGAAAGCTTGTGAGGCGCCGGGCTGCCGCTTGATCTCTACGGCCTGCACGGAAGGAAGATTCGGTGTGAACCTATGTTGGTTCGTCGTGGGGAAAATAGAGACTGACACTTTTTGGACATTTACATGTTATGGCCGACCAGTTTGCGGGGGATAACCAACCTCTGGAGATGTCCCTTCTAGAAGCATACACCCGTCTGGCCACGCCATGCTTTGTTTCCTTCAGCCGTCAGAGGCCAAGTCACCGCATGGCTTCTGATTCAATCAGACCGTTCAACGCACTCATCCTGCTTTTCGATAAGCTTGCCGGCAGAGGGAACTATCTTGGTTCCGGGGATCATTGCTTCAAGAAGGCACGACAGGGGTAGCAAAGCATAATATATTAGCATATTTGCTCAGACTCAAAGGACAGGCTTCGTTATCCACGGATACTCGAACTGTTCAATAAGACCGGGCCTATCTTACTTGTAGAAACAACAGGTCGATGATCTCACTGGCCCGGAAAAAGAACAGCTAACAGCACTGATCGAGTATCTCTTGGGCACAACATGACGATATCCTCACTTGCCACCCGATATTCTCGCTCGCATCAAAAGATCGGAGCCTTTCGGCACGTATGTCGATATTCTCCCTCGCCGAGAAATCCGGAGAGGAAAAAAGACAATCGATCCCTTGCAATCCCTTCAAGTTGCATAGGCACAATTGGAACCCCAGGGTTGCGGGACTGTTGCGGGCGTTTGCCGCAGCCTTCGTGCCGTGACGAACAAGTGTGTGTCTCTCATAGTCGGGAACCCACAAAATGGTGTATTGCTCTTTTGGCTTCGCTTAGCTATCCCAAAAAGGCTACCATCAGAGAAGCACAGAACGCGAACCTAGGCAGTTTGTTGCCAGCTCACTTCCCCGAGCGAGCATCTGAGCCTCTACTTCGCCGAAGCGGGCAAAGTGCGCGTGGATGCGGTCCTATGGACCCGCACCCAGCTCCAAGGATCGATGCATGATGGTGAAAAGGGGGGGGGGTGGGGGGCTCCGGGATGGACTTGGACTTGCCAATGTATTGCCAAGACATAATCTCCGATGTCCAGCATTGCTTGCACTTTTTTCCGCACGATTTGTGGTTGGGGAAACCACTTTCCGGGATTCTGAATTACAGTACAAATTGCCATAACAGTCACCAACCATTAAACGGGGTCCGACATTGGCGGAAAATTGAAACCGTGAGGAAACCATCCAGGGATTCTCCCAAAAGGCGCATCCAGGCAATCCCCCCGAGTACGAGTTGCATCCTATGCTTGCAATTGCAAGAATGCTGGGGAATCGAATGGAGTTGCTCGAAAGTTTGGGAAATCGAGAGGGCTGGTCCTGGCGCCTCGTCTGATAGAAGTACACCGACAGCCCAAAATAGGAAACCGGCCCAGAAAAAAATATAAAACTTTGGGGCGTGTTGCAGTGTCAGATTAGAAACGCCGGCCTCAGACCATTCGGCAAACTGCAGCATAAGAAGGCAAGCAAAAGTGTCTTAGAAACCAAATTGCAGCATTTCACTTCGGTTCACCTTTGAAATGAACGGGACCCCGTCACGTGCAAGTGGCCTCGCTGGTGGTCTTGCGCAGGCCACCTACGAAGATCCGGAAGGCGTTGGGGTTCTCCTGCCGCAGCCAGGAAGCCAAAGCAGCCCCTTGGAAACCTTCCCAGAACCATCTTGAGTTCTTGGAATTCAGAGAACCTTTCTCAAAAGTCTGGTAGGGGGGGAGTCCAGATGCAGCTCTATGAATATGATTTTCCCGAGACATGCGACAGGAAAAGCCTGTCAGATTGTGCAGACACCTTGACCATGGACGACTCATGGTCAGTTGCACACCAGGCAGCACCATAGGCCCAATGTTTGGATCAAAGACAGGATCTTGCGCAAAGAAGGAAGTCTGATGTGTCCGCCTAACATCACACCCACCCAAGAATCAGGTCATCATAAGGGTGATCAAGCTGTTCAAGGGAAGTATAAGGGTTCCTGGCATGTGGTCTGAGGCCAGGGCCTTGGGCGCCATCTCGGCCTCAGAGAATGACGTCTGACGTGTCCCTTTACAGCAAGCAACCTGGATGGCCAAGCGCCGGCCTTCAGCTAGTCGCAGAGCGAATGACCATGGCTGGTTCCTGCCATGCAAAAAGAAAAGGACGAGTCATACAGCGCATATGAGCATCTCATTCATTCGTAAGGTCCTTGTGCAAACCCCCAGTGCCACGCCAAATGCACGCGCGCGCCCAATCAGCCAGACCCACCAATCGGTACCATGTCCAGCAGCTCAAGGCGGATTGACCGTCAGAGTCCTGGCAGAGCCACGCGCGACTATGCACAAACCACAAACAAACATACGGTCCGTGACTCACATGATTCAACATCAGAATTTGGCACTTACAAGAAGCCCGTTTTCGGATTGGCTCAGTTTTCTTGGGGGGGGGGGGCGATGGCGGCGGTTTTTCTGGTGGGAGCCCGTAGTGGTGTGCAACATCCCGCACATTGAGCATTCATAAGGCTACGATCCAAAAGCACACAGCTGACCTACGCTAGGAAACGTCCTCGGTCTCTGACGTCAGGCTGCCGGCCAAAAGGCAAGTTTGATTCAAGCCAAAATGAGGCGCAAGAGACGACTGCCGATTGCCCAGTGTTCCGCCAAAATTTAATTTTATCTTTCAAGATTGCCTCCTATATGCTCTGTGCACTGCAGCCCTTGACTTCATCCAACCTCCGCCCGAGACACTCTCTTTTACCGGCTCGCTTGGAAACCGCCCGCACGGGCGCGAGCTCAAGCCATCGGCTGAAAACCCATCTCTGTGCCGTCTGCAAGCAGCTTCAAGGTCGGATTTGCGGTCTGGAGTTTGACATGCAACGTGAGGCCTCTCCTTGTCAAAAGATAAGACTCCGAGACCCGTGAAGCAGCCGTGCAGTGTTCGGTGTTGGGTCCGCCGGGATGTCATTTCGCTACCCTGGCCCCGGCAAGAGTTCAGCCAGGGCTTGGGTTATCCTCCGTGTTCAAACCATTGCGCAAAGGGTTACAAGATTGCAGCCCAAACCTTGTATATCTTGTATGCTCTGGAGGTTCTCTTCGACTGGGCAAACACCATGAGAGCGCGCACACAACCCTCATGCACTGACTTCAGCTCAGCATCTATCCGACGGTAAATTCAAAGGACTCGTCCTCGGCGCAAGGCCATCATGCAACACGCAACAGCCAGACGTGCATGATCAACATTAGACACCCTCGTCATGTCGCCTTGGGTGTCATCTTGTCTGCAACGGCTCGCCGAGGGCTCGGCAGTCTGAGGCTTGCAGCAGGCCTGCGCATCCAAAACACACGCTTCCTTAGGTCCTTGCAAAGCTCAAGAGCCAAGCACGGCCAAGCCGCCTGGAAGAAGGAGGGCATCCACTTGTTGAGAGCCGTCTCAATGTCCTGGGCACGTTTGAAGCGGAATTCGAAGCCTCTCCCAATGCTCGCAGCTGAACACTCCACGAATTCCAAGGCCCTCGCGCTTCGGCACTTCTCGATGGGGCCCGCGACTCCTAATGACACTCCTCTTGCGATGCGCCGGAGCTGGGTGGCAAGCCCTGCCTCTTGCCGCTTCCGAGAGCCGGAAGAATTCAGGCGGGACGGTGCCCACACCTGCCAAACGGGAGATCGCGCCTTGAAAGCTTGAACTCTGCAGCGTGGCCGATATGAATGGGCCGACACCGTGCATGTTCGGTCGGCCTTGGATCGAGCAGAATCTATCCGCGAAGTGGCAGCAATTACCTGAGAAAGGGGGAGAGAGCGATGTTGGCAAAATATGCAACTCGCAGTTTGAATATCACTCTTGATAAGCAAGCTTGTGTGCGTGTGTGCATGTGCATTTGGCCAGCGCGGATACAGTGTTGTGTGGGCACGCTCAGCACAAGTGTAAAAAGTGTGGTCTCGCCACAGGCGCTGCCTGCTAAATCATGCAGCCGCTGGCAAGGAGAGTGCAAGGGTTGTATCGTGTCACGGGCAAAACTGGGCTCATCAGGAGCAACATGTGCCACGTTCCCGGGGCATGCGAATTCCCTTGCTTTGCTTTTAAATTGGTCAATGTCACAAGATGGAGTCTCTTAAAATAGGGAACCCCCCGAAACACTGGTTTTGCTCGTTGGAATACCTTCGAAGCCTCCCAAACAGAGTGCCCTCCAAATGACAGATCCAAGTGAGCTCCCGAGTTTACACGTCTTTGCCCCATTTGCTTTGACGTGATGCAAAACCATGTTCAACGTCTTACATTCTTGGCAAGCTGCTGTGAGACTGAACACGGTCGCTTTCCCGCGGCCAGAGATGGCCGAATACCTTTTGGGGTGTCGGGAACTGGATCGGTTCACACCTGGCAACACGCCAACACGCCGCATTGCTTCATTGGAGCATCTGGTCGAGCTCGAAAGTTCATGACCGACTTCCGAGGGTCGCAAGTGTGGCACATAAGATCCCCCCCCGGCTGACCCACATTTGACAAGGCCGGCGCATGTGAGGAGCTTGTAGCTGTCCGGATTGAACGCCTTGCGCAACCTGACGTCCCGATGCCCATGCCAGGCCCCCCGAACCATGGCTCTGCCACACCAAGGGCTGAGAAACGAACGATACTGCTAAAACTCGAGACACGCCGAGAGCCGTGCGATTGTATAATGAGCTCCACCCGTTCCGGCGACTGGTTTGTGATGCGCAATGGCCTGCGGACGTGTTTGCCAATCAAAGAAGCTGGAGAATTCTGGCCCTCCAGTGCACCCGACAAGACCATGACTTGAGATGCATGGCCCTCAATCTCGCGCAACGCGTGCTGAGCTTCACATCTCTCTAGGCTCCAGACAAGCTGCGCTGGAAGATATAGCCTGCGATGCCAGCGTCCCCGTGCACATGTTCTTTGCGGTTTGTGGCAGTCTCTTAGGCACTCTGTCAGGCACTCTCTCAGGCAGTATTTCATCATCTCTTTGGGGGGGTGTACCTTTTTCAGGGCACCGTTTTTGGAGTTGGTTGAAAGGGACAGTAATGTGTTTGTTGGTAGCAGAACATGTGTTCAGCGAATGTTGAGAGCCCGTGCTAACACGGGACCCGCTTCTTGCCGAACACAGTGGCAAACATTTTGAAACATTTTGAAACCATGTACATCAAGAACTACGCGTCCAAAAGCAAATCAGCATCTCCACGTCAGTCTGGCACCGTGCACCGCAGCCGCGCCTCCCCCGCACTTCTTTGGCTTGCTATGCCAGATGTCCGACTGGCGGCAAGGGGTCGGGTGAATCTGCACCTGCCTGCCTGATTGCTAAAAGCACTGCGGCGTCCCAAAGACAGGCGTCAAGTATAGTTTTCACAACTAGCCGAGTCTACACGAGCCTGATGGGTTTCCGCCTGAGCCTTCCTACTTGCGACAAGCAACGAACTGTGTCATCTTCTCAAGCGTGGCAGGCAAACCGTGAAATGCCACTCCTTGTCATACACCTCAGGTCTCTCAGCTCTGCAGGCGACGTGTCGCTCATTCTCCCCTCACCTCGCCTCCACGCCAATGTGGTAGGCCCCGTATCCAAACGGCTCCATCACCTAGCAAGCATACTTAATACGAAGTGGTAAAGTCTATCCGCACAACATAATATGTTGCCGTAATTATTGTGTGGCATGCATCTTCCGTGCGCTGCAAACGGTATCCGGCAGCAAGGCTCTCGTGCGCTCAAATTCAAATTGCATCCAAAGCATCAAGTAGAACAAGTTGCAAGCCCCGGAATTGCAATGTTCAATTGGGTTTTTTTTTGCGTCACCGGAAATCGTCGACCCCGAGACAGAGTCACCCAGCGCTCAAATGGTGTCGGAAACGCTTGGTTGAAGACATAGCCGGTGGAGGGCAACTCAGCGAGAGAGGCTTCCGACGCCAATGCGACTCTGTCGGACTCAAACTCAGACGTCAAAATGACGGAACTCGAACTCGCTTTGCGTCCAATGCTCAGGCTTTGACATGGTAGATGTTCAGCTTCACAATCCTGAACAGCGCTCGAAGCTAGCATGACCAAATGAGAAGCATGACAAGCATGAGGCACGCTGGCCCACTACAGGCAACAAGAATCATGTTGCAAAGCGGCATGGCCAAACTGTGCAAGCAGCGCAGTCTGAGCTGCCCGCCGATCCATCTCGTCTGCGTTGCTCTTGTTCTTCCTCCGGCATGGACGCAACGACTCAAGTGGGGGTGTTGGTTTTGGTGGTTCGGGGCCTATACGCTTAGTCTGCCCGAAAGCCTCCGAGCCTACGCCGCTACAAAGGGTGCCTACACAAGCACAGGTCATCTTGCACGTGCCTACGCGGGCAATGTTCAGTTCAAGTGTACTACACAAAGTGCACTTTGGCATCTCCAGAGAATCGCCACTTCTCGGTACAAGGATCTGCCTTCAAAATATCTTGAAAGCCTACGTGAATGCCTTTGCAGGGCCCACGTGGAGCCTACGCGAAGACTGTAGAACAAGCAGAAGGAAGGAAAAAGAAGCAAACTACTTGGCAAACAGCGTGAAACAATGATTCGTTCATCCAATGCCTACGCGAGAAGCCTACGCGTGGGGTGACACAACAGGCTACGCGCAAAAGCCTATGCGAGCCTACGCCCCCAAACAAGGATTGCCTCCGCAAAGTAGATACAGCTCCCTTTCTGTATAAATCCTTTCTTTTGGCTAAAAACGGCTGCTCACTTGGCCCTTTCCGGCTTGCCCAAGAATCTCCCTTTTGGTCAGCATACGTTGCTGCACTGGCAACATTTAAAGCTCCCAACATTCTGTTCAACTGCGAGCCACCCTCGAAGGGGAGTTCTCTTGCTGGCGGAACCCTAGGTCGGAAATGTCTGAAAGGTCGATGAGCCCAACCCCAAAACCACCACCGCACGCGCACCCCAACCAAAAACAAAGCGCACTTTCCTTACAACAAAAGGAAAGTAACAACAGTGGGGGACTATGGGGACTCAAAAGAGATACCCAAGGCCCGGACGCGGTTCTAGTTGTTGGACTACGCTGAATCCCGTGATTCGAGCCAGGCCGCACATGCACACGCATGGCCTTAGGGGGGGATGCCCTAAACCCTAAACATTGTGAAGTCAGGGAACAAGGAAACCGGGAGACCTCTACTTTATCGTGTGTACTTTGCCGTGTTGCCAAGTTCTGGCACCCGGCTGGTGTGGTACATCCAGGGAGCATGAGTGCAATCTCTTAAATGCCTAGGATCGTCAGCAACAAAGAGCCCCATAAGCACACCGAAGCCTGTCCAAGCGCCTCGAGCACCTACCTCCGCATTTTGCGCGATGCGTTTTGGGAGCCCGCAGTGGTGTGCACATGAACACTTATAAGGCTACGATCCAAAAACACACCGCTGACCTACGCCAGGAGTCTTCGTCTCTGAAGAGACGACTGCCGGTTGCCCAGTGTTCCGCCAAAATTTTACCCCACCCCCCAAGATTGCCTTCTATGCTCTCTGTGCACTGCAGCCCATGACTTCCCCAAGGGGCAGTGCTATCCAACCTCCGCCCGAGACACTCTCTTTTACCGGCTCGCTTGGAAACCGCCCGCGCGGGCGCGAGCTCAAGCCATCGGCTGAAAACCCCTCTCTGCGCCGTCTGCAACGCCCATTTCTCGGGAGGCCCGGCCATCTACGCCTTCGCTCAGCGAACGCACGTGGGACTTGGAGGGCACCCGCTGTGGCCGCTCCTGTCGGTTTGGATCGGTATGGACCAATCCAAAGGCCAAAGTCAGTTAGTCAGGCTACCCCCTGGTCCGCTAACAGGAACCAAGGTCTGTGTTAAAGGAAAATCGTCTCCTCTATAATTCAGTATGCTCTTATTCTGCAGAGATTTTCTTTATCTACAAAGAGGTATCTTTTCGATAAAAGGATACTGAAGCTTCAAATCCCCAACCCAATCCAAACCACCAAACCGGGTTTACTTGATAACCTGTTCTGGACATGACCTGGGGGCCGTGGCGGTACACAAAAACGACCGCCACTTTTTAAGTTGAGGCTCCCCTTTTCAGCTTGGAACAAAATCGCCCAAAAAAAAAGGAATACATTTTGGGGAGTCCAATCCTTTCTTTGACACATCCTATAGATTGCGAAGAGTTCTGACTGCCTCATCTGGACTTGCTGCTCATCGCCGCGAATCTCCGCGCCATGCGCGGGGCTTCGGAGCGAGAGTGAAGCTTCAAAGCCATGTCACCTGTAGTCCAATGTGTAAGGCGCGGATACGCTCAAGGCTCACAGTCTCTTACTACTAGTGTGTTTAGTTTTTTTGGCCGTTGTTTTTGTTTGTTTCTCTTTTTTTTTTGCAAACCAAAGCAAGAAAAAAAATGATTGGGACAGTGGTTGGTTTGACGCACTCAACCTTGATCCATGTGGTTCCCTTCTCGGTTGATCCTCGACTGCGCGGCGAAGCTTGATGCACATGAGCAAGCAGTGGTAATTTCGCTGGGTAAAATCAGGGCCCTATTCCGAATCCGTGATCCGTGAAGAGTGGAACCACTACAACAAGGGAAACGACCACCAAGCCTGTTTGTGATAAAGTTTCATCATGCCTTCGTGCCATGATTTTGGATCGGAGCGTTGTACGCAAACCAAACATGGCCAGAATCGCTGCCCTGGGGGAGAGGGGGTTGTAACCACGACAAAAACGCGATTTTGTTACCATGACAAGGTGCAATGTTACCACGGCAGAAAAAAAGCGTTACAGCGACATGTTTCTTGCGGGCTTATCCCGACAAGCAGGGAAATAGAAAGGAATAAGAAGGCATGAGAAGGTCAATAAGAACAAATAAGAAGGAATAAGAAGGTCAATAGAAAGGAATAAGAAGGAATAAGAATGTGAATAGAAAGGAATAAGAAGGAATAAGAAGGTCAATAGAAAGGAATAAGAAGGAATAAGAAGGAATAAGAAGGTCAATAGAACGGAATAAGAAGGAATAAGAAGGTCAGTAGAAAGGAATAAGAAGGAATAAGAAGGTGATTAGGAAGGAATAAAAAGGAATAAGAAGGAACCCTCTCGCGAAGGACCTTTATCGGTAAATAGGTCGAACTAACCCCCAGACGAACAACTCGGCAGGAAAATGGTGCCATTGTGATCAACAGTGTGAGCGAGCTAGGCCAATGTCACCAGCATTGACCGAGCTCATTTTAGATCCGCAAAACGGTTGTTGCGCTCTTGGTTTCCTCTAAAACCACCCCAAAAAGGGTATAGCCGAAAAACGCACACTCAAATAGTACTGTGGAAACTGAAGGAAGCACAAAACCCAGCACGCTGAAGATTTTTCTCAGCTCTGGAAGCTTCCACCAGGCATCGGCCAAAGGTGCCTCGTTGGCAGCCTGACAACGCCAGCGGCGGCAACGTGCGGCCTATGCTTCAGTAACTGGGTTCCAACCATGTTGTGTACAAACCGACCGGTGTTCTACCGGTATCCCTGGCTATATCCTCGAAAGCGAAAACCGGAAAAGCAAGCCCCCCCAAAGCGATCTAAATAATTCTAGTCTCTCGGAAGAGGGTATGTTTGGGGGTGGTTGGTGGTGTGTTTGGGGCCCCCCACAAAGTGTGAAAGGGTCCTACCTGCACCCTCAAACCTATAAACCTGGGGGAAGGGATACTGCAACACTCCCCTTTGGGTAGTTTGAGGGTCCCACATATGGGTGGGCCTCAAAATGGGACCCCGCCGAATTGGTGGCTTTCCATGTCGTTTCTACTTAAGCCCACCCAAAAAGGGCACCCGCCCCAAGTCCCAGGCCTGCACAAGCAAATACCCCGTAGTAGTAGTAATAATAATAGTAGTAGTAATAGTAGTAATAGTAGTAGTAGTAATAGTAGTAGTAGTAATAGTAGTAATAGTAATAGTAGTAGTAGTACTAGTAGTACTAGTAATGATAGTAATAGTAGTAATAGTAGTAGTAGTAATAGTAGTAGTAGTAATAGTAGTAGTAGTAATAGTAGTAATGATAGTAATAGTAGTAGTAGTAATAGTAGTAGTAGTAGTAATAGTAATAGTAGTAATAGTAGTAGTAGTAGTAGTAGTAATAGTAGTAGTAGTAGTAGTAGTAGTAATAGTAGTAGTAGTAGTAATAGTAATAGTAGTAGTAGTAGTAGTAGTAGTAGTAGTAATAGTAATAATAGTAGTAGTAGTAGTAGTAGTAGTAATAGTAGTAATAGTAGTAGTAATAGTAGTAGTAGTAATAGTAGTAGTAGTAGTAGAAAAAGAAGTAAGAGAAGAAGTAATAGTAATAGTAGTAATAGTAGTAATAGTAGTAGTAGTAGTAATAGTAGTAGTAGTAGTAGTAGTAATAGTAGTAATAGTAGTAGTAGTAGTAGTAGTAGTAGTAGTAATAGTAGTAATAGTAGTAGTAATAATAGTAGTAGTAATAGTAGTAGTAGTAGTAGTAATAGTAGTAATAGTAGTAGTAATAGTAATAGTAGTAATAGTAGTAATAGTAGTAGTAGTAGTAATAGTAGTAGTAGTAATAGGAGTAATAGTAGTACTAGTAATAGTAGTAGTAGTAGTAGTAGTAGTAATAGTAGTAATAGTAGTAGTAGTAGTAGTAGTAATAGTAGTAATAGTAGTAGTAATAGTAGTAGTAGTAGTAATAGTAGTAGTAGTAGTAATAGCAGTAATAGTAATAGTAGTAGAAGCCTTGTCGGGATAGTCTTCACTGAAACTTGTCGGTGTAACGAGATTCTTTGTCGTTGTAACAATGACCTTTGTCGTTGTAACATGTTCTTTGTCGTGGTTACAACCCTCTCTAGCCCTGAGAGGGGGTTGTAACCACGACAAAAACGCGATGTTGTTACCATGACAAGGTGCAATGTTACCACGGCGTTCTTTGTCGTGGTTACAACCCTCTCTAGCCCTGAGAGGGGGTTGTAACCACGACAAAAACGCGATGTTGTTACCATGACAAGGTGCAATGTTACCACGGCGTTCTTTGTCGTGGTTACAACCCTCTCTAGCCCTGGGGAACGCAGGCAAGCACATGACACACTGCAAAATACGAGGCTGGTCCTGCACCTTTCTCTTATCAAGTATCATCCTCCCATTGCCATTTGGCCTGGATCGGAGTTCGGAGTTCCGACAGTGATTTCTGGTTTACTCTCAAGGGCGTCAAGGCCCCCAGTTCCCACCAATCCAGACCTGAGGGTGATTCATCTGACAGCCTCACAAAAGAATGCTACAACCTGAAACGCTGCCCAGCCATCTTCAAAGCAATCCAAGCAAAAATAGTCTCATCAAGCAAGTGAAACGAAAAATCAAGTAATTCCCGCAATCAAATCCAGAGTTTGACTTTTCGGCACAAATACCCCAAATAGGAACAACCCATGTTTTTCACGGAAATGTTTTGATACAACTTTCGCCCTCAAGTCCTGGCTGCAGTGGAATATGTGTTGCGCCATACTCATTTTCATTTCAATCAGCACGGGCCGAAGGTGGAAACCGACTTGGAACAGCACTCAGCATCGTTGTCTAGAAAAAAAACAATTTCGACCCTCTAGGTTCTGCTTTCACGACCTGGCAAATAAGGCTGATTGTTTGCCACAACACACAGTCAAATGTGTCCGGTTTGGTTTGCATTAAGCACAGCTCCCCATCGCTTTTCACAGCTGAAATGTAGGAGAGGCCGCCGGCGCTTAACGTCGTGCAAATCACTCTGACTCACACGCATGGCCAAACTCCAGACATGACAGTTTGCTGAAGTCCGAAGGACGCAGTTGCTGCAAGTCGCAGCCGCTTGCATGAGCGGTTTTTCTGTCTGCAGTTGCTGTATCACAACGCCTGTTGTGTAACAACTTCATCAGTCAAAGCATTCTCGTGCCTTGCCATTTTGTAAATCCCAATCAATCACATCGTGAAAAAGCGCTCCACTTTTGTTCGCACAACTTCGATTCGGTCAGGAATGGGCTCGCAAAGATTCCGGTTGCATTGCGTTGAGTACTACTTTGGCTGCCAATTCAAACCTGCCGCCTTTTTGTGACGACTAAGCCAATGTGATGCTCATTGCCAGCGCCAAGCATGAGTTCCAACAACTGAAGGTTGTAGCTGGCGCGTCACACCACCGTGTCTCTGTTTCTTCCTCACATTCGCAACCCTGCACGGCGCGGAGGTGAGTCCTGCAGCATGTTGTGGCAAAAGTGCAGCGCTGGGACCCCAACTGGCATAAAAAGAGAGCGAAACGTGGCAGAACAGTCGCGCCACCAAGGTGATCTTTTGCAGACTCAGCAAAGCTTCGTCCTGCAGAGCTCGAGAAGCTTTTGTCAGCTCTGCCGGGCACACCACCATGGGCTTCTTGGTACCTGCGGACATCGGGGTCTCACTCGCCACTCTACGTCTGCGCAAGGCCGGCTGAACTGCCGGGCCCCGCGCAGATCGTCTACAACAATATTCGGAAGAGCAATAGACGTCGTGAGTTGGTGAGTGGGTATGTAGGGAATAATGTTGCGGATGTGTGTGTGCGCGTAGCCGGATGCAGCTCAAGCCGGGAAGCTACAAGCCGACGGCGCGCAGAAGTGTGTATAGAAAGATATTAGTTCAAGTCATGCCCTTCGCAGTCCGATGGAACAAAACGCATGAGCAACTCTCAAGTTAAAGGCAAACACACAGGAGGATAAACATTGTTTTGCTATGTTTTGGGCCTCGTGAGAAATATCTAGAGTCTTGGTTAGTTACACCAGAACTGGAATAGCGCAATCGTGAATCTTTATGTTTCTTCCTTTCTGTTTCTCTTTCTTTCTTTCTTTCTTTCTTCCTTCCTTCCTTCCTTTCTTTCTTTCTTTCTTTCTTTCTTTTCTTTCTTTCTTTCTTTGTTTCTTTCTTTCTTTTCTTTCTTTCTTTTCTTTCTTTCTCTCTTTCTGTCTTTCTGTTTCTCTTTCTTTCTTTCTTACTTTCTTTCTATTTATCTGCACTTCCTCTTTCTCTGTCTCTCTCTCTCTCTCTCTCTCTCTCTTTCTTTCTTTCGCGCTTTCTTTCTTTCTCTTCCTTTCTCTTTCTCTTTATGTCTTTCTTTCTTTCTTTCTATCTATCTATCTATCTGCGCCTGACCTTGCGAAAGTGATGCGCCTGCCATGCCGGGCTGGCCCAGACCATGTCGAAGTGCCCCGGCGGAAACAGCGTGTAGCCCCAGCTCCGGATGTCGCACAGGATCGTGGGCTTAAATTTTGACACGATGTCCAGGGAGACGACTTCCCAGCCCGCCGCCTCGAAGGCTCGGCCAATCGACTTCGTGCCGCAAAACAGCTCCAGCAGTCTCGGCATCTCTTTTTTTAACGATCAACATCACCACGACGAGGCTCGCAAAGGCGACGGCGCGGCTCAAGCAATTTCGCATGCTCGCAGCTGCCGGCCGCGTCCGAGCGCGTCTTCGACGCAAAACTCACGCCCGAGGCCGTGCGCCAGCGGCTGCTGCCCTGTGTGAGGCAGTCGCGCGGCGGCGATTGGATGCTGAAGGCCAAGCTGCCTGCCCACGCGCGCTTCTGGAACGCGACCGGCACGTTTGCGGACCGCCCCGCATGCGCCCACTGCGCCGCGCGCGTTCGGCTGAGAGCACGCAGCTTGTGGCTGATGAGCGGCATGTGCGGGTTGACTCTTGAGGTCACGGATCTGCGCGTGGAGCCACCGTCTCGCGAGTGCCCGCTGTAGTTTTTTTCGCCATGTCATTTCCGAAGCCGCAGCCAATTTTTGCTTAAACAAAATCCAGAATGACATCCCATATCCTGGAGCGCCGCGAGCAGCTGAGGCCTCTGATGAAGCCGTCGTCGAGGCCGATGCGCTGCAGCAAGGGGCCTCCTTTGAGGACCTGCGCCGCCTGCAAGGCGAGCTGACTCGGAGCGCCCGTGCTGGAGCGGCTGATGGCCGATGGGATCACCGGCACGTTCCCAGCGGAGGAGCCCGACCTCGAGGACTTGAAGGAGATGCGGCAGAAGGTCCAAGAGCTTCGGCTCAAGCTTCGAAACCGCTCGAAGCAGCGCAGGGCTCGCTGCGCTGCTCCCGCGACTCATGAGCGCTTGGTCGAGGAGGACCGCAAGGAAGAGACAGGCCGCTGGGAAGAGATGGAAGCGCTCCGCGAGAAGCACGCAGCCCTGAGGCAGCGCCGCTGTCGCACGAGCGACATTGCAACGCTGGCCCAGATCGAGAGAGAACTCTGCGAGGTGGAGGACCAGCTTGTCGGCAAGAAAATCGCTGAGGGGGAGAGCGCCACCCTCGCCGCTCTGGAGCGGGTCGACAAGGCGCGCAAGGAGCTGGAGGAGGCCTCCAGAGAGCTCCTCGCCTCGCTGCACATGCAGGGCGACACCGCCGACTTGCTTTTGCGGTAGATGGGCACGCACAGAATTCCGGACAGAAGCCTCGTTCACCCGACTGATTATTTTTTATTTATATAGAAAGCAATTTATTCGGCTCAAGATCAATTCGCACCATGACCTCCGAGCTCTCTGAACGCATCTTGGGCCGCCTGTGGCCTAACGCGCTCCGGGCGGTGCCCCTGGAGGAGCCCCGCGCCCCGAGCGCCGAGGTTGCTGTGATAGAGCTGCGCCCGCGCGGGGTCGCTTGGGCCCGCGAGCTGCGGCTGCGCCCTCTTCCAGGGCAGGAAGTCTTCACTGTGGACGCCCTGCGGCTGCTGGTGGACCAGCTCCAGGCCACGCTGGCCATTTGGCTGCTCTTCCTCGCCAAGGTCAGCTTCCAGCTCCTGCTGTCCCGCCCGGCCGAGGATGACGATGGGCGCACGCCCCTGTCGGCCCGCGCCGGAACCATGATGGTGGCCATCGAAGTTCGAGGTCGCGCTCGAGCGCTCCCGCTTCCCCGAGTCGAACTGGCGCCTCGTGGGCATCACAGCGGCGTATTTGCTGACTGCTCCCTCGCAGCAGCTGGCCGACATGCCCGCGCCCACGCCGCCCAACGAGGCGGGAGGCTGCTGGAAGGAGCTGCCCGAGAGCCTGGCCAAGAAGAAGGCCGTCTGGAACCCTCGGAACGAGGACCACCGCGTCCTCGCGCACTGCCTCGGGGTCGATGGGCTCACCAAGCGGCAGCGGTCAGAGGCCACGAGCTGCTCGGGCTCCTTCTTCTAGCCCGAGCTGACCCGCCGCACCGGACGCCGCCCCGCGGGCTGGCAGCCCGCTCTGGCCGACGTGGGGGTGGACTTCTCCGGCCTGCCGACGGACCGCCCCGTGGGCTTCGACGACATCGACGCCTTCAGAGCGGGCGGGTGGAGGTCTTCGTCTTCGTGTGAGCGAACCCTGTGGGTGGACGGGCTGGAGTACTACCACGTCCTCCAGCAGCGCGCCCCGAGCGGCACGGGCCTCGTCCAGCACACCGTGCTGCTTCTCCTGCACAGCGGCCACTTCTCTTTGATCCACAACTTCCAGGCGCTGGCCAGCAGACAGGGAGCCACGCCCAGCAACACTGGTGGCTGCAGGGAGTACAAGTGCCCGAGGTGCATGGCCCGCTTCACCCTGAAGGCCTCGTGGCAGCGCCACCGCGCCACCCAGTGCTATCGAGAGATAGCCGAGCGCACTCGGAAAGTGCCGCTGCCCTGCCACGGGAAGAACCTCCTGCGCTACAGGGCCGACCGGTGTATACATATATATATATATATATATAATATAATGGTACCCCCCCAACCACAATGTCGAATTTTATGTCTGTCTTCATCTGTGATGCCCACTGCATCTGACTCTGCAACAGAAAGAAACTCTCCAACTCAACCGTTTGAACCGTTTGAACCCTTTCTCAGAGGAAAGGTCTGGGCCCAAAACCAGTTAAACCGTTGAAACCGTTTGAACCGGTTAAAACCGTTTAAACTGTGTAACCCCTCTCTCACAGGAAAGGCCCCCCCAGATTTCCACCTGAGAGAGGGTGAAACGGTTTTGGTCAGAACCCTGCAAGGGGGGGTTCTTTCCTGTGAGAAAGGGTTTTCACGGTTTCAACGGTTTGGGGCCCTGACTCTCTTCTTTGCTGCTGTTTTTTGGCAGCTTCTGGCCAAACCTCAACATAGAAACAGAGGTAGATCCAAACCGAGATTCAAGATTCGCTGAATGAGTGTCAACATGCAAATGGTCTTTGGACATGCGCCTTTTTGTGCTGCTGTCCACAAAGCAAACGGCAGAAAACACTGCGAATACCTGTGAATTCTGAAAGCGTAATTTAAATAGGATCTCCTGCACAAAGACTATTTTAATTGGAATGTGTATGTCAAGTTAGACTTTAAAGTCTCCTTTTCTTCTTTTGAACTTGATAAGGAAGTATTCCTACTAGGATGTTCCAGTTTAACGAGAATCTAAATAGGCTTTCCTGATCAAAGAAAATTTGTAATATCGAATTAAAACCCTTCTTTTAAAACAAGGCTAAAACAAGCCTATCCAAATTATTGTTAAAACCAGACACTCTACTATAATTGTGTCAGCAATGAATTATGTTTAAATGGTGATCAAACAATAAAAATTGAACGGTTCAAACTGAAAGTTCGCTCTTTTTTCAAAGTAGATTCTAAAGGGAGTCTCATTTTCTAGGATCGTGTTTTCAAATTTCTATAAAAATTAAGTGAAGTTTAGTAAGGAAATAATCCTGGTACAACTTCTAGTTTAAAGATAATCTAAATAGGTGTTCCTTTTCAAAGTCGAATTTGAAGTTGGAATGTAAATCGTGTTCTAGTTGTATTTATTGATCAGACACTAAATAGAAATTAATAAGGACATATTTCTAGTAGAGTGTCTAGCTTTGGCAAGAGTTCAAGTAGGCTTTTGCTAAAATAATATGCTTGATTGGAGTTGTCAAATTCGACTTTGAAGCGGGACTCTTTTTCTAGGATAGAGTTTCTACTTGGAAATTATATATATATATATATTGTCTAGGTTTAAAGATGATGTAAGTAGAATGTCCTGTTGGAGGAATATGTTTATTTGCGATTCCTACTTCAAAATAGACTTTAAAAAGGACTTCCTTTCCAAGGATATTGTTTCCCGTTTCTAATTAGAATCGCAATAGATTTCAATAAGCCGCCTTTTGCTGCTGCTTTCCCCAAAGTGGCCGCAAATACCATTGAAACCAACAAAAAGGTAGACATTGGGGTACTATTGTAGGCCTGTCTCGTCATACCAACTGTACCATGACCATCACGATGTCCTTTGAAGGCGCGCCCTTCCAAGCGCCTATGCGAAGAGCTTGGCATCGCCGGCAGCACATAAGCAATTAATCCTCGAAAGAGGGCACGGCACGGGCCCTCAAAGGAGAAGAACCAAATCTCTTCGCGTAGATGACATCTAACCGCCCACTGAACAAAACGGAATCCCATTGGTTTTTGACAACCACAGCCATCTGACCCCAAACATCAAACGACGCTTTTCAGCTTAGATCTCAAGCCCGGGAAATGAGAGCGTCGCTTTCTGCCCGGACACCTCCCCTTTTCTCAGGCCCGGGCCCGCTAATCACCGCCTTCAGGACGGCGGTGTTGGTGTTCCTGGAGACGTGGGTCTCCGGACCCTCAAGCCTTTGAAGCCCTTGCAAAGGGGGTTGCTAGCCCCAACGCTTGTCGAGATCACCCCGTTTCACTCCAATTCCTGCATGCCAAAGTTGGAGGGACAATCCGTGTTTCTCGGTTTGTCACAATGAAGCAAAGGAAAACGAATGACTCTGAGAAGTTTCACTGTTTATGACACGTTCCCAGATTGTGTTGCTCCCCTGTCATGTGTAGGCCGACGCCAAATCTGGGCTTGCCCGTCTTGACCTGGTCAGTCTTGGTAACTGCCTCAGCATTCACTCCGCAGCTGGTCATCCAACACTTGCCCCAAACAGGAGACTCCGCGACGGCCTTCCCACCAAACAAAAACGGCTGCATCTACTGGGAAGGGAGCAAGAAATGAGGGGCTCTCAACTCAGGGGCCGATCATCATCATCATCATCATCATCATCATCATCATCATCATCATCATCATCATCGTCATGATCATCATCATCAGAATCATAATCATCATGATGATGTTTTATCTCATGCCTCATTGGAGCATGTCACGGGAAACGCACTTTGGGTAGCCCTCCCCCAACCAACAGTTGAATTGTCTTGGAGCCGGCCACTGGCACTGGAGCCGGCCACTGGCACTGGGGCCCCTGCCTGGCATCGCACACTGGCCACCTCAAAGCTACGCACCGGAGATGAGATGGGCCTCTGTTGAACAATTGCATGGACTCCCCGCCCAAAAAAAAGGAAACGTAAATAATTTGAAGAAAGAAAAACGACGTAAAGACTTTAAAGAAAGAAAACGTAAATACAAAAAAGAAAAAACATGCGCCTACTTCCCTCCCCTGTCTCGAGACGACGCCATCGATGTTTGAGCTGCCGGCGGCTTCAGAGCCCTCGGCGTTCTTGCACTGGCTTCGCCTGAGATGAACGCAAGGACTGGCTCATATGTCATGTCCTCTCAATTGGGGAGCCAGGCAACCCAAGTGACCTCCACAACCAAACCGAATTGTCTCCCTGTTGCCTTCAAACGAGCACACTAGCTCTTCGAAGATTCAGACTTCCACCTCGCACCAGGATTTCATCATGATTGGGGGGAGCCTTTTTCAGGTTGGTACAAACAAAACCCAAAAGGAGAGCCAATCAATTTGGGGGTCCAAATGCCCATTTGCACACATAGCTGCAAGGACCGCAAGGACCCCAAGATCCGCACGCTTCAGAGTGGTAGTCCGACAGGTGAACCTCCATGCCCTGCGTTTGCACGAGGGTCACCAACCTCCAAATAGCTTTCACTTCGCGCAGCGCTTTATCATGCTTCCCCCTTGAAGCCCAAACCAGTTCACACTCAAAACCCTGCGGCCCACCCAAAACCAACGAGAGAATGAAAAGGGCGGATATCCGCCCTCGGTTTTTGTTTGGGACTGTCCCTTACTGATCTTCACTAACTCGGGCGCTCATTGGGGCCCAACCAAGGCTGATTGATTGAGGCACACCAAAATTGTGGTGTTCAGTTTGGGTACCTTCAAAAACAAACTTGAATGGGAGTAGCTGTGCAACAAGCGGCGCAAAATCAGCCCGGGCTGATGAAGCGGCAACGAACCTACGCACCATGCGTGCGTGTGTTTCTGTTCTTTAGCTTCTTTGCTTGCTTGCTCGCTTGCACTAGTTATAGCTACTTAATTGGCTTGCTTGTTTGTTTGTGCGTTCGTTCGTTCGTTCGATCGTGTCTTTGTTTGTTTGTTTGTTTGTTTGTTTGTTCGTTTGGTTGGTTGTTTGTTCGTTTGGTTTTGTGTTTTTTGTTTGTTTGTTTGTTTGCCTGCTTGTTTGCTTGCTTGCTTGCTTGCCTGCCTGCCTGCCTGCCTGCCTGCCTGCCTGCCTGCTTGCTTGCTTGCTTGCTTGCTTGCTTGCTCTTGCTTGTTGGTTGGTGTGCTTGCTTGGTTGGTTGTTTCTGTTTGTTTGTCTGGTTGGTTACGTTGTTTCATTGATTGTTCTTTGCTTGTTTGGTTTTTTGTTTGATTGTTTGTTTGTTTGTTTGGTTGGTTTTGTGTTTGTTTGTTTGTTTGTTTGTTTGTTTGTTTGCTTGCTTGCTTGCTTGCTTGTTGGTTGGTTGGTTTGCTTGGTTGGTGGTTTGTTTGTTTGTGTGTTTGCTTGCTTGCTTGTTGGTTGGTTGGTTTGCTTGGTTGGTGGTTTGTTTGTTTGTCGTTGTTTGTGTTTTTGTTTGTTTGTGTTTGTTTGTTTGTTTGTTTTTTGTTTGTTTGGTTGGTTGGTTGTGTTTGTTTGCTTGCTTGCTTGCTTGCTTGCTTGCTTGTTTGCTTGTTTGTTTGCTTGTTTGTTTGTTTTTGTTTTGTTATTTGGTTGGTTCGTTGGTTGGTTGGCTGGTTGGTTGGTTGCTTGCTTGCTTTCTTGCTTGCTTGGTTGGTTGGTTGGTTGCTTGGTTGCTTGCTTGCTTGCTTGCTTGGTTGGTTGGTTGGTTGGTTGGTTGGTTGGTTGGTTGGTTGGTTGGTTGGTTGGTTGGTTGGTTGGTTGGTTGGTTGCTTTTGTGCTTGCTTGTTTGTTTGTCTGTCTGTCTGTTTGCTTGCTTGTTTGTCGTGTTGCGTCTTCGTTTTTGAGGGCACCCTTGTTGAGGTTTGGAAACCAAAAGGAAAAGCCACATGTTGGGGATCCCCATCTTGCCCTAACTGCACAACACCACAACACACGAAGATCGGCTTCAGAAAGAATGGCCATTGGCATTCTTGGTATGCCCTTGACACCAGTTGATGAACGAACCAAGAATGCCTGAGCGAAAAGAGAGGTGCACGAACGAACCCCGGCCCCCGGCCACACTCACGGCGCCTGAGCGCCGAACACCTCGGGCAAGGGCGGCAGGTCCGGAAGTGAACAGCCAAGGTTTGCTAAGGACCCCCGACCATTAACAACGCAGCTCCAGCTTTTTGGGTTGCTCTCAGGACTTCAACCATGAACCACCCTGGTCCTTGGTGCCTTGTCCCTTGAGAGAGTTCAGCAAAAAAGGAACCCTTATGAAAGATACCCCAACATAAAAGGATGGTCCCGCCTGAGGTTGGGTGAGGGCTATCCCAATAAACCCTGTGCTGTGCGGTCTAAGAGTCTGCAACCTAAAACATATTTCTTTGACCATCCATTGGCCCCATGGAGGGGAAACTGATTGACTGCCAGTTTCTGACAGAAGGAACACTTCTGGCCAAGCCAAGTTGGTTCCAAGGCCGCGTCGCTTCTGTTGAGGCCGCCCACAAAGGCGGAGACAGGGCCGTTGCCCTGCAAGGGCAAGGGTTTCTACTTACCCGGAACCCGCATGAAACCGACAAGCAATCAAGCAATCCCTCGTCCAAACAACAATCGTGCAAGCGGCAAAGCCGTGCCCGAGCTGAAGAGAATACCCGCAGGGGCGAATGAACTGCGCGCAATCGTGCATCTGCGTTGTACGTGCCCCCTGTGCGAGCACACGTGCGGGATCTCAAAGCCCCCGCCCTGCCTTGCCCAAGATCTCGTGCTCCTTGCCACACGCCCGTACTCGTGCCTTGCCGGGCAAAACCCCTGGAGGTGGGAGCATGTGAGTTCATTTGTCACAAGATGTCACAAGATGTCACAAGATGTCACAAGATGTCACAAGATGTCACAAGATGTCACAAGATGTCACAAGATGTCACAAGTGGCTGAGCCTCAAACTCGGTGATTTCTGAAAATGGAGTGTTTTCCTCTTGGTTTGCCTTTCAAACCATCTCAAAAGCTCCGGGACCCATCTCGAGACACATCCTGCCTTGAGCTCCACCTCATCGCCGGTGGCCTTTGTCCTGGCGAAAGGAAGCCTTGGGCCACTTCCGCAACCTCACTCACAGGGGGCCCCAACCAAGTGGCAGCTCAAAGATTGAGTACCTTCAGCTTGCAGAGTAACAAACACCACCAAATCGGCCGCCTAAATGAACCCCTGAATTCTGAGCCACAAAACAAGAACAGCCGCACGCAACCGTGCCGGAGCCACAGCTCGTAGTCCAAGAGTGCCATAGGCTCCTGCACTGGACGGCACAGCCGCCATCGGGCGGCATTCGGTTGAGACGCAGTCCTGGGGAAGAATGTAAGTCTGGTAGAAAGCGTCCCAGATCTGCTGGAATGCGATTTCCTTAAGAGCTGGCATTCAGATGCCGTGGTCAAAAAAAAATCAGTGTCCATGGCTATGTCTCGCTTACAAGACACCCCTACTGCACCTCCCAGACCGAAGGGAATACGTCGAAACCAAAAAAAAGGTGACGCCAACTCTTCGCAGAGGGAGAACAAAAAAACTATCCACGTACTTGCTTGACAAGAGGCCCTGCTGGTCTTGTCTGAGATCTTCTGCACCACCTGCTGTCGGAACAATCTGAAGCGCTCCAAAGGTTGGACACGGAACGAGATGTTCCAAAAGGAGAGCTGGCTTTGTGTTGAACCCTCATTTGGAACGTACCATTGTCAAAGGCGTGTCTAACCAGCGCAAGCAATGCTCAGGGCATGGAAGAGGCTGGTCGGCGCTTGGTCATGCCCGATCACGAAAGAAACGCGAAGCACCCCGCCGACGCCTGCGCAAACTCGGCCTGGCAATCCTGCACACGACATGGCACCAGCTGTTCCCAAGACCCAGCCGAAATAAGGTATTGACCCCTCAATTTCCATCCCGGAGTAGGGCGGTTCCCCGCAAAGATGGGCACCCATAAATCAACCAGGGTGTAATCCTTGCTCCCACCAACTTCCGCCTTGGGCAGCGCAATGCCGTACTCTTGCTCCAAAATGTAGGCGATGCCGCCCTGGACAAAAAGGATCGCGGGAGAAGATAACGCCCCAGCACTCCTGCTCCAGTGCTCATGCGTCCGCACAATCTCATGTGCCCGTTTAGGGTGCTGCACACATTGTCCTTTGGCGCAATCTACAACCCGTTCAACAACCGTTGAATAAGTCCCCTGAAGGAAGCTTGAAAAACTTCAACTGTCCAGGTACCTTGCATGGTAGAATCTCCTGCAATTCTTTCCTGCTGCTTCAGCCCATATCAGATTTCCCAGACACCGGACTGCTTTAATAGACAGGCTCAAGCCATGACCTTTCCACAAGTCGCACTGACCCCGCCCCTCATAGCCGAATTGTTCACCTGAAACAATAGCGTCTTGTAGAAACCCTTGTGGCTGTTCCTAAAATCAGTGAAACTCGAGTTTGGACTCACTCCCACGTCACTGCTATAGCGTTTGGCCTGCATGCTTTGCGGATGCACCATCCACGGTGGTTCGGGTCCAGAGTGGTGTCCCCCCGCCTTGCCGCTCTGGCTGTTCACACGGATGATGGCCTCGTAGTGGCGGCCGATGTCCTCACGCTTGGGGTCATGAGGGTGTGTGTGCTTTTCAGGGTACCCCTTGTATGTTCCAAGAGAAACCAACCATTTGTTTGATGCCATTTGGATGAATACCGAAATAAATCAGCAGGTCACCAGCCTCAAACTATTTACTAAGGCATCCTGGAGTTAAGGGGCTTCATCATGCGTCGTTTTAGGGCGAGCTCGCCAAAATGGGTGCGGAAGGACGGCACCTTGGGGAGGGGTCGGTGACCATTCATCGGGACATCGCACCCGCACTCGCAGGTTGCACCCTTCTCTTCTGACAACGGATGTCACCAGATCCACGCGCACTCCGGTCCTGAGGGTCGATGGGCAGGTAGGGCACCTCCCAAATGGTTGCCTTCTTGTTGGCCTGGCTGGCCAACAAAGGCAAGAAGCTTTGAAACATGCTGGCGCACCCAGGCGCATGATGCCTCATACGAGAGCCACTTGTTATTTCAAAAAGTCCCAAGTCAGCTTTCCAAGTACATTGGGTTGCAGGGCTGCCAGGGGTGGTCCAAGCTATTTGGGTGTCTCTCGTAAACATCGACCCTCCAAAGCTTTGAGACAAACGGGAACCTCCAAAGCAACGCCCTGCCTCCAGGCCCTTCTTGATCGCATCCTCGCGAGCCCCCGACTTTCCGACGGGCGTTTCACGGCGCTGAAGGGCTTCCCCGACTGACCCCCAGACCAAACCCCAGGGGAAATATCGCAGTTAAGCCTCATTTAGGGCTCATTTTCCCCTTGTTAACTCCAAACTTTTGGCAGGGACCTGGTGGTACAACCTTTGAATCTACATGTTCAAACCGCCAAGTAGAAATCTAGGCGAAGGAACCCCTCCATCCCTGGGATGAACGAAAGGCCGGTGTCTCTGAATCCCCAGAAGCAAAACAAAGAAAAGGGACTCCCGAAGCCTGTGGCGAAACCCTTAGTTCTCGCACGTGTGTTTCCTCAATTCTCACAAGCACACTCCTGTTCATTCATTTCTCACAAGTCAAATGCGCCGGCATTTCCACGTTTTTCAGCATTGCCAAAGAACGCTGGTCAACACCCAGGTTGGCGAGAATTGAGTGAGTTTAGGGGTCAGGGCTTTCAGGGTTTACATTTTGGCTTTTTCGGTTCCGAGTTTTGAGGGTTTACGGTTTTTAGGGTTTTCGGGCTGTGGGTTCCAAGGTTTTAGGGGTTACGGTTTAAGGCTTTTAGGGTTTCGGTTTAGGGGTCTAGGATTTTTAGTGGGTTTAGGGTTTACAACAACTCCAACCAATCGGTGCTCATCTTTACAATATCTACAACAGAACATCAAGCAAAAAATGGTTCCCCATTCGAGGCGCACACGTCTCTGTTGGGGGGGGGAGCCTTTATCGCCCAGTAAAAAGGCATCAAAAGACTTTCTGGCACGTTGGCCCGGCGTCAGGCGGGCGAATGAGCGTTCATCGCAGAATGGTTGGCATGTGCCACGTGCCCGTCATGCGAACACTTGTTCTTGGGCCAGCCAGCGAGGCTTCCCGTAACGAGCATGGAATCTGCGAAGAAGCCATGTGAGCCGTGCCAAATACTCTTGTGTAAAAAGCGGTCCTATGAACTTGCTTTCGTGGACCCTTTCGCGATGCTTTCGCGACCCCATGTTTTGCTTTCGCGGGCTTTGTGTTCTCTAGAATTGCTTTCGCGACGCTTTCGCGGCGGACTGTCACACAGCATGCAGGCTTTCGCGGGTCTTTCGCAGCGGGACCTTCTTTGGTTACTTTCGCGATAAGCTTTCGCAAGCTTTCGCGGCCTGCGTTTTGGCTTTCGCAGGGATTCTATAGGACATCCCCCTTTACTACTTTGTATTGTCAGGGTTTATGGCGCTGCTCATGTGTGAAGGCATCTGTTTGGAGTGGTTATTTGCTACAGTGCTCCTCACCTGTGTGCGAAGAAACTGTGGTAATTATGCGCCAGTGGTATGCTTTTTCAACAGCATGGGATATCAGGCAACAATTGACAAAAAAGTCCCGCAGGCGCAAGTGCAATGAGTGAGAACCTCACTCAAGGAGGGGCCGGTTGTTCCGATGCTCGACCCAGTCCGGACCTGATGAGATCCGGAGAAGGCGGTGTAGACCAGGCTGCCGGCCCAAGGGTACCGCCTGATTGGTCTGGCCCTTCTTGCCCAAAATGGAATTGCCTTCGACCGCCCGTTTGGGTATGACTCTTACTTGGAAATGGACCATAATGGACCCTTTGGTGGACATCATGCGCTGATTGTTGAGTTGGGAAGCACATCTGTCGGATATTGCAAGCCCATCACAATGCTGGCTGACCAAACATAGCTCAGCGGTGGAGGCACATGCTATGTTGCGGCCATACCTCAGGGGCCTTGTTTTTCCCAGACTCCAAGTGCCAGCCGAAAACCCGAAGCCCCGAAGCCCCGAAGCCCCGAAGCCCCGAAGCCCCGAAGCCCCGAAGCCCCGAAGCCCCGAAGCGCCAGCTGAAGAGCGTCTCTCGGGGCCCCCGACTCCGGGACTTTGAGCTCGGTGCAGTACTCCGCGACCCCGATGGTCTCCTTCGCAAGGGGAACATGTCATGCGAGAGTGTTTGTGGGCGGGAACAAATGCATTCCTGGACCGACAAGTCAAACTGGCCCGATATACACTCCAAACAAGGCTGGATTTGTTGAGCCGGAGTACAGGCCCGGCCTCTTTCCACGCAAGCCCGGCCTGCGAACCTTGGGTTGACAATTTTGGATTGAGCCAGTGCGAAAACTTAGTTCAAACAAGTCCCTTAGAAACCTGCTCCAAGCTGAATTACATCGCAGAGCTCCTCCAGGCTATTGTAGCTCACCTCGCAGACGCGAATTTGGCCCAAGTGAGCGGTCAAAACTTGTGGGCCATGGTCACAGCCCTCAGAGTAGGAACCCTTACCCTGTACAATCTTTGCATCCCCTGGGGGTGGACGTCCCTCCAAACCCCTCAAGGGTTGGAAAACCGCGGCACATGCGCTGCCATCCTGGCCCCATGTCTCCGGACAACTACGCCTCGGGGTCGATGCCCTGGGTGAAAAAGTTCAAGGCCAGCGTCACCAGGCACCTTGTTGGTGAATTCAACTTGGGACACCCTCTAAAGTGGAAAGTTCCTCAAGCAAAAAAACGGCCCCATACCTTCCTGTCAGCTTCCCATAATTGGAGGGGTACCAGCCGCTTGTTCTTCGCTTTGAGACCAAGAATCACTGTGAGCAATCCCGGCAACGGAGTGCGTGAAATTGGGGAATCATGAGGGTGTTTCCCGAAAATGGCTGGTTGCCTGGTGGCTTCTCTTATATGAACCAAAAGGGTCCACATTTTGAGAAGCTCCCAGTGTTGGACATCACTTACATGGGCACTTATGTCTACCAGCGATTTCGGAGGCTGCTCCAACCAGTGTTCACGCCCATGTGCCTGCTCCCCAGGTCGCCATGGTCAGTTTCCCTTAAAGGACGTGGGAAGACGGCCGGTTTTTGTTGCAAATTGAGCGAGTCCCCCCATGTCAGCAGTACTGCGTCCACCGGAATGAAGTACGTCCGTCGAAGCTGGGCCACGCACACGTTGCCGGTGCGCTCGCCATTGCCAAAGAGGCAGCCCTCCACTCGGTCTGCTCCTGGGCCCCAAACATTTGCTCCAGAGAGTTCATTTGGCTGTGTGTCAAGACCCTGTGAACATCAAAATAGGTGGCAAATGGATGTTCATCCACCTCAAAATGGAGCCATAGGTTATGCCCCATGGCCATTTTGGGTCTGCCTACCACTGCAACCATTCAGCTTGCGTGAAATTGGGCAGCGATTGCAGTGTCAAAACGAGAAAACTACCGCAGGGTGGACTGTACGAAGCGTAGGCGGCGCCCTCCCCCTGCGGTTTTCCCTTAAACAGGACTCCTTGAAGGATACGCCTCAAAAACCATCTGCTTCACAACAAGGCGCAACACCTTCCAAGTCAGCGGTGATTTAGCGGGCCTTTGCGGCGCGTGGTTTCCCCAAAAAGTCTCAGATGCCCAGTGGCCATGGAAAAAAGGCGTCCTTTTTTGGTTGGTTGAGTTTAAAGGGGAACCCTGCCCGGAAAAAAGGGCGCCACTGGGCAACTGGGAAATGGACCCCCCCACCCCTCGCTCCGCACTTTTCGCCGCGACAGCCTGCCATGACGGCGAGCTCCGCCGCCGCGATGCCGGTGCCCCGGTCGTTGTGGGGGTGGATGCTGATGCACCTAATGAAAAATCTACAGGTCCCAGACCTCTTGAAAAAAAGACGGGTGCCAAAGCACAGGAAACCAATGTGAAACCCCATTTGACTGACAAAATATGATTCTTGATTGCCATGCTGGATGGTTCACCCCAGACCCTTTGCTGTTCGTTGTTTGGTGAGGCTGTCACACCAGACCTTTGCAAGGGTTGCTTTGCAACTCGCGCTAGTGTGGATCTTGGTGGTTCACCTGCATCCTACGATTGATTGCACTGGTGTGGTCAGTTCAGCTGAACATTGGTGGATCCCGATTCTGCATACTAATCCGTGGTGGGACACCACTACAAAGGAAAACAGTACCATCGAGCAGAAGGATCCATGTCAACACCTGCCCCATGTGTCCTTTTTAAACATGTACACATGGCTTGGTCTGTCGACAGGGAAACAAACCCAACGAAGGAGAAAACGTCCGCTGCCCGAACCTTCCGACAAGATGATCACTGCCTCCAAGAGTCTAAAATGGCAACCACATGTTCCATCGTTTGGCATGGTTGTTCAACCCCCAGCCTGTGGTGTGAGCCAATCAAGAGGCACATGGAGGTCAAAAAACAGGTTTGTGGTGAAAAAACTAGGTCCCCTTTTCAACCGGTAGTGGTTTGGGAGTCGTGGAAACCTTGATAGAAACAGCATGAGAAAAAGCGAAGCCATCCGTCTATGAGGAAGGGGCCTTGAACACTCCCGAAAAAGCACCAATGTCCTTGCTGGGTGAGGCACACGCAGTCTCGCTTCTTGATGTGAGCACACATCCACTCGATCTGGTCAGCGTACACCTGGGAAAGCTCCGAGCCGATCCCGCAGACCATCCCTTGGCTTCGGCGTTTGAGTTTCACATCTCTGAGCGTGTCCCCTGCAAGAAAAACAGAAAATGGGCGCACATGCATGGAATGGCGAGAAGACACAGCGTCCAAGTGCCAGAGGTAGCTCATGTAGGAGCCAAGTGCGTGGGCTCCTTTTGGTCTCCTTTCCATACCATCCTGTCTCATTGACGTGTCAGGGCCCCCGCATTCGGAGTCGCCATTTCTACGGTGCCGGGAAGGTTCAGGATGACCTGCACGAAGCGAGTGAAAGCTTTGCGCCAAGACGCACAAGTGGCAAAACCGCCCAAGCCGGCCAGATGCAAACGGGAGCTTCTCATGACGGACCTGTTTGGCCGCCTCCCCCAACCCCTAGTTTGCCATATGGCTCAAAAAAGTGGTACCACAATGGCACCTTGGTAAGTGGAACCAAAGACTAAAACCCGCGCAACCCCGGCTCTTTAATTTTGAGCCATACCCATATACCCAAACGTCACGGCACCAATGCCTGGTTCTCTGGCGTGGGTTCCCACCTGAGTCCAACCGCTGAGCGGCACATTGGCCAGACAGCACAACCCTCACGCGCTCGGACCTGAGAAATGGCCCGGAGTTGCTTCTGTGTCTCTTTTCTGAGGGCGCCCATTTAGGGGTTGGTTCAAGCCAAGGAAATCAGTGTTTTGCTTTTACGTAGTTTTCCCTCAAGGGCAGCGGAAAGACCAGACTCGCCTTTTCCCCTTTTCGAGACAAAGCCCACATCACAACTTGCTACCCCTCTATGGCCTCGATTTGGGCTTGCCTCCCTGGTTCTGGTGGGGCAACACCCCCAAACCCACATCCCATCCCCGGGCCGCCGGGCACGTCCACCACCCCGTTGCACACGTCCAGCGCGAAGTCGAGCTCCGTGCCGGTGAAGCTGAGCGGAGCTCGGCGGGGTTTCCCGCTGGCAACTCCCAGGTAGATGAAGCCCACAGGCCACAGGCTTCAGCCGGGTTCGCAAGATCCAGTTGTGTGTGATTGCCCGCCCTCCAACCGGTTTGCGGGGGGGATTCGCGGGGGTAGCGAAAAGAAACGAAGGCCTCTCGGGGGAGTACTCCAGGCGCACGTTGGTGCCAGCCATGCGCTCCTTGACCAGCTTCCTCGCCGTCAAGGCCAAGGATTGGATGGGGGGGACCAAATAGATGTTATCATCCTTACATAAGGAACCTCAAATAAAAGGACCCAAAATCAGCGAATCGATTTTTGCCCCTGGTCAAATCTCCCGGGAATTTCGCGGCTGATTCATCCCCTGTCGACCTTCGACCTTTGCGAGGTCTTAGACGTCTTGGGCGTGGGCTTCACCAGCCCCACGCTCTCGATCGCCAGGTTCTTGATCTCCTGAATCATGCGGGTTCTGACACAGGACCCCTCTATGTTAAAAAAAAAAGGGGGGGCATGGTGATCGATTCCATCAACCTAAAGGGACCAAATTGGGTTAGCTTAAGGCCAAAACGGTGATCCATTCTCCTGGTGTCCCTTGAACCTAACCCAAAAGATATCCCCATAGCTGCAAGGAACAAAATGGCCCCAAAGTGCCGTTCTGAGGGTTCTGAGGGTTCTGAGGGTTCTCTTTGCGACACCAACTACAAAAGTGTTCGTGCGTTTCCATGGACACATTGAATCGTGGGTCCCGGAGAATGGGAGGTTTTCCACAAGACTTCTATACATCTCATCTTCGTATTTGAGGATGCCTCTTCTTCTTCCTCCTCCTTCTTCTTCTTCGTCTGCTTCTTCTTCTTCTTCTTCTTCTTCTTCTTCTTCTTCTTCTTCTTCTTCTTCTTCACCCCCTCATCCTGCCTCGCGACCCTTTTTGAAGACGACCCGGCGCTGCCTGGGCGATGCGACAATGCGTTGGTTGTGTCTTGTCTGGAAGCGATTCGGAAACGTGCTGAAGAGCAAGCTCAGCTTACACGGCTTCGTACAATGTAAACAGACATATGTTGCGTGCCCAAACTTGATGACAACATGTGCTGTGACAACACGCATGATCTGATCATGCGTAAGCGTGCAAGAGCCTGCAGGCGCCTGACGTTTGTCCCACTTGAGGCGGTGGCAACTCAGAGGTGGAGTTGTAGACATGAATCCTCACTGCAAAAAGCGACGAGTAATCACTGCGCAGACAAGCCATCAGCTCGCAGCGCTCGCAACACATCAAAACTCCCGAGCTGCTGGCACCACGTTCTTCGCGCCTTTCACCCCTGGCGAAGGTCAGTGCAAGCCGAGCCCACAGCACAGCCCCACAGCCCCACAGCCCGTCTTTTCTGATTCCTCATCGGCTTTTCCGAACTCGGAGGCTGGATATGAGGAACATGTCTGCAACTCAAACTCAACTGACGTTGACCCCTGTTGTGGGAAAAGTTGGCTTGAACCCATGTCCTCCCCAAACTCATACCAGACTTCCAATAGTATTGCCAGTTGCTCTAGAGGCACCCCCAGAATGGTGTTCCTTCTCGTTTCCCCACCCTGAACACATGCTCAAAATGCTCAAAATGCTCCAAATGCGCCCCCTTGCGCTTGCCCGGGATGCCTTCGATGGTGCGGAGGATCAGGGGCTCCCTGCACTGGGTCAGGACCTGGCACCGGGGATTCTCAATGGCAGCCGCGCGGGGCCGGGTCTTCCTATGGCCACTCGCCTGCAGGCCGTGAAGGCAGGAAAGAGCCCCCGGAACCTGATGGATTGATAGCATCAATATGTCGAATTATTGTAAACTACTTGTAAAAACAAGCCCAAAAAAACAGAGTGTTTCTCAACACATCCAGCCGGGACCCCTGTGATTCTACCGCACTCTGGACAACATCTCCCAACCTCGTCCAACAGTGTCTTCCCCTGCAGACTTCAAGTTGCTTTTCATGAGCCCACAGTAGTTCAAAACAGGGTACAGATTTACCTTTTTTGGGCCCTGTTTAAGGTCCCTCCGCCCGCCTGAATCCAGCAATCATCTGGGACAAGGCCCTCTTCAATGACGTAGCCTTCGCTTCCGAAACGAAACTCATGCACCGAGGGTGGGGCAAAAGCGAACTGCTCCAGAACTGCTGAGTTGCATTCCTGGTGCGGAGCTGTAGCATTCAAGATCCGATTGAATGATCCAGCACTTCGGACTGTCGGATGTGATTGTTCAAAATGTCACTTGGGTGCCCTGCTATGTGCCAAGGGCGGGCACCCTCTTGAGCCGCAGACATGTTGGAGCACTCGGAATGGTTGGGACAGTCCAGAAGCCCACTGCGCAATCCGGCATCTAGAAAGCACAACTTCGCATCTTGCAGGCTGCCCTCGTGACAACTGCCATGCCCGCGAGCGGCCTCGAGTCTGTCCTATAAGGAACACCCTTGGATGGAAACAAAAAGGTGAAGAAAAAAAGAAAGAGAGAGAGACCCGCCGGTGCACGGACTCGACTCCGTGCAGGCCAAGGCTTCCGAGGTATCTTGAAACAGACGGCCGAAGCGGCTCTTTGAGGACCGACTCCCATGGGGCTCACGCGAATGAAGTCGAAGTCCGTCTGGCTGGCAGCTGGAAAGCCCACCTCAGCCGAACTCGGCTGCCTAATGAAGCGGATGTCGAGCAGTTCGAACCCTTTCTTCAAATGAGCCCTGGCAAATGTTGGCCAAAGTTGAGGATCTCTTGCAACTTGTTTGACTGCTCATTCACGTGGTGGCCTTGTGAACTTTCTCTCCAAAACGAATTGCCTGGATTTGCGCTTGCAGGGGGATCTCCGTCTGTTGACACATGTCCTCACCGCAGTCTCCTTTCCAAGAGTCGCTACGCAGCAATTCGGCAAATTCTCGCAGCCAATGGAAGTTACAATGCATAAAGCCGCACGGCGCATGCCTCAATCTCCTTGTAGCCCAGCTTCAGCAAGTGCAGAAACAGCCGCAGCCTGGGCCACAGCGTGAGGCTGAAATGATTGGTGAATTTTAGGCTAGATGTTCGGAGAGAGGAATGACTCTGAGCCGCCAGCTGAGTCGTAATCAAAGCCTGGTAAATGGTAAAGTGGTACACCTAACCACTTGGGCGGCCACGCCTGTTTATCTTTGGGCTTGTCCCTTGTTAACCTTCACTTCCCCGGGCTTTGATGGCTCAGAAGTTCAACTTCATGGCCGGGAACGGCCGAGAGAACTACGTACGTAGCTCGACTGGAGAGAGGTATCCTAAGAGGTTGCGCAACAGCCCGCGAGCGAATGAACAGGCTGGACCCGGGCTCCCGACTTCTTCTCATGGTTCATCGGGTTGATCAGCGCCTCACACCCCCCCCCCAGAATTCGGCAGCTGAAGTGCCGCTGGCACGCGTTGGGCCGTCCCAGCTCCATGCATTGCCATCTTCGAAGCATTCTCCAACTATCGGACAAGATGAACAAGAGAATCTTCTGGAGGTTGTCAAGTTCAAGCTCTTTGCTCCGCATCACCTTTCGCCTCCAATTGCCCCCCCGGCCCTCCCACCTGGTTGCCATCGCGCAGGTCAACCGTGCACCAGCGCGGTGCCTGCCAGATATGCGGTCAGATCCAAGCGGAAGGAAGCAATCCGGGTGAATGCCTTGGGCATTCAGACACACAATGTGCATTTCTCGTAGGCTCCGGTCGTGTGAGCGAATTATCATTCAACAATTTTTGAGAAATGGATCGCCAAGCAAGGAAGCTCCCTGGTTTTCGGTCGCACCATTTGAAAGTTGCACTGGAAGTGTCGCAAAGTGTGCTCCGCGAGGGTGGGGGACCCATGTGGCGGTGGCGGTGGTGGTGCCTTGGTGAGGCGCTTCTCCGGCCAGGAGCGCTTGGGCCTTGCGCAATCTCTCCCACCGAGTGGTTGAAAGGCAAAAACCAACACGGGTGGGCCTTGCAATCGGGTGTGCGTGTGTATGTGTTTTCCTGTTGGTTCCCCTGACCAAAAAGACCTTTGCAAGGGTACCCTCCAAACAATGGGACCCACATGAAAGAGAGGCATAGAGAAAACAACATCACGGAAGTTCCCTTTCAGGTTCCATGTTTGACTTTGGAAAAAGTACTTCAACCAATACATTTTGGTGTCGCGGGGTCCCCATGGCTTGAGCTGTCAATTCTTAAGCATCCTTCTCATGAATGCGTGCTCCAATCCTCCAACCGAGCAGGCCAAACCGGCAAAAGCCTGAGGCAAAAGGGGGGTTGGAAGAGAGGGGAACAATCTTGGAAGCTGACTGGACAGCTTTGGTAGATCGCTGTCCTTGCACCGGCATCGGAAAAAGCATGTCCGGGGGCGTGGCCACTTCTCGTCAAAGGGTATCTGGTACCTGGCGCCAACAAGCGCACAACCACGATCCACCATGGGCTGGAGGTTTCCGAACATTCGAGACAGCCCTCTAGTGGATGGTTTTCTGTTGCAAACAAAGGTAAACTTGCCACTTGGAGGGTTCCCTTGCGACACGTGAATCCAATCTTTCGCACTTTTGCTGCCATGTCGTCCCAAATGTGGGGCTGGAAAAAATAAAGCTTGGGGCCGCATTCGCCCCCTGAAGTCAGCAGGAAAACATGAAAGTAGAAGTGCCAGCATGTTCTTGACCCCCACCCCACCCCAAATGGGTTTGTCTCACAACTATCACCCCAACATGATTGGTTTCCCTTTGCCTTGGATTCCAACTCCATTCCGGGCGCACCATGATTGGAAGCTTCGGTACTTCTGAACCTGCACGGGTGCTGCTCGATGAGTCGTCTAAAACGGGCTGTGGACTTCTCAGGGGACGCTGATTCGACGCTGACGGAGAACATCCAGTTCGCCCGAGTCGGGTGTCTGTGTGTGGGCGTGTCTCTTTTTGAGGGTCACAAGGGAAGCCACAAGGGGAGGGGTCCCTAAGAAAACACGCACCGAAATTCGGGGTGGATGACACAGGACTGGGATAAACCACCTATGGATGTTGTCCGTGAACAGCATCACTAGGATGTGGGGCGAATCAAGCTGAGAAACTGCCAATTTCACTCAGGTGATGCAGCATTTCCAAGCGGGGCCATCTCAAACCTGTACAGCGAAGCGGATGCAAAACCAGTCGACACATTCGGGAATGTTCGGGAGCAATATGCGATGTTCCGAACCTGGGTGTTCCATTCAGCAGCCAACAGCCAGCGTTGGGTTGTGAAACCATCGCCAATCATGACTTTCAGATGCCCTCACTTTCCAGGTATCAGAGACCCCATCGTCCTCTCCCGAAAAGTGGAGGTTCAATCCTTCCAGGGTCCTTTTGCAAGCAATCGCACATTTCAAGCAGCATGCCGCTGAAAATCCCACCATCAAAGAAAGTCCTTGATTTCCAGTAAACCTGCTAACATCTGGCAGAATCACAATAGTTCACAAACCGCAAAAAAACAAATGCAAACAAAAATGCACCCCCCCCCATGAAAGGAACCATACAAGTCCTTCACGGGACGCCAAAGGACCCGAAATCACGGGTTTTCGGTCGACCAACAAGCTCGCGATTTCATAGTGCGTATGCATCAAAATGAAGGAACCCCACAAATGGTGGTCTTCCAGCTGAAAAACTCCCTGGACATCTGGAATTTGTTGGCCGCCCTTGAGAAACGAACCAACCATTTGCCCGGAACCACTCGGCCGCGAACCAAAACCCTTCCATTCCAAAGCCGAAGCCCTGGCAAAAGGTTCGGGCTTTTCAGGTGATCCCGTCAATCCCACATCTTTCATAGGCGCACATACTCCACCCTGCCCTACACTCGCCGGCGCTTTTGGCAGGGAGTTGCGGCGCGTCCGGCCAGCCCAGCCACGTCCGGCCGAGCCGCGTTCATCGGCGGCAGGCGCTCCTCCAGCCGCGGCTTCTTCGCCGCCTGGCGAGAAGCCCCCGCCGTGTCTGGCGAGAAGCCCCTGGTTTAATATAGACGCAAACAGTTGTGAGGTTGAACCATGCTTCTTCCTTCAGAAAATAGGAGACTCGTTGAAGTGGTGATTGATTGGGTGTTTGAAAGTTGAAATGGTTTGATTTTTATTCAGCTCCAGTTTTGTGTGAACCGGAGAATTGTGAGGTTCCCTCTACAAGATCCCCAGGGTGTGGTTCGCTCAGCCGAGTTTGCAACCAACCCGGACAGGTCTGGAGTAAACCTCTGGTGGGGGGGTTCCCCACGATTGACAGAATCCTTCAATGTTGGGTGGGTCTATCCCTCCAACCCAAATTGCAACGGATCCCACCAGGTCCCACCAGAAGGTCCCTTAAAGAGGAATATGGTCTTCCAAAAAGCATTCAGTCAGGTACCATCTTAGTCAGTGGCAGAGTACATAGAAGCTCGCACCAAAGCAGCAATTACATCAGGTGCTCTGAATTCATTCAACAACGTAGTGGAGATGCAATTTGATGACCGAACGGTGCCAAATTGGGGGTTCCCAACCCCCCCCCCCCCGCCTGCTCGTGGCCATTGCTTTCTGTGACCTGGGCACCAAAAGTTACCTCCCCCCGACCCGCAAGTCAAGGGGCATTGTTAGACAGCTGAGGCGAAAGAGTTTGGAGAATCAATCGCTCCAACCTGAATGGCTTTCACCTAGGCTGTCATGTCTAAGCGGTTAAATGAATTACGCATCTGTGTCATGCACTGCTGATATCTCAATGCGATGTATCCAACCCTGAGAAAGTATCGCGAGATATCCAGAACGGGGCTGAACACTTGCCATGCTGCCTTCGCTCACAAATAGGTCAGGTGCAACCTGAGCAAAATGGGTTCTGAAGTGGAAAGGTGTGCAGGAGCTTCAGGCTCTGTCAGTGACACCCGCTTGCTGCAAATGCCAGTGGAAACTCCTTCGGTCGCCCGGCTCAACACGGTTCCCAAATGTGTGGGTCAAACCCAGGCCTCTGTAAGCCTACCTCAAACCAGATGAAACCATTCATCCATCCACCAATCCAAATCCATCCGTCCCTCGATTTGAAGGGGTCCAACTCACCCAGGCTGTGGCCCCGCGCAGCCATCCGACTCGGCACCCGGTACGGGGTACCTGGTACCTGGAGCACTGGGCAAGCGAGTCCCACCCCGTCTTGTCCTAAAAGCTTGCTATCATTTGAGAGCAACGAATTCCATTCTCTGTTGTTTTTTCCCCAACATTCTGTGCAACTGCGAGCCACCCTCAAAGCGACCTGTGCCGTGCTCAGAACTGCATCGGGGGACCCTAGGTCGGAAATGTCTGAAAGGTCGATAAGCCCAACCCCAAAACCCCAAATAACCAGGTGCCAACTAGGTGTGCAGCAGACCCCACCCCACCACCCCAGGCGCACCCCAACCACGCGCACCCGAACAAAGTGCTCTTTCCTTTAAAAAATGGAAAGTAACAAAAGTGGGGGACTCAAAAGAGATACCTGACGCCCGGATGCGGTTCTAATTGTTGGACTACGCAAATTTCCGTGATTCGAGCCAGACCGCACATGCACACGCATGGCCTTAGCCCTGAAACTAGTCCAAACGAGCCACAAAGGGTATTGATGGTGGATGCCCTATTCATTGTGAAGTCAGGGAACAAGGAAACCTCTACTTTATCGCAACTTGCCGTGGTTTTGTGTACTCTGCCTGGTTGCCAAGTTCTGGCACCCGAGCTGGTCTGGTACATCCAGGGGGCAGAGTGCAATCTCTTAAATGCTAGGTAGGGTCAGCAAGAACGAGCCCCGTAAGCACACCGAAGCCTGTTCCAAGCGCCTCGAACACCTACCACCTCCGCATTTTGCGCGATGCCTTTTGCGGCCGCGCGGTCCTTTTCCCGCCGCTTGTGCGGCCGAAAGCGCTCAGCTCCCTTGCGGCCTCCAGGTCTCCTTCTTCACCTGCCATCGAAGCTCGCTGGGCGGAATGGTCGACATCGGACTGCTGGAAGCTTCACGGAAAAGCTCCGAAAGATCAAGGCTTAAACATCTACCAAAGCCCATCCATAAGAGGAAATAACACATCTGCCCAGCGGGTTTTGAGACATTTAGCCCAGCTGCAAAAGAAAGACTCTGACATGAACCCTGTCTGCGTGGCGTTGGGGAATGCTTCGAGACGTGCGGTAGTCTACCCTCAAACAAACATCCCCCTTGAACAAGCAACTGGTAACTAGTCGTCTGACATCACGGCGTGCCCTTCTCTTACCCACAAAGAACCCAAGCTGCAGCCTTGGGCATGTCAAAAAAGGGACTTCGACCCCAGAAACGGTTCGTGTTCCTTCTAGTTTTCCCCTGACAAGGCAACAGAGTAGCACCCACTGGACAAGCCATCGCCTGTTGGGTGCCCAGGCTCGCCGTCTTCGGCGACTCGGCGCGGGCGCAGGCGCAGGCTCGTCGCTTTCCAGTTGGATATCAACAGAGTAGCTTTTGGGATAGAGATACCTTCTCGATGATGGCAACATGCAGACCATTCCCAGTTGTCGCCCAACCAAACATATGTTTGGTTCCCGTCTCTATCGAGTCAACCCAAAAAAAGCGTGAAAGGTCAAAAGAGATGGCTCCCCGCAGAACACAGACCGGCTCAAGGCTCCCCGCAGGCCGCGTCACGCGCCAGACAATGTCCGCCACGAAGAAGCCGAGAAGGGAAGCCACCTGAGACTCCCGTTGGCAGCTCATGGGATCGCAACGGACCACCCCAGAAGCCCTTTGTGCTTGCTTTTGATGAAGGGGGCCATCCCAAACCCCAAGCAGACAAGCCTTTCAACGGAAACCCTGCTAACGCAAAAAAACATAAAAACTCTCGCAACATGCTTTGTAAGCCAAGAGGAGCTGTCACCAAAGACCCAATTGGGCTTGGGACGGTCCCCGACCAAACCCTTCATCAACTTGAAGTGGTCTCCATGGTGACTCAAATGCTCCGCAGGGAATGTTTGTGCAGCCAAAGCCACTGACACGATGACCATGACAGTGAAGTAGCCAAGGCGCATGAAGTCTTCCTGCCATGGCACCATCAGCAATGCCGTGGTAGAACCAACACATACACACCAAACAACATGTTCCAACAATAAACAAAGCACCAGGTTTTGGTTGCTGTCCTTTCGCTTTTCCTGAGAGACAATCCAAAGCAGGGTTCCGGACAGCACCGCGACCTTGCCATGCTTGGTAGTTCGGAGTCTCACAGCACCAAATGCAACCAAAACTAAAACAGAAATAGTCCCCCCCCTCCCCAAAACAATAAAAGCAAGGTGGTCAACAATTGGAGAACATCACGAAAAAACAGCTGCTGTGGATGGATGAATCCTGCACCACCTCAGAAACCCTGAAATGATGATAATCCCCTGTGAATACCAACACAAGTCGTGGTTTCCACCGTGGTAGCTCAATTCGTGGCGCCACCGTCCCTCGGTTGCTTTCTGCTCCCCCGCTAAAATTTTAACTTTTGGTGCTTTATTGGTTGGCAAAAAGCTAAAGTCCCAACATCCAAGCAAAATGCAACAAAGATCCACGGTATCTTCTTTGGTCTCGGAGCCCCTGCGGGTTCCGGCCTTGAACTCCACCTCGCAGGTGTCCCCCGAGTAAGGGGCGCGGCAGAAGCACACGCCGTTGCCGCAAAGGCCTGCGGCCGAAGGAACTTCCAAACAACCTACGTGCTAAATTATGTGGGACGTGGATAACTATACATGAAATGTGCGGCATTAGAACAAGGAAGGTCCCAGAACAACATAACATGGTGTCTTGCTATCTATACATATGTGCATATTAGATATAAATACGGCACCCCCCCCCCCCCAGCAACCTACCTTTTTGAAGAATTCACAGGTATTTGCAGTGCTTTCTAGCCTTTTTTGGGCTTTGGGGAGAGGAATGAAAAAGAAGCATTTCCAAGGACGTTCTGGAAGCTTCAGGCCGATTTAAGCCGATTTAACTTAAATCGGGAATGGATTCAAGATTTAAGATGCAAGACTCCCTGGAAAAGTTTGGCCTGGATTCTTGAATCTTGAATCTTGAACCCATGCCCGATTTAAACTTAAATCGGTTTCAATCGGTTTAAATCGAGATCCAAATTCAACATTACACTTTGCGCGGCTGTACTTTGGCACAGTGTGTGCAAGCATCCAAGTCCTGATTATTCAATCTGTTTCAATCTAGGCCCACATTCAAGATTGTCCAAAGTTCTCTAGGAAATCTTGAACCCAGGCGCAACTGACATTTCAGTCGGTCTCAATGGGCTTCTCTCGGGCCTGGACTCGCGTTTATATTGATTCTAGAATTTTGAATACAGGCGTGGGTTCTTTCCTGATGAAACCCTGTTAAAGCTCTACTTGAATTGCAAGTATATATTGGGAAAGGAATTGTAATTTCAGATTTGATTATCAGTAGGATTCTGACCAAATATTTCCGTTATGAGTCCCAACTAAATTGTGTTCAAATTCAAATGAGCATTCAGAAAGCGTTCGTTGGTGGAGATGTGAATTGAGTATGAAAACCGCTACGCAACTCTGTGGTTTACGGTGTTTTCTGACCATGGTAGTGTTAGGACTAAAGGACACAGGTTTGGGACGTTTGGGCTCTTTCTTTATGATTTCCACTTAGTACGCTTTATCAAATTCGACCTAATTTGTGATGGATATTCAGTGGAGCTTAAGAAAGACATACTCCAGCCAAAATTTCGATTTAGATTCGAACTTAAATATTGATTGTTCTATGTCAAATTGAAGTACAAACGATTTCCTGTGTAATAGAACATTGTACTTGAAATTCAATCACTTTCAGAACTAGAGTTAGATGGCCTAGTCCTAGTTTGGTCCTAGTCCTAGTTGGGAGATCCTTGGTTGTATGCCTAGTATGGTCCTAGCTTTCCGAAATAAATAGAACGTATTAACATTACAAAGGAAGTTCCTTATGAGTTGTAGCTAATGTATTGATCAAGTTCTATGCAACTGCTAGCTGAACAGTAGAACTTAAAATAAGGAAAATCTCCAATCATAATTTACATGTTTAATTGGAATATAAAGTATTGGTTATTCTGTTTCAAACCAAATATTAAGCAGAACTTTCTTTCGACCAGAATGTAATACTTGGCATCCAAACACTATAAGAAGTACGGGGCTCATTTGGCTGAACTCTTTATTCGTTATGGGCGCGCCAGCTTGCAGCGATTTTTCTCTGGAGGTGCAAGGTTGTGCAATTGTCAGGCAGCAGGAGCTGCAAATTATTGTTGCAAAAAGATGAGCACGCAATCATGCTGCAAATTGGTGAGACAGGGAGCTTGTATCTCGTATCATATGTAGTAAAAACAGGCTACTCATGTAGTAGACAGGTGGTTAGCACCTTAAATGTATATATATACACATCTACATAATATATCTATTCGCATCTCGCAAAATTTTCCCAAGTGATCAAATCACTTGTGTGTCAGGCGGACGTGCTTCCTCACTGGTGTCATCTCAACTGGCAGTGTGTAGCAGAGCACTCCGGACACAGAGGAAACAGAAAGGCGCGCACACATGCGCACGTGCACTCTCGCCAAACATTGCAACAACTCCAAGGGATCGCGCGCCGTGAAAAACAAAAAGCCAAGAGCATGGGACCGTACCCTTCCTGCAACTGTGGTCGTTTTCGTTGCAGACCTGGTCGTGGAACAAGCGTCTTGGGGTGTTTGGATGGCAGCGCATCCTGGTGGCGTGGCCCTCCCTATTGCAAAGGCAATGTCGAAACCATGGGGCTTTCTCACGGAGAACGTTAACATCGTGGCTCAGGAACAAAGACAGAAAAAATGATTATGAGCTTTGAGGGCCCCCTCCTTATAGAAGGAAATAGAGCGGGTCAGCTGGCAAGGTAAGTGCCAAAAAATCCCTGACTCAACCACATCCAGAACAACGGCAGAAACAACGACTAAGGTTTGAGGGTGTTTTGAAGGAATACGGTGCGAGGATGCCTGCCCAAAAAGAAAACATATCTTGAAGGTCCCTTCCGAAAAAGAAACAACAACTGTAAGGTTCGAGGAGGGCTCCCGAAAAGAACAAAGACAGAAACAACTTTGAGGGTTCCCTTGAAACAGAACCATCCCATGAATCAACCTTAGCCTCATAGAAGGAAATAAAGTGGGTCAGCTGGCAAGGTAAGTACCAAAAACCCGTGACTCAACCACATCCATAACAACGGCAGAAACAACGACTATAAGGTTTGAGGGGTCCCCTGCAACAGAACGTTGTGTTTGAAGGTCCCACCCAATAAAAAGGAACAAACGCAATAGCCGTTAATAAGGTGTGAGGGTGCCTGCCCAAAAGAATCTTGTGTTTTGAAGGTTGCTCAAAAGGAACAACAACTATAAGGTTCGAGGGTTCCTCCAAACAGAACCCTTGTGATTTTGAAGGCTTCCCGAAAAGAACAAAGACAGAAACAACTATTATGAGCTTTGAGGGTTCCCCCGAAACAGAACCATCCCATGAATCAATTTTAGCATAAAGCGGGTCAGC